ATGCCTCTTTGACTGCAAACTTGCACGAAGAGACCAACATCACCGTTTGTAGCGCAGAATCTGGTCGTCCTGTCACTCCAAAATGACTTCGCGCAACTACAATGTTTCCGCAGCAAACTCCAGTCCCTCCTCCTCCAGCTCCGAGCCCACCGTTCGAAGCCTCATCCACCTAATTACGGTGCTACGTAGTCCACGCAAATCCGGAGAAACCTCGACCCGCAATTGAGTTACTGCCCGCGTCGCCGATCCAGTGACGGCTGGCGAGCTTCACTGCAGTGGACTGGACTCACTCCTGAACCCATCTATCGTCGCTCGCTCGCCCGCTCAACTGGGCCAGGATCACATTCCACGCCCCAAGCTATCCAACCCCCGCTGGCCTCAGCCTCACCCTCGCCCTCACCAAGTCCAGCCCAGCCCAGTCGTCGACATGACCACCCTACAGCCCCGGCCCCCCTACACCGACGCCGAACTTGCCGCCCTCTACCCGCCGTCCCTCCAACTGCAGAATGTCCAGATCCTCCTCCGCCACGGCGAGCGCACGCCCGTGACGCCGCGCTTCCAGGAACATGGTCTCCCCGCCTTCTGGCCCTACTGCAAGGCCGTCCGCCACCTGCGCTCCGCCGTCATGGACGTCGACCACCCCGACGCCAGCCCCGACGCCCAGTTCTCGACCCTCGCTTGGAAGCGGCGCCTCGAGACCATGAGCCACAAGGACGCCCCCATCATCGCCGCCGGCAAGCACGGCGAGCTCGACGACATTTGCGACATGGGCATGCTCACTGACAAGGGCCGCGCGACCACCACCCATCTCGGCCGCCGCCTGCGCGCCCTCTACGTCGACCGCCTCGGCTTCCTCGCCCCCTCCCTCGACGCCGACAACGTCGACACCCTCTACCTCCGTGCCACCCCGATCCAGCGTGCTCTCGAGAGCATGCAGCAGACCCTTCACGGCCTCTACCCGCCCGCCAACAGGGCCCCCGACCTACCACCCGTCAACGTCCTCGCCCGCGCCATCGGGGAAGAGACCCTCTTTCCCAATGAAGGCAACTGCCGCCGCTTCGCCATCCTCGCTCGCGCCTTTGCCCAGCGCGCCGCCGAGCGCTGGAACGATTCCCCCGAGATGGACTACCTCACGCGGCAGCTGGGCCGGTACCTCCCTGACCCATCCGCCCGCGTCGCCGTCGACGGCAAGCCCCGCCTCTCCGGCATCATGGACACTATGAACGCGACCTACGCCCACGGCCCGGACACCAAGCTCCCCAAGGCCTTCTACGACCCCAAGGTCAAGGACATTATCGAGACCATTGGCGTCGAGGAGTGGTACGCCGGCTACCGCGAGTCCGAGGAGTACCGCACCCTAGGCATCGGCGGTCTCCTGGGCGACGTTGTCGCCCGCATGGTCGGATCCGTGGAGCAGACCACCGCCGACGGCCAGTACGAGCTGCAGCGACGCGGACAGGGCCACGCGCCCGCCGTGCGCTTCGGTCTCTCCGGCTGCCACGACACCACCCTCGCCGCCATCCTCTCCTCCCTCGGCACCTTTGGTCACAAGCAGTGGCCGCCCTTTACGAGCCACATTGCCATTGAGCTCTTTCGTCACACGACAGCGCCAGACAGGCCACCGCCCGCGGCCCCGACCACTGGTTCCTGGCTCGCCTCCCTCTTCGGGGCAAGCGGGAAGCCCAGCCTCTCACCGGCTGGCGTCCCTCCGGCCGGCGGCATCGGTCGTACCAAAATGTTCGACCTGACGCCAGCCGAGAGAGAGCGGCTCGAGGGCTACTACGTGCGCGTCCGCTACAACGATGAGCCCGTGACCGTCCCAGGATGTAAACAACAGGGCAACCACCTCGAAGGCGACGAGTCCTTCTGCACTTTGGTACGTACACTGAACCATGTTTCCCCCCCTTTAACTTGTTATTCCGGTGATCTTCATATCAGTATCTTCCGCGTAATCAGTCAGTATAAACATGCTAAATGCCGCAGGCGGCCTTCAAGTCCATCGTAGACAAGTTCACTCCTGTCGACTGGCGCCAGCAGTGCCGCATCAACATCAACGAAACGCCATTCCCGGAAAAAAATCAGCCGTCCGGGTTTTAATCAGAACGTTTGTGTAGAATAGCTTGTCTAAATCGAACCAACCTGACCCCTATCTGCTAGACTAGACAGACACAGATTATAAATAATCATGAACGCTTTCGATCGGCGAGACTACGTGTGAATATTCTATACCAAGCATTGGGCGCCAGGAAACATGTACGGCAAAATAACTATGTGCCCATCTCAATCATAGCGGAACCCACTCGCTCCAACTCAACCCCCCAGTTTTGAGCCTTTTCCCTAGGTCCTTGACGTCTTTGCCTGGCTCCCAAGTGGCATAATCCACCAGCAACAAGGCAAGGAGTGCGTACAATCCGAACAAAGTTCCCTATGAGAACAAAAAACAGCTCCGGCAAATATTAGGGCAGGCCTAGATTCCCCGCCACAATTACAAAAATGTATAATCATTCCCTCTCCTTTTGCTTCCATTCCTATCCACATCCTTCATCACCCATTAGTTGGCCACTTCCTCCTCAACCCAGCCGTTGAGGCCGCCCTGGATGGCGAGGCCGAAACCGCCTCCCATCCCACCGTAACTGGCTTGGTATCCATGGCCACGACGCTCGCCGTCACTTCCATTGCTACCCGGGACGCTGTTGGGGCTGTTGCCTCCGTTCTCGAAACCAGGTGCAAGAGCGGGCAGGCTGACGGCTCGGTTGTGCTGGCCGCGAGCATTGGGAGCCAGCAGTCCACCAATCGTCGTCGCGCCGGACATGGCACCATTCGCTGGATACCCGTTCGAGATGCTGGCGGATTGACCGTGGCCGCCCAGCTGCGCCTGTTGGATCTGTGGGGCAACGTCGATGCCGAGGTCACTGGGGGACTGCTGAGAGGATCCGAAGAGGGCGCTCTGCTGAGCGGCATAGTTCTGCTGGTGATGCTGCTGCTGTGCCTGCTGGGACAACTGGTTCAGGTACATTGTCAGAGGGTTGTTGTTCACTCCAAACTGCCCGGTGGGCGAACCACCACGGCCGTTGTCGCCCTGGGGAGGCGGCGATGTGCCGCCGTCACCACGGGGCGATTGTGAGTTGTGCATCTGGCGGGGCGCATTGCCACAGCGATCCTTGCCAAAGTTCACCTTGAACTTCCTGTACTCCTCCTTTCCACGCACCGCCTCAATGGCCTTGATGGCATTGGCAATGTTAGTGAAGTTGACAAAAGCACAGCTCTTCTCCCGAAGAGCATTGACGAGTTCGATTTCGCCGTACTCGGAGAAGTCTTGGCGCAGTCTTTCCTCCGTCCAAGTCTCGTCCAGGTTGCCAATGTACACGTTCCGAGAAGCGCCGCCGCTAACAGCCATGGCAATCGCAGGCGGGAGAGCACCAGAGTGCTTGCCCCAGCCGATCTTGAGTCGTCGGTTATGGATCATTAGCCCTTGGAGGTTGCTCAGAGCGTAGAATGAAGCGGCGGCTGTGGGATCGATGAAAGTGACGAAGCAAATGTGCTTGTCCGGGATGTAGCGGATATGATGCAAGAGCCCCCCTCGCACAACGTTGCAAATCTCCTCAATCGTCGTCTCGGGGTGAATGTTGCCCAGGTAAATCGTACGGTTGCCGAGGTTGTTGATGCCACCGGCAGTAGTGGCGACAGCAGCAGCAGCCACCGATTGCTGAGCCAGGGTGCTGGAGATAAAGTCACGGTCAGCACCTGTCAGCATGTGAGCATAGCCCGGAGAGATACCCAGATACTGGGCGGCATTCTGCTGCTGTGTTTTGGAGACGTAGGCGCATCGGTCCTTGCCGTAGTACACGCGGCGAGGAGCCTGCCACTTGGGCTCCTGCGGGAGCTGGCCAACGGCTTTGATGGCATTCGCAATGGAGAGAAAGTGCACGAAAGCAATATTCTTCTCACGGACAAGTTTGATGGTATCAATAGCACCAAACTTGCCCAGATCCTCGCGTATCTCCTCTTCGGCGATATCCTCGGGCAGGTTGCCCAAGTAGACGTTGCGTGAGGCCCCGGACTGTTGCACAGCCAATGCCACCGAGGTCGGAACCTGAGACGGCTTGCCCCAACCGACCTTGATATCCTGCCCCTTGATGCAGAGCTTTTTCAAGATGGCATCAGAGTGGAAGTGGGTGGCGGAGCTAGCATCCAAGAAGGAGATGAAAGCACAGTTCTTGTCCGGCAACAGACGGACGGATTCAATCTGCCCACTCCTAATGTGACCCAGAATTTCCTCGGCTACAGTATCAGGTGGAATATTGCCCAGATACACAGTGCGGCTGGTGCCAGTGACCGCACCTGCGTTCATGTGAACGGGCGAGCTAGGCTGCATCGGCGGCTGCATCGAGTAGTTGCCCGTAGGTGATTGAGGGGCCGCATAGAAGTGAGGAGCACCATAGGCGGAGGGCGAAACCATGGCCTGATACTGCTGAGGGGACATGTTCTGCTGAACAGGGCTGGCCATGCCAGCATTCCGCTGGTGGTTCATCTGGCTCTGCTGTTGCTGATGCTGCTGCTGTTGTTGCTGCTGCTGCTGCTGCTGACCCTGAGCCTGAAAATTGTGCACCTGCTGGAACTGAGGGCTGCTGAATGCACCGGGGGATCCAGGCTGAAACGGACTTCCGAGGAGCAGCTGGGACGGCAGCAAGGGTGTAAATTGCATGTCGAAAGCAGTACCAGGTGTTGCAATATCGGCACCAGCCGCAGGTATAGCCTGTGCCTGGTTCATCGTCTGGGTGTTCAGAGAGGGGACATTGCCACGACGAGGGTGGCGGTCAGCAAATCCCGAGACGTTCGATGTAAAGGCTCCGTGCGAGAAGCCAGTGTCGCTGTTTGATGGCTTCGAAGCATGGCCGAATCGTACACCGTGGTGTCCATTGGAGCCACGGCCCTGGCCTACAGCCCCGGTGAGATCCTGCATGCTGAAGAGATGAGGGGGGACCTGTGTGTCCCGCCCGTTTTGCGATAGAACAGCCGTCTTGAAGGGTAAGCGTGCCTGGTGGAGGGCACGCGACGCAAAATGTCCGAGGCTCGACTCGAGGATAGGCGACTCGAGAAAAGGGGCTTGGTCCAAAATAAATCTACCAATGTACACAGAAGTGTACCAGATATCTGAATGCTTGCAAGCGTATTATAAGGAATGTAAGGTATCCAACAGGTATCGATATTCTGGTCAAATCGATCGAGCAAAGTGAATGCAAATTGCAGTAAGGCGTAGCAACAGTAGGTACGGTCGAGCTAAGGTCGGTACGCGACGTTTGAAAACAACCGGCGGCGAATAATTCTGTTAAGTAGTGATTAGGATAAGAAATCTTGCAGGGATTCGACCAGAGAGCGTAGACAAGGAGAGGAGTAGGTGACAAGGTTGAGGTTGAGGTTGAGGTTGAAGGAGAAGAAGCTCGAATAGGACTGGAGGCTGAGATTGCACTGGTACGAGACCTGGGAGCTGTTGACGTGCCTTGAAGGAATGAATCGTACCTGTTTGGGCAGTCGCGACTGAAGAGAACCACACAGTTCGGCTTGGACAAGTCGGACTGAGGTCGTCGACCCTCGCAGCAAGTGGGAAAGTACAGGAACAAAGACAATAGTAGTTGGTAGTGGGAAAGGGGAGAAATGGAAAGAACGGGATTGGGTCTGGCTTCGTGAAAAAAGAACGGACCACCTCCGAGATCAACAGCGACCAACAAAAGGAGCCACCGTACTAGCTAGGGAAGGGGGCTCGAGTGCTCTCCCAAATTAAGATAGTAACAATGATGCGTAGGGCGGGACAGCCAAGGTACGGCCGTGCGAGCGAGTGAGGACGACCGGGGAGGTGGAATGTACGTGCTAGAGCGAGCGTAAAGAAGGAAAGAATGGTGAATGAAGGAAATCCTCGAAAGTGAGGGTGAGGAAAAGGCGAAAGGCCTGCGAAGGAGAGGAGTGGTGATGAGGACCTGGTCTGGAGGGATGGTGAGGTGAGGGAAGAAACGAACGCGTGAACCGTGAGCCAGCAGCCAGCCATGCTCGAGCACTCCACAAAGGAAAGGAGACTGACTGACGGACTGCCTGAATGGGCTCATGGAGTCATGGGAATTGATTGAATCAGAACAGGGTGGAGAATCGCGGTTGTCTAGAAAAGGGTGTCGACAATGGAATTGGCTACGCTGGTCGAGTTTAATGACTAGAACAGGGGAGTGCGAGACACCATTGGCCAGTGCTGTCAGTAGTGGAGGCTCATCGTTCTTGGGCCCACGTTTAATTGGTTGTTCTGGTCACCTGCAGGGCCACCCATGGATCCGCCACGACCCCGAATTTCAAGGGAGGATCCCATCGACATCTCCAGACTTTCTGCACTGGCTGTCGCCTGACGTGTGCAGCTCGCATGCAGCTACGCGAGTTCAAGGCTACTCCCTGCTTGACTGAAGAATCGAGAGTCGCAAGCGGTGAACATTCGATGAATGTGCGGCTGTAGTGAAACACGATGCGCCGCAGGACGCTACGTGTCCGTTGAAATTGTTCGAGCAGCCACTCCAGTGAGCTGCGGGTGGACACTGGAACCCCTGAATGTCAAACTGCCGCGTTCTTGGAGTTCCACCCATTATTAAATAATAAGCCCCCACCATGGATACGATTTTAGGCACAATTAAGTATTCGGAATATCAGAGAGAACTAATGAATGTTTCCGATTGCCTCAGCATAATTGTCATTCGTATGAATCGTCTTGGCATGATACGTTTCAATAATCGTGCGCTCGGTGCCATTATGGTTCAGTGCGATTGCTCTCTGCTTGGGATTCTTGCCTGTCTAAGCTGTTGGCTAGTAATCAGGCCAGAGACTCTATTCTTCGCCATCAGTTCTCTCTCCCCTCTATGGCTTGCAACGCCCCATGAAGCGCGGGTAGAGGCACGTCGTGCGGACGGTGTGCTGGTTCGCCAGCCAAGCCAGGAATCGCTCCAGGCCCAGGCCGTAGCCACCGTGGGGAGAAGTTCCATACCTAGATGATGTGAGTCAAAGCTTAACAATAATCACACATTAAAAACTTACTTGCGCTGGTCGGTGTACCAGTAATAGTCCTTGGCCGGGATGCCTTCTCTCTCGTACGCTGCCATGAGCTCTTCGTAGCCTTCCATCCTCATGCTTCCGCCGACAATCTCGCCAACGCCAGGCATCAAGCAGTCGACGCTCTCTGTGACGCGGGCATCGCTGGGGTCCTTCTTCATGTAGAACGCCTTGATCTGGGTGGGGAAGTGCGTCAGGAAGATGGGACGGTTGATTATGTCTGTCATGCGACGCTCAGCCGCCTCGGCAATGTCATCACCAAACACGTGCGTGTTGCCCTCCTCGTTCAGAATGGGGGGATCTTGCTTGTTGAGCCATTCGATGGCGTCTGAGTACTTCATACGCATAAAGGGGCGCTGAGGCTTCTGGAAAGTCGGGTTCAGCTCCTCCAGGAAGGCGGCCATCTCTGTGTCCTCCAGCACGGCGTCGATGACACGGCAGATGATCTCTTCCAGATGCTCCAAGAGATCGGCGAAATCGATAAAGTCGAGCTCAGCCTCCACGTGGGTATATTCGGACAAGTGACGGCGGGTCAGACTCTTCTCCGCGCGGAACGACTTCTCGATACAGTAGACATTGCCCAAGCTGGGGAGTACGGTCTCGAGGTAGAGCTGGGATGACTGGGTGAGAAAGGCCTTCTCGTCGTAGTAAGGAACGTTGAAGAGGGTGGCGCCACCTTCGACCTGGGTCTGCACAAGGGCAGGAGGGGCGACCTTGACAAACTTCATGTCGTGAAACGTTTTGACAAAGGCCCACTCTGTGTGTGCGCGCAGCTTCATCAAGGCGGCAGCGTGATCACCGCGCAGGACGAGATGCCTGTTGTCAAGCATGGACTGGTCCCACTGGTTCTGGGCATGCGACACCTTGTTGGTGATGGCATCTTCGCCGGATGGAGATGACCCAATGACCTCGTAGTAGTCAACGTGCAGTTCGCGGCTGTCGGGGGCCTTCTTGTCCTCGGGGACCTTCTTCAGTTCGCCGTACAAGGTCAGCGAGGTACCAAGGGCAAAGGTCATGGCATCATATGTCTTGGTTAGCTCACCCTGCAGCAGGCACTGCATTTGACCATAGCCGTCCGTGAGCGTGATGAATGTCACCTGTTTCTGCGTTCGCAACTGATGGATACGACCAGAAACCTTGACACGTGCACCCTTCTTCTCGCCTTCTCCAAGCGCAACGTCCTTGTTGGCAATGGTGATCTTCTCGGCCTTGGGAAGCGACGGATCTTGCTTGAGAACAATCTTCTTGGCATCTTCAAGCACTTTCAATCGCTGCTTCTGTTGCTCCTCCTGCGCGGCTTGGGCTTGCTGCTGCTTGGCCAGCTTCTTCTTGTGCTGCTCAACGCCAGCCAGACCCTTTTTGACAGCGCTCTTCGCTGGTTCCTTCCAGATCAGACGCACAGAGGGGTCTTCATCGGCAGTGAGCGGTCCGGTGACCGACGATCGGATGAGATATGACGGTGGCGACGGCTTGTCGAGGTCCTGGATGTAGGCGAAAGCGAGCGTCTTGTATGGTTTAAGCTCCGAGCCATCGGCATTCGCTGTGTCGTCGATGCCGGTGTCGGTGTCAATGTAGATCTTGGCGCTTTCGTCTTTCACGCGCTCGGCGAGTTCGTGCACGGCGGCCATGATGTACGCTCTGACTCGTCGCGAATTGTCTATCTCGAGCTGAGGTTAAATTGAGTCCAGGATTTTTGTTTGGCGGGGTCGAGGGGCAACAAAAAGATGGATCGAGGGGCACTCAATATCGCACAGTGTGACTCAAAACGGCTCCGGATCGGCCCTATCTGAGACATTCCGAGCGACTCGAGGATCATCCTTATCGTCCCCTCGCGCATGTGGAAGCGGTCTTAGAGAATGAACGAGCACTATCCTTTTGATCATGGGGCTACAACATATACTCTAAACACTGCACATTCTAGCGTACGAGAGCTAGGAGGCATGTCTTGTCACCGAACAAGAACGTGCAGCATGCAACCAACCCTCGAGAGACACTGAAACTGCCATTGCAGCTCATGCCACAAAACTGCCTTTCTAGGTCATCAGGGGGCCCAAGAAGCACCTATGCAAAATAGACGCAATGTGGCAGTGCAAGAGTCCATATCGAGCAATTTTCCTACCTGAGGCTGATGTATCGAAGGTGCCATTTGCGTCGTGCCACTTGTTTGAAATTTGCTCGGCATGTTGGCAGCCTCGGTGTCATGCCTAATAATGCAGCCCAACCCAACCCGACCCTCTCCAGGAAGGATGGGGCTCCCGACATATCCTGCGTCACTTGCATGCGTTACGTATCAATGTCATTGAGAGAAAATATCAATTGCTGCATTGCACTCCGGTCGCCAAAACTGTCCTATCGAAGCAATCATTCGTGTCGGCATTGGTGTGATTCCCCGACCCCATAAAGATAGATGAAGAGTGAACAAGAAGCAGCGCACGAACAAAAAGGGGTAGTCAAAAAAACACCTTAGATATCTTTGCCTCGAGCGTCAGAGACAACACGCTGCGGGATTGTCACACGGACAGTCCATTGCCAGGGGAGCTAGGCGGTGTCCGTCTCGTATGTCAGGCTCCCGTTTGATAGCTCCTGTGTGTCGCTGTTGCGTTGCTCGGGTCTTTCAAGCCGCCGAGGCCCGTTTCCTAAATCAAAATCCCAGGCTCTATCAATTTCTCGTTTGCCGCTTATCTTTTTGCGTCCATGGTATTTGCGGTTGTAGTCTGAGAGCAAGTGTTGGTCGATTACAGTATAAGACACCTGTGTGACTTTTTCTTGGGCGCGGGCGGCTCGAGCGCGGCAACAATCGCCTAGAGGGGCGTTAATCAAACGGCGGACTTGCCACTGCTGCCAATCGACTTACCTCGTCAAACACGTCCTTCAGCTTGTACTGCGTCAACGCACTGCACTCAACATATTTGACAGCGCCGAGCTCCTTGGCCATGCGCTCACCATCCTCCCGGCGCACGGGGGACATCTTCTGCTTGGCCAGCTTGTCGCGGACGCTTGGGTCGTCGCGCAGATCCACCTGCGTGCCAACGATAAGGCAGGGCACACCCGGGCAATGGTGGTGGACCTCTGGGAACCACTTCTCCCGGACATTCTCGAAGGACGCGGGGGAAGTGACGCTGAAGCAGACGAGAAAAACGTCGGTTTGGGGATATGAGAGTGGGCGCAGACGATCGTAATCTTCTTGACCAGCGGTATCGAAAAGTCCAAGCGTGTAGGGCTCGTCGCCGATCCTGTGAAGCTGCGTCAGCGACTGCACTCGCTTGTCTGCTCGTATTCCTCGTTTCAGGGTTCAATCGCGCGATCTGCCCGCGGCGGTGAGGCACTGTGCTTGCAGTCGGCATGCAAACTGCAGGGATCATGAAGAGGATTAAACGTACATGACCGTAACGGCATAATTATCGAAGACCGTAGGAACATATTCGGAGGGGAACTTGTTGGTCGTGTAGCTGATGAGCAAGCAGGTCTTGCCAACAGCACCGTCGCCGACGACGACGCACCTGGAGAGCGATAACGGTCAGCAGGAGAAACTTCACGGGAGGATTGATGGGGCAACCAAACAAGCGCTACAACGCTCGAAAAGTCATCCCGCAGGTATTGGGGAGCCACGGGTCTCTCTAGAGGTGCGCGATTGATTTCTTCCACGATGCCGTCGGTGCGACAATTGGACGAACAGAGAGGGGAACCTGGGCGAAAACGTACTTGATAGTTGCGACAACGGCCATCTCGAGGTAGGATTACTGCCAGGCTGTGTTTCGAATGATCTGCGAGGCGGTGTCTTGGACGGACAGTCAGACTTGAGGGGCTGGCCTCGATGCAATGAATGTACGGCACAAGGTTCAGGATTCGATCGGGGCACTGGGTTTCGGGATGGCGAGCGAGAGGAGGAGGAAGGTGAATGGAGGTGAGGTTGAATGAAAGTGCTTGGCTCTAGCGGGCTTGGGGCGGCGCATGGAGACTAGACTGCTGGCTGGCTGGCAAGCCTGGTGGTGCGAGGGTCTGGTGCGGAGAGCTCCATGTTCTAGGGGCACTTGCTCACAGGCACTAACGTTATCTGTCGCCAAAAGCACGGCAGGAACCAACCAACTTGCGATGAGCAACTTGACTCCTACGATCATATAAGTAGGCGAGGAGAACCAGTCATTGCCTAGGCGGCCGAGAGTGTCAAGATTCTCACGCCTCGGACTCCAAGCACGATGCCCCAAGAAGATTGGTAAAGTACATGCAGATAGGTAAAGTTGTAAACCGTGCAAATGCCTGTATGATTATGGAGGCGCAGACAGAGAGGGCCGCGCTAACATCTGTTAACACTGGGGGTTCCTGCTTCGACAGCTTCTTGCCTGCCTCGAAAGGCCTTCCTCCCAATGGAACTTATAAAACCGTTGCCTTGCAAGCCGCCGCCAGCGCTGATAAGGCCCGCCCGTCAGCTTATCGCAGATTTGTTGTTGCATGGACGTGTCGACTTGTTGCACAAAGAAAGTCAGCCGCCACCACTTGAGTCGTGCGACAAGGCACGAGCATTTTAACCACAAGGCTAATGACTAACTAGGCAACGTACTGCTAGACCGTGTTTGCGCCGCTTGGGGGTTCCAGAGAGATGTGATCCGGACCTTAGGTGTATCTGCAGAGACCGCAAGAGGAAGGACTAGACTGGAACCTTGATCCAGTTGCTCACTGCCCGTACTTTTGGATCGACGCTTTTCATTCGCAATACAGGGCTGGAAGCAGTGCAAAGCCAACAAGCGCACAACTCGGCACCGTGCAGCTGGCCACAGAGACCTTTTCTTCTGATAGGTTTCGTCACCCGCCGCCCCTTTTCCATCCTCGACTTCAGTCCAGTCACCTCCTTCCACATCAGATTCGCTGAGCGTACGCTCCAGCGCAAAACCCAGGCTAGCCAGGGTGAAACCAACAAAAATGGTAGGTTGAGCGCCTGGTTGGCGCAGACAGCTTTCTCGCACGAGACAGCGCTTCCAAGGATTACTGGCCTCCTACAAATATCCTGATGACCTTGATCAGTGATCGACGACAACAAAAGATCTTTCGCCAGGTGCCGCGAACAGCCTCGCAAACAAAGGCTCTTTGACGACATTCAGCGTCCCTCTGAGCCGGCTGCTGACACTCATTTCCTGCCCCTGCCAGCGTCGTATCACGTCGTTTACTATTTTGGCAGTCCTGCAGCAACGGCTTAAGTCCTTCTGGCCTGTTCCGCGAAATGACGGTCTCGGCGACATTCCCCTGCACATTCACACGTGGTTTGCCCACGATGCTGCAGGGACCTCAAGCCGGGTTTCTGTCCGTCCAAATTTTCGTCGCCTTGTTGATTCCATGTCGACAAGCTCGATGCTGTTGAATGGCGAACCAGAGACCCGCCTACGGCTACGGATACTGGCGACTGAATATGCTACTAGACACCGTCTTTCGCCCCAGCAAGACCCCGAGGCTGCTCTACGTTCGTGCATCAGCTGGCCCTACTGTCACGACGGCATCTTTTACCTTCTCCACAATGGACCGAATGAGCATTGCGACGAACATGTGCTCCATCGCCCTCAGGAGATATTCTTTTATGCTGTCACTGCGCCTGTGTTGCAGTTTTCACTGGACAGTTGCGCAGGCATAGAACAGGATAGGGGCAAGGCAAACGCAACATGTGAGCTTCACTCCGTGGCTGATCCGTCAAGTTCAATACTGTTTTCTGTCTCGCTGGCTCTCGATGGCGCCGCGCTTCTGGTCTCATTGCTCAGGTTCTTACACCCTTTACCTCGACAATCGCTCGGTGTGACCGGGCAGATGAGCAGTTGCGCATTATCTTGCGGTCTGTATCCGTCACCGCAGGATTGTTGCACTGATTGGGCTCATTTCACTGTCCGGCTCGCCCGTATGTCTTTGTGCGGCCGAGGATGTCGCCACGTCTCCCGGAGGTCGCATCCTCTTTCTACTAATCCAGCCCAAGGAGCCAAGTAGGAGAGCTTTCCGAGGGCTCTGCTGCCCTTACCGGGGCATCCCCGGAAGCCTCAACTGCTGGCACTTCTGTAGGGGCCGCTTGTTCATTCGTCGTCCAAATTTTTCAACAGCCCCCTTGCCCCGTTGGTCGAGTTACCTGTCCAGTAGAACTCGACAAGTGCCCGCCTGATTTTTTCGGCCGTTGATTATCCCATGTGCACTGAACCCCACGGTTGGGATGGTAGGTGACAAGTACGGGCCCAAGTGGCTCGCTTCTGTTGACTTTTTGCTTGTCACTACCTGAGTCCCTCCCTCGCATGCATGAGAATTGTCGATGATATCAGCATGCAGCACAAAGACATACTCTGTGTGCTCCTAGTCGACATTGATATTGCCATTGCTCTCGTCTTTGGGCCACTGAGGGCTGATTTACTTGGTCTACCGTGGGTGATGAGGTGAGGAAGTGGAAAGACATGGCGACTATGTTGCACCGCACTCGAAGCGGTAAACGCAAAGACGTCCGTTGAGCCCCTACGATCCCGTCATGGCATCCATCGTGATCGCAGACCAACTGTTACGAGATCCAGTGCAGAGCACTCCTCGAATGTCGACTGATCGACGCATGCAACCGAACGGGCAAGCCAAGGACGGAACTATTCTCGAGCCAGTGGATTGACGTAATGGTGTGCCCTCGGCTCATCCTCAAGATCAAAACAATTGACGATATGGAGGTTTCGGAGAGGTCGCATGGCTGCACGCGCTAACGCACGTTTCCTTGGCCTTGTTGGCCTCTGTATAAGCCAGCAGGAAGCCACCCTATCACCACATCGCGCAGCATAACGAGATAGGACAAGAGTGATCGAGATACCCCCGCCTCGCAGTAGTGATACAACCCCAAGATGGCACCTTTTTTGTGGTTTCCAGTCAGCAGCGCGAGAATTTAACCGGCAGTGCCCTGCAATGATGGGCCCAGCTCGTTCCGCGCGGGATGCGATTGATCGACAGGCTTGGCGCACGCCTGCCTTCCTCTTTGGTTGACGATCCTCGATTGCTAGCCTCGACGGAGCGTCACTTCCACCACTTGGTGCGGAACTTGCATCGTGTATGGCGCCCTCACCACATTCAGCTCGCAGGGCTTGCCGAGAACAGAGATGGTGGATCGAGGCACGGAATTGGAGCGACCCGCGATGTCGATCCAGAAGCTTCGTGGGCCTTGATGAAGCACAGGAGAAGATGGAGCCACGAGTATATAAGAACCGGGACAGCGCCTGCTGGGTGGGTGGACGACGCTGCTCAAAAGCACGCTCAACAAGATACAGACCCCTTCAAGCACCTCTAAAGAATCAACAGAAACAACGACAGCATCAACACCATGGTCCTCACGGTCAAGTCCCTCCTCACCGGCCTCGTGGGCGCGGCTGCCGTCTCCGCGCAGTGCACCGGGCCCCCAGCCAACGATGCCACGGTCTCCCTCATCGCCGAGTTTGAGGGTTGGAGCCCTGACATCTGTATAGTTCTATTCGTGCTCTCCGTTGTTTCACACAGCTAACAAGTGACAGACCTTGACCCCAGCGGCTATCCTACCGTGGGCTACGGCCATCTCTGCGCCGATTCGTCCTGCTCGGATGTGCCCTACTCCATCCCCTTGAGCGAGGCTGATGGCCGCTCTCTGCTCCGAAGTGATATGGCCGTGCGCACCTCCTTGCTCCAACTGAACCGTAACTGAGGGAGAGACTGACCAGATCATAGGTCGCGCAGAACTGCATCACCCTCGACACTGGCTCCAACGTTGTGCTCAACGCCAACCAGTACGGCGCCTTTGTCAGCTGGGCCTTCAACGTCGGCTGCGGCAACTCGGGCTCCTCCACGCTCATCTCGCGCCTCAATGCTGGTGAGAACCCCAACACGGTGGCTGCCGAAGAGCTGCCCAAGTGGAAGTATAGCAATGGCGTCGAGCTGCCCGGCTTGGTGAGGAGGAGGAATGCAGAGGTTGATCTCGCGCAAACCGCCACGAGCGCCCCTGCGCTGCCTGCCTGCTCATAAGAGGCCAAAAAATGTTTACCACCCTGAGTTAAGTACGGCAATGAAGTGAATCAAATCGATCAATCGTGGTCTAAGCGATGCGTGGCTGGTGACTGTCGGGTACCCCTTGACCGTGACTTAATACCATATGCAACGCCATCAATGCTTTGGCCTAGCGTCGGGAGATTTTCGAGATTCCAGAAAAACCCGAGTATTCACTATAAGCTATTGATTAAAGTGTGCGTAGGCCAAACATTGGCCCATCGCTGACGTCGACTTCCGTGTTAGGGTCGGCGGCGAGTCCAAGTTACCTTACCAATCTGTCTCTCTGAGCTCCAGCCTCCTTGCAGAACCCACCCTAACACCTCGAGTCCTCAACCCAGCTTCATCTCTCCCCTGCACGCCAGGCTGCCCGACCGTGCTACGTTTTCCGGCCGCTTCAAGACGTGAGCCATTCCGCAATGGACCAGTCCCACATTGATGCCCTCCTTGCGAGGCATCTCCTCCTACTCGACGAGTACACCCAGCTTCGCGACCGCCTCGCCAAGCTCCAATCCAACATGTTCTACCAGCTCGCCCGCGCCAACTTTGAGACGCAACGAGGTTTTCGCTACGGCAGCGACCAATATGATGCTCGCATGAAGGCTTCGCGGCAGCTGCAAATATTCGAAGACGCTGAGGATGGCATGACGTGGACGATTGGGGATGCAATCCCTGATGCTGAGCCCGAGAAGGAGGAGCACGAAGAAGAGGGAGAAGAAGTGACCAGCCACGACGACAAGCTGGCGGAAGAGCTCGAGGGGAAACTGGGAATTTCGGATGACGGTGTTGAGGCAGAGAGTGAAGAACCAGCGCCGCATGCAGAACAGCAACGCAAACTTGGCGATCCGCTCCGGTGGTACGGGCTCTTTCCCCCAACGAGTCTACGAACTGCACAGTCTGCGTCGAGAGAGGCGGTACACGAGGTCATACCGCGTCTTGTGACAGTTGACGCCAAGATGCAGCGACTGGAGATTGAGATCCGGCGAGCACGGAAGAAGAGGGCAAAGACAGAAGAGAAGAAGAGCAAAGTTAAAGCCACAAAGAGTGCGGCGGTAGGAGCATCAGTATGATGGTATCCTTGCAGTGGTTCTTGTTTCATTTGGCTAGGACTTGACTATCTCACAGCCTCTAAGGTGGAAAGCACATCGTCAATCGGCTCTCGCAGCGGATCGTCCTCACCAATGGTCCTCTGCACCAAGCCCGCAATACCCAGCAGCGAGCTCAAGCTATTATTATATCTTTTCACCATGCCCATGTTCGCATTGGCGAACAGCGTCGTGCAAAGCTGGAGAACGGCGACCTGGAACTCTCGAAAGAACGGGCTGGAGGCGGCCTGTTCCTCCCGCGAGCTCACCGCGTGCACGTTGTCGACCAGCGCCATCCATTCCTCCTCTGTCCCCGTTCGTTGTGATTCTGCCACCGCCAGCAGAACACGCACAATGTCGATCCCTCTTCGTGCCTGATACGCCGAGCCAGCTCGCCATGGTTCACCAACGAGGCGAACAAGATCCGAAGTCAAAAGTTTCCATCCCTCGTGGCTGAGGAAGATGTCACGCCCCTCGTCAAAGGTCACAAGTGCTTCGAGCGCCACCAAGACAGGAGACCTAAAGTCAAGCTTATCTTCCGACTGCTTGTCACTGCCGCGATACAACTCCATAAACATGTCCATCAGACCTGTTGCCTCCTTGCGAAGGGTATCATTTTCATCTTCGCGCAGCCATATGCTCAGCGCCCGCAAGGACGAAAGGGTCAGCGGGTCTTCGTCCACATTGTTCGTTTTCGAGTCCCAAGTCAGCGTGGGCCTCGACCCCGTGCTCGTCTCGGCAGCGCCTGTCCTTGCATCGATATGGAGCCCCATTGCGCCCGCCACGGACGCATCCCACCGGTCGCGCAGATACTCGGCGGTCACGGACATTGTCTCCGAGATGCCCTTGCGTAATTTGAGCAGGCTGTCTGGGGACATGATCATGAGCCCGTCTTCGTCCAGAGATCTCAGCAAGAACCCTATAAATATGGAGACGACGTCAAAGTCGAGCGCCAACCTGCGAGACGTCTTTGGATACTCTGGACTGTTGAGGTGCTCGAGGAGCATGGGTATCGATGATCGAATATCTATGAGGATGAGATTCACGAACAGATAGCCGGATGGCTTCTCGTCTTTCCTGTCCTCAGCGAACAAGAGTTTGGAAGCCTCATCGGGATATGCCTGCAGGATGGACGCCGAGGCATTGGTGTAAGCCGCCCGTGCTTCAGGTGTTGGGCGACTCTTGACAAGATTTTGTATATACGTGACAACAGTCGGTAGCCAGGGCGCAGTAGCGGGTATCAGCTGGCACTCATTAGCCTTGGACCGACGGTAATGGGGTTTGTTCAGGAGTACCTTGCTATCTGCTTGCCGGAGAAAGTCGCCCAGAAATTCAAGTAACGTAACGCCATCCGTGCCCGAAAATGAAGGTATTAGAATCTTCAAGGTGTCGGCTACCTTATTAGGTGTCAACGTAACATTCTGGCCAGTCATGGTGTTGAGCCACGAGAGTCGTAGGACATTGAGCGCCAGAGGGTTTGAGGGAGCAATCTCAGTCAAAGGGCTGAGATCCTCGACCTTGCTGACGCGCGCCGCACCCTCGGGGTTGCTTGCTAAGGTGCTCAGAAGCTGTAGGGCGAGGGTAGTGGTCTCTGGAGAGCTTCGCAAATCTGTCAGTGTGTGCTGCGTCTGCTAGCTCGTACGTGTACTGACCTCTGCAGAAGTGCAGCTATCACTCGCGGTATCCTTGCCACAAATCTCACACCTCTCCTCGATTCGTCGGGCAAGAGCACACTGAATGTATGCAAGATCGATATCGAAAGATCCAGCATGTCTTTTGCCTCCTGATTTGCCGGGTCACTGCCTGTCTTCAGCAGTCTGTCCAGAAATTTGGGCTCGATACACTCCCATAGACTTTTGACGACATGCTGGTCTTCCCTGAGCTCTGAATGGTTGTCAAGAATAGATCTAGCGAGCGCGAGTCCGACAAAGCGCTGGGTGTCATCTCTGGATCTGAGAAATTGTCTAATACGATCCAGGCTCGCTGCTGGGTCTTTCGGTTTTGCCATTTCATCCTGGGCTGATGATGGCTCCATTGGTGCTGGATTTGGCTACCAGTAGCGATCTCTATGGAAGCCTCGTGAAACCACCTGAGCAGATATGACAATGCTCGGCCAAGCTATATGTTTCCTCCAAAAGTCGTGTGGTAGATGATGTAAAGCGAGTCAAGCTGGTACCGAAGGTGGAGCCTAAGCTTATCGCGCCACTGCCGATAAGAGATAGGCCTTATCGCATCTAGCCTACCTTGAGGTAGCTTGGACAAGCAAGCACCTTGATGTCAATGACAGACGGGCCTTACCTTGGTCCAGGGCTAGACTAGGAGACGACGAAACATTCGCAACAGACTGCACGCACGCGCCCGGTTCGCCCTGCGAAGGCATACAGACCAAGGCAATGGTCAGATAAGAATCTCTCTGCACCATGCCCCTCGCACCTCGCAACGGACCCTTCCTCGCCGGATCCTCCTCGTCGCATTCACCTGGCGCGAACACCCCGAGCGCATCCCCCGACGGTCGGGACGAGATTGACTTTCTGAGCGACGACCAGTATGCTGTAGGCGATCTCGGTATCGGGCGGAGTGATCGTAATGTGCTCGACGACGACCCTATACATGCAGATCTAGATGCGCCCCTATCGTTCAAGCGCCGACAGAAGCCATCCATCTTCTCGGGACCAGCGCAATTGTTCGCTGCTTTCAGGGGCCAGCCGCAGACTCCGACCCATCGATCGCCCTCCCCCGTCAGCGGCGGAGACCACAATGTCCCCGATATTACTTTCTTGACTACGTCGAAAGATGCCAGCGCGCATGACTGGTACATTGAAGGACAAGGGCGCCGAGTCGGATACGAGGATCTAACGGCCATCGACTGGATTTTCGAGTACAACAAAGAGCGCAGGCGGCTGCGCTCGCTAGCTGCAGGAGCGGGAGGCCTACTGGGACACTTTCGCCATCTCATCGACGCGAGTAAGGTCTGGATCATCGTCCTGTGCACGGGCATTTGTGTCGGCGCCATTGCTGCGGCCATTAACACTGCGTCGGACTGGCTGGGCGATCTCAAGGAGGGGTACTGCTCAAGTGGAGACGAAGGAGGTCATTTTTATCTCAGCAAGAGCTTTTGCTGCTATGGTTATGACCAGGGCTCCAAATGCGACGGATGGAGACCCTGGGGCGAGGCACTGGGCCTGGGCTCAGGAGGCGGGTCGTTTGCCATGGGCTACGTCTTCTTCATACTGTTTTCGGTTACTTTTGCGTACGTGGCGGCCCTGCTGGTTCAGGAGTATGCCTTCTACGCCAAGCACAGCGGTATCCCAGAGATCAAGACTGTGTTGGGAGGGTTCGTCATTCGACGATTCCTGGGCGGCTGGACGTTATTGACCAAATCACTGGGTCTGGTGAGAGACACATGATCACACCTTGTGCGAAGAACCCTGCTGACCGTGACAGATTCTCGCCGTCGCCTCTGGCATGTGGCTCGGAAAGGAGGGCCCCTTGGTGCACGTCGCGTGCTGCGTCGCGAACCTCTTCATCAAGCCCTTTAGCAGCATCAACCACAATGAGGCCCGGAAAAGAGAGGTACTCTCTGCAGCGGCATCTTCCGGCATCTCTGTGGCTTTTGGATCCCCCATTGGAGGCGTGCTCTTCAGTCTGGAGCAGATTTCGTACTACTTCCCCGACAAGACCATGTGGCAGAGTTTTGTGTGCGCCATGGCTGCCGCTGTGTCCCTCCAGGCATTCGATCCCTTCCGGTCCGGCAAGCTAGTCTTGTTTCAGACCAAATTCAGCAGCGACTGGGATGGCTTTGAGATGATTCCTTATGTCTTCCTTGGCATCGTGGGAGTATGTGTCCCAGATACCTGTTTTGCAACAACTCACTAACGACATTCAGGGCATCTATGGAGGCTTGTTCATCAAGTTCAACATGGCCATCGCGCGGTGGAAGAAGGGCAGCGCCTGGTTACCTGGTCCGATCTTCCAAGTCGTCGCTGTGGCCCTCCTGACGGCCGTCATCAATTATCCCAACTTCTACATGAAGCTGCAGGCTACCGAGCTTGTCTCGAACCTGTTTGCGGATTGCTCGCAGGTTCTTGACGACGAGCTCGGTCTATGCAAGACCGGCGCCGACTCTCTGTCCACCATTGTGCTGCTCATGCTCGCGGCTGTCGTCGGTTTCTTCCTCGCAGCCATCACATTTGGTCTGCACATCCCTGCTGGCATCATCCTGCCGTCCATGGCCATTGGCGCCCTCACCGGTCGCGCCGTTGGCATCTTTATGGAGATGTGGTTCACCGCGCAGCCAGGCTTCTTCCTCTTCTCCACCTGCGACCCTGACGTGCCCTGCGTCGTCCCCGGCACATACGCCATCATCGGCGCTGCTGCCTTCCTCGCCGGCGTCACCCGTATGACGGTCTCCATTGTGGTCATCATGTTCGAGCTCACCGGCGCCTTGACATACGTCCTCCCCATCATGATCGCGGTCATGGTCTCCAAATGGGTGGGCGATGCATTCTCACGTCGCGGCATTTACGAGTCCTGGATCCACTTCAACGAGTATCCCTTCCTTGACAACAGTGAGGAGATGCTCGTGCCCGACATCCCAGCGGCGCAAATCATGACCAGGATCGAGGATCTCGTGGTTCTCACCGCTTCGGGTCATACCATCGCCTCCCTGACCACAATTCTCGAGACACACCCTTATCGCGGATTCCCCGTCGTGTCGGACCCGAGAGACGCCGTCCTCTTGGGATACATCTCCCGCGCAGAGCTCAGCTACAACCTCCTTGCCGCGACTCGCCCCCCTCGAAGCCTACCCGTTGAGACGGAAACATTCTTCTCCCATCAACCACTGGCGGATCCGAGGACGACCCTCGATTTGAGGCCTTGGATGGACCATACGCCTATCACTCTGCCCTCGCGCACGGCACTCCACCTGGTTGTGTCGTATTTTCAAAGACTAGGTCTGCGTTATGTTCTCTTTACGGACAGGGGTACTTTACAGGGTATCCTGACCAAGAAGGATGTTTCGTACGTCCTCAATGGCGCCGCGGAGACAAGACGGACCACGAGTGCGCCAGATGGTACCAGTCATCGAGGACTTGGGTCAGCAAGACAGAGTGGTGAAGAGGAAGAACGAGGCTTGCTAGGAGTCGAGGATGAGGAGGACGATGAGAGAGATGAAGCGAGAGCGCAGTCTTCAATGTTGTAGGCTTTGTTTCGAACCATATATGCTCATATATCACCTCAGAGATTTACACATGTTGTATTCCTGTGTACCATGCTCCCTCTCTAGTGATAGGCCCCAAGCGCCAAACATGCCCATGCAAATACAGAATCCGACGATCATGCCACATGCTGCTAGTCTAATACTCGAAATCATCATCCACCGACGGTCCCTTGTTCTTCGTTACGCTCTCCTGCTTCCTATACATTTCCGCGACCTGCCTCGAGGACGTGGCTTCGTCGGGCTTCTTGTCATCTCGTATCTTGATGAAGCGAGGGAATCGCAGACTGATGCCTTTCAATCCACTGGGATCGACGCCCTCCTTCCACCCGGCTTTGTATCGAGGACTGAGCGTCAAGTCCGCCGTCTTGACCTCCCAGACGTAGCGCGGCTCGAACCAAACGTCAGGTTGGTGCTGGCCTCCGCTCGAGTGGGAGTAGAACGGTTTAGGTCGGTCAATGGTGATTTCTGAAAGTTGCTTATGCAAGTCTTCAAGCACTTGCTCAGAAAAGCCTGTGCCGATATTGCACACCGTCTCATAACTTTCGGTGTTCGGGTTCCAACACGCCAGCAGGAAAGCACCGTAAACGGATGTACGCTTGCCTTTGCCGTAGTAGGCACCAAGCACGACAAGGTCAAGGGAATCTCCCACGCCAGCCAGGTAGTCTTTCTTGATCTGTGCGTGGTCAGTAAAAGTTCAGTCCGTGTCACGAGCGGAACAACTCACCTTGAGCCAATTGCGACTGCGTTTGCTGGGCTCATACCAACTCTCGGGTCCGTCCAACATCTTGACCATCAGTCCTTCGCAGGACGCTTTGACACTTTCGTCCAAGAACACTTGAATCTCGTCGAGTTCTTGTCCATCCATGGACTCCGCAAAGGCGAATTCGCCTTCAACGGGATTGAAAGCATTCTTAAGCAGCTTTCGTCTTTCGGTCAGACTTTTCTTGACCGCGGGCTCGCCATTGAGATAGAGGAGATCAAAAGCGAAGACACAGACCTTGACCTTAACGTCCTCGGCTTTGACATCCTTGCGTTTCCGTGTCATCAGTTGCTGGAATGGCAGCACCTTCTTCTCCTCAACATCCCACGCCACCGTCTCACAATCGAGCACGAAGCTCTGTGTATCGTCTTTGATCCACGTATGAAGCTTGGCTAGCACATCAGGGTACTTCTTAGACAGGTCTTCCGAGTTTCGCGAGAAGATGGCCGCGACACCACCGGCAGCCTCCTGGTTCGCATCCGGCTTGGCTTGGCTGAGTTCTTCCGGTGCCTGTTTCGCAACATAATGAATCTGAGCGCGCTCGCCGTCGTACTTATACTCGCAGGTAAATTTCTGCCCCTCGAACCGGTCCAAAACCTCGGTAATGGCCTTGGTTGGCTTAGCCAGCATAGGCTTCAAAGGCACACCGGGCTTAAGCTTGCAGGTATCGGGCAGGTTCATGATGCCACCCTCCAGCATTGCGGGAATGATAACATTGTAGCTCGGAAGCTCGCTGGGGAAGGTCAACACCCTTGTCCAAACTGGAGCCACACAAACCATACCTGTAGACCTGCTTGAGCATTGCCTCACCTTTCTCCATATCCGAAGTGCTAGGTACCTTTCCCTCCTTCTCAGCCTCGTGGCAGACAACGGCTTGAGCCAAAGCAACAAGCACCGTCCTTTCAGCCAAGCCGAGACGAAGTTTGCCCTCCAGAAAACGGACGACAAACTTGGCCTCGCTGGGGCCACCCTTGTCCTTGTGGATGTCGATCTTGACACCAGAAGAGTCGGCTGCCGAAAGTAGTTTCTTGATGCCAGCCACTTTCCGCCCCTGCGCACCGTTACCCGACACTGTAGCAATGGCCATCAATCCCTGATGAACACCCTTGACTGTCAACGGTGGGGGCTTGAGTATGGTCGCCTGCCTCGACCTGGTCTTCAGCGCCACAAGACCAAGATCGCCCACTGCTTGCTGCTCAGCCTTGATGCCAGCCAGGGTTTGCCCACCAGCCTCGCTGATAGCCTTCATGATAAGAGATTCGCCAATGCCCAACTCGATGCCTGCGTAGTCTGGGGCGAGCTTGTTGATCATGAGGAGGACCGTGGGCAACAGGTCGCCCGGGGTGAGGCGCATGACTTGCCGCAGGAACTTGGCGCAATGCTCTGTCATGATCAACCGCTTCGTCGTCATTTCGATCAGCGAGAACGTCTGACAAAGCGCCGCATACGGCACAGGGGCCCCTGCTTTCCAGTCTGGATATGGATCGTTGTGGTCCTTTGCTTTGAGCTGCGTCTGAAGCATCTCGCGTGCCTTCTTTGCAATCGCGGGCTTTTCCTCTTCCAGCTCAGCATCTGATGCCGACGAGGAGGCTGTAGCATCCTCCTCTGCCATTGCAACATCCTCGGCTTTTTCGATCTGCTCTGTTTTCACTGCCGCGCTTTTCTTTTGCACCTTTTGGGTTGCTTTTGTTGCCGTGGTCTTTTTGGCAGGAGGCGATGCGGATAGGGGTTCTTCAACTGACTCATCGTCGTCTTCTTCTACTTTGACTCGCTTCCTTCTCGATCGCTTGGCTACAGGAGCATCATCTTCGTCATTCTCGGCAGGTTCAGATTTCGGTTCGGCGTGACCATTGGCTTGGCCTGTGGGCCGAGCTCGCTTCTTGGATTCTAGTCACCGTTAGCTCCCGAAAAACGACACAGAGAGATTTCAAGCTCACGCTCGGAAGCGTCCGAGTTCTCTTGCGCCTCAGCATCCTTCATTTCAGTATCTGCCTCCACCTCATCTTTGATCTCTGGCTTCTTCGCTTTGGCCGCGAAGGAGAGCTTAGTCTGTTGAGGGGGCGGGCCTCCTTTTCCGCCAAAGAATTTGCTGTGGACTCAAGTCAGTACAAAAAGAGCTTGATGAGGGTATTCGAGTGCCAAACGCACCCGATTGTGGTCTGCGCGGGCTTCACATACCCCAATGTAGCCTGTTTCGACGGCATGACGACAACCGATGATCGTCTCACAGATGACGTGAGATTTCTGTGTTTGATATGATGGATTATTCGCCAACTATGGAATGGAAGAGTTTCTCTGACGGACAGCCGAGGCGGAGGACAGGCTGATATGATGGTTGTCGTGGGTAGGCAGCTGCTCAGTCTGACTGATCTCATGACGCGCTTTTCCAGGCAGAAGCGCGTTAATTGGAGTCACGTCGCGATTCACACCTGCAGGAAACTGAGAATGGAGGAAAGGCGCGACGCGCCCCACGTGAGCAGTAGATCCACTTTAAATATTGCCATTGAAGCAGCAGCAGAAGTTAATTAGGCTTCATTTTCGATTGAATTTTGTTGAGCTAGATAAATGTTAATTGCATATCTCTTCTGAGTTGATGTGTATCAATCATGAGTACGGGCTCACAGTTTTCATCGCACATTTGGCTTGCCCGTTGCTGCTGCGTCGAGGAGACTCAACACAAGTACAAGGGCAAGGCCCAGGCGGCTGTCGTGAACCACAGGACAGCTGATCAAGCAAACCGGTTCTATACTTTGACGTTTCCCTTATTGATTTACCCAACACTGTGCATGCCGCAAATTGTTCCTGCCCTCTAGCTAAACGAGTATAATACAAACAGATCGCGGCCTCCAAGACGATAGACAACACCGGGAATCATTATGTGTGGGCCACCGCTTCCCCTCGGCCTCTCCCTTCCACTCTACCAGCAAGCCAGTTTACTGGTTGAAGTAGTAGTTTTCGTCCGCGTGACGACCACGGATGAACTTGGGCTCGGAGCCGCGGACGTAAATGTCCTCGTACAGAATTGAGGGCTTGGGCTCAGGGACAGCCATGGCCTCGGCGATGGCAACCTCCTCCTGGACGTGGCTGCGCGCCTCCTTGTCAATCTTCTTGAGCTCGTCCTCGCTGGCGACCTCCCAGTCGAGGATCCTCTGCTTGAGCCCGGCAATGGGGTCGTTGGTCGAGCGCATGCGCTGAATCTCCTCACGCGTGCGGTAGGTGGTTCCGGGATCGGACATGGAGTGGCCACCGTAGCGGTAGGTGACGTACTCGAGGACCATGGGACCCTTGTCGGCGGCAGTCCACTCCGTTCCGTACTTGACGGCGGCCTTGACAGCCAGAATGTCCATGCCGTTCACCTTGAGACCGGGGATGTACTGTCCGCGCTTGTAGTAGTCGGTCAAGGCAGAGGAGCGGGCCGCAGAGGTACCCATACCGTACTTGTTGTCTGGGAACGGTTAGCAATCTTGTTCTCTCAAAGCACCAAGTGGGAGCACTCACTCTCGCAGCCGAACAGGGCGGGGAGGTTCCAGAGCTTGGCCATGTTGAAAGCCTCAAAGACCTGACCCTGGTTGCTAGCACCATCACCGTAGAGGATGATGGAGGCCTTCTTGGTGTCGTTGTACTTGTGCGCAAAGGCGAGACCGGCACCGACTGGGACCTGAGCGCCGACAATACCGTTGCCGCCGTAGAAGCCCTTAGAGAACATGTGCATAGAGCCACCCTTTCCGTAGGCAATGCCCTCACGGCGACCGAGCAGCTCGCCGATGATGGAGCGAACGGTGCCACCACGCATCAGAGCGAAACCGTGGCATCGGTAGGCGGTGATGATGTCGTCCTCTTTGGTGATTGCGTGTTCGATACCGACGGCGACAGCCTCCTGGCCGGTGGACAAGTGGCAGAAACCGCGAATCTTCTTCTCCTTGTAGAGGCGATCGGCCGCCATCTCCATCTGTCTGCGCGATTATCAGTGCGCCATCCCACAGCGTCGGAGCCCATCGGGAAACATACCGGACAGCAACCATGTCGTAGTACATTTGCTTCAGCTCGGCCTTGGTGACATCAATGGTGTAGGGAGGGGGGTCGAGCTCGTAGGTCTCGAAGCTCTCGTCGCTGAGGTTGACCGAGAAAGTCTCATTGTCATCCTACCACACATTGTTAGTCGTGGCTGCCCTCTCGAATCTTCCATACTCGTCGATCTGAGAACACCATTCCTTCGGGCGTGATCGAAGACTCGGGGAAAAGACGCAATCGCTTACCTTGGGCACCTTGGCGCTCAGGGACGAAGAGGCAGCGTCGGTGGTAACAAAGCGAGGACGGGCCGCAAGGGCAATAGGAGCCCTGGTGCGCGAGGCAAGCGCCCTGGGCACTCTGGCAGCTCGGGAGAACATCGCGAGGTCGGGTAGGGGCCTCTGGACGATTAGGGAGAGGTTGAGGTTGACGAGAAGATAACAGGCGCTGGTTCCGAGAATTTGCGATGTTGGGGACTGAGCTTCGGATTTGGTTGGGACCAGCACTAAAATGGATTAGCGCATCTACACGTGACCCCTTTTTCATCAAAACGAGCGTTTTATAATTCACCGATATCATTCACTGCATTGACCATCTGTCCAGACTCACTTTGACGGGCATTTGTGGTATCGGATTCGAAGCTTGTTAGTCTTGCCACTATTAATTGCGTGGGCATGGCCGACTGGCCACTCACGTATGCAGTGATCACTCCCAAAACAATGGAGGCTCCTGACCAGACTTGGCCAGATGCCTCCTAACGTTAGGACATTTGCGCTAGGTCCGTATGAGTACTCCGTCCTGTTGTAAATGATATTCAACCAATCGACGCGCCATGCTTCGTAGTTTCAGAAACAGCCTTGCCACGCGGTCCAAGATGCGTCGCCTCCATAACGCCATACAATGCAACACAAAGATCCGTTGTCGGACCAATCCCGAAGACGAGGTACGCCGAGTACTGCTAGAGAAAACTGTGATCGGCAATAATCGATGCACACACAGTTGTTACCTCAGTCTTCGTGGAAGAACGTTTTGTTGCCAGTGGAAGGACCAGCCTCAGCTTCTGTCATGTCGATATCCTGGTCTTGATTTGCCGCCTGGGAGCTGGACCCTGAAGAGGAGGGCTCGGTGTAATCAACCACCATTGCGCTTAGAGGTCGACTTGGATCATCCTCGAGCACGCGCTGTTGGATAGTCGGCGGCCGATCAAAGATCACCTCGTCAGGCGGAGTGAAAGTCCAGACCTCGCTCGGTTAGCACATGGCACGATTATGTCCCAAATCGACCGTCACAACTTACCTCCATCACAGTCCGGCCTTGTCTGAGGGCAAGGGCGACGCATTTCTCAGCTTCAAAAGCAACGCGCCACACAGCTTCACCTTGAGCAATCAGCTCACGCACAAGGAGTCCAGTTTTCAGATCCCAAATCTTGACGCGTCCGTCGCTACCGCCGCTGACGATTCGGGTGTCGTCAAACTGCAGACTGGTCACGCTGTTGTCGTGTGCAGCAAGCCTGTGAATGGGACACATCTTCTCTAGAGACCACACGCGGACAGACCCATCAGACCCGCCCGTGACCAAGGTGTCGCCACGCATCTGTAGCTGGCCGACGAGCGATGTATGACCCTGGAGAATGGCAAGACATTCGCTACGTCTTGTTTAGTTGACTTCAAACCGCTGTATCCCAACGACAAGACTCACCCAGTGAAAGGATCCCAGATTCGGACATTCGTGTCCAGACTGCCGGTCACGACGCGCTTTCCGTCAAAGGCAATGGCGTAAATCTGGCTGAAGTGACCTTGGAGTGTTTGCAGGCAACGACCTTCGGAAATGCTCCACACTCTGGCGAACGTATCGTAGCTACCTGATACGACAATGTCACCGTGGATCTCGAGGCATCTGACACTAGATTGGTGCCCCACCAGGACATTACGGCACAGGCCAGAGCGGATATCCCAGATGCGCAAGGTGGTGTCACGCGAGCCCGAGATGGCGGTGTTCTCGTCCGCCATCTTGAGGCACCGAACAGTCGAGGTGTGTCCGCGCAATGTGTGCAGGCAGTGTCTGCGTTCGTCAGTTTGAGTTGAGAAACCATTTTCCGAAAGACATACCCTGTGCGAAGGTCCCAGACGCGCACGTCTCTGTCGCACCCACCGCTGACCAGCGTGTCTCCCCATGGGACCATAGCCCAGACCCCCATGACATGACCTTGTAGTGTGCGAAGCGTATTGCCCTCCGTATCGAATACATGGATCCTAGCATTATCCAGGGCCAAGATTATGTACTTGGATGTGAGATGGAGACTGGTGACAACGCCTCCTTCCTGTGTTATATTCCGGGCGACGCATGAGCCACCAGATCTCCATGCCGCATCCACAAGGTATCGCTGCTTGAAATGCGATTTGTAAGACCTCATTTTCGGGCGTATTGACCGACTTCCTCCATCGAGCGATCTCGAACCCCCCACATGTGCCGTCACAGGGAGTGCACCGGGGAAGCTCGCAGAGTCGACGTTTGTCAGTGGTTGTATTGCCGGCCGACTGTATCCTCCAGGACTGCCGCTCTCTACCTCGGACATTCTACGTCGGTAGTCGTGCTTCAAGCAGAGATTCTTCCAAGTCATATCGTCGCTCAGTAGGTCGCGCCACCGTGGGGACACTTGCGATGCCCGCGCAAGAACCTTGGGGTCGTCAATGAACGAGAGAATCTGGGACATGTTAGTTCCATGTGGACAGGTGCCACGAGTGCCGCATGTGTACTGACTCGTAGGCAGAGCTCGTCTGGCAAACTGGTGAAAGGGTCTTTTTTCAGCAAAGGGCTGACATGTTGGTGGACGAAGCTCAGTTGCGGACTGGTGCATAGATTCAAGAGATCGGCGAGAATGCGGGTTCGCTGGGGACCAGAGCAGTTCTTAAAGTGCTGCCTAACCTTGGCGAGGAAGAAGTCCTCGTCATCAGCCGCGCCACTCCAATCAGGCTGACAATGTGAAGGACCTGGAGACGCTGCGGGTGTGGGAGGTGGGGGCGGCGATCCCACGAGCTGTTGGTCGAAATCGGCAGCAGGCGTCGACATACTGGGCGTCGGTGGCCCTCGCACATGTCGAGACTGGGTCATCTTGGCTAAGCGAGGGTCTGACATGGAGGCCGATGTGTCAAGGATGAGCTCTTCGCTCAAGGTGCTGCCTCTTCGCTCAGCAAAGCTCAGGGTCCGGCCTGGATCTGACATTGAGGCGGTCTGGGTCGATCTTCGCGCGCCGAAGACTGCAACTGGGGGAGCAGATCTGAACGCTTGCGGCGGTGTTGAGGCTCGTCTATCGTACGCTCCGTCTTCGAGATAGGCGGTGCAGTCGGGCAGGTGTCGAGAGTTCAGAAAGGAGAGGGCCGGGTGTCAGCTGTGTTTGGTACGTTTGGGATGTTTGGCGGTAGCAGGCTGCCCAGCGGGTACAGCGTTTCAACCGGTCAGCAGTGTGGCCCTGGGCAAGGGGCGCGACTGGCGGCTGGTATTCTGCAAACGCGACCTGCGGTTCTGCAGCATCGAAGGGACCTTGTATTGAAGCGGGGATTGTGTAAAGGGTCGATATCGAGGGTGAAATCCGAGGTCGAACGTGGATGTAGGACGTCGAGACAGAGGGAGGAGGGGCGCTAATGGACGGTAACGGCAATGGTGTCACGCATCCAATGGTTGTGAAGCACTGGCGGCAGTGGCCAACAAATGACCTGGAGGCTGATCACCAGAGGAGGGAAGAAGCAGAGGCGAGTCATGCGGTGGAAGGGACTGGACTGCCCCGGACATAACAAGGCCATACCATGGTCTTTGTTGTTAATGATCATGTAATTACTTGTCGTATCTGTCAAAACCTCCATCCACAAACGCAATTGTAGTTAAGGCAAACTTGTTTGGCATTGGAACTCCATCAAAGCGCTCGTCACGTCGGGTACAAGCATCACCCGGAACGCCTGCCGTTGGGGCGCATCCAGACTTCCAGTCGCTAGTGGACAGTGAATGGACAGTGGACACCGCGGCGGCTGCTTCCTGCGGGCCGTACGTGGTCCAAACTGAATTAGCGGCTGCGCAAGAAGCCAGTCCATTTGAGTGAGTTCTTTAACCTGACCACGAATCGTCTTGCCATACAGGAAGAGCGCAAGGGTACTTACTAACTTACCTAGGGCTTCGTTAGGATTGACTGGCGTAGCTAGCGTGCTCTCCTTCTGCCATGATATTTGACTTGCGTATGAAGTTAGTTGCCTGTCTAGGCTCGAATGGCTTCGGTCTGCTTACCCTATGTGCATGTTTTCATGAGAATTCACTGGAATCTGAACGCATGAACCTACGAGTCCCATCAAGAGTAGAAAGACCGTACTTGCTGTAAATAATGTGAGGGCATGGGGAGCATTCGTTCTGTATCTTTCTGATATTGACAACTAGTCCAGCCGCAAGAGCAAAACGAGGTTCCGTTACACCAAGCCATTTGTAAAATAAAGACGGCTGCATCAACGAAACGCCGTGCTGGGTCATGCCAGTTTCAGATGTGCAATTACCCCAAGGGGAAATTATCCAAGCAATACTCTACAATGCATCTCGCCAATGTTCTATGCCATGGGATATATAAACTTCGAAAAGGTACCAGTAATCAAAGGGACCTCTCCTGGATCAATGATGATGATGACCAAACTGTGTGAGCAGAGGCAAAAGCATGCCAACCATGGTCACAAGAGTGTCCCTCATCTGCGGACCCTGGGGTTTCTCGTGCGCTTGGCCTCCAATACTCGTGTAGCCATTCGAACCGTGGCTTTCATGTCCGCCGTGTTCACTCTCTTGCATCGCATGCATGGCCACATACCTAGGTGGACAGCGTCAGTCAAGCGAATTTCGCGCCCTTGAAACCAAGTAAACTTACAAGAATGTGCCGCCGGAGAACAGCAGCAGCATGCCAGTCCACCAGTTCGAGTCCTCGCCGCCGCCGCCACCGCCCAACATGGTAACGAGCATCCACGTGGCAAGGGCCCCGACGGGGGCAGCCAAGCTGAACACCATGAGGTGCGCCCTAGCCGCTCGCTTGGAAAGCCCCTGGTGCAAAAGCACGCTCGTCAAGCCAAACGCTGCAGGTGCCTTGTGGATCATGATGGCAAAGAAGATGACGAGACTCAGCTTGGTGTCCTCCGTTGTGGAGCTGGCACCCATGGCGATGCCATCAGCTGCCGCGTGGATGACAAGTCCCAGTGTCGTCGCCATGCTGCGAGCGGGAGGTGAGCCGCCAGACGTTGCCTCGACGTCGTTGCTCGATGCAGTCGGCGAGCCAGGCGCATTGCCATTGAGGTTTTCCAGTGAGACGTGCAGAGTCGCTGGGACGCTGTTTCGTGAAGAGGAGGCGTGCTGCGGCAGGCGATCGATGAGGAACATGAGGACGAACCCGAGAATAAGCGATAAGCCAACTTGAAAGGATGGGAATTCGGCATGGTCATGTTCCTCGCCGTCGGCGTGGTCGTGCTCATTCTCATTCTCATGCTCATGCTCATGCTCATGCTCATGCTCATGATCATGCTCGTGCATATGGTCGTGCTCATGATCGTGATCGTCGTGGGCGTCGCTGCGCAACGCCATGGCCTCTGCTTCGCTGGCAATATCGACAGCCGGCTCCGCAAAGCGCACTTTGGGCAGCGGTACGCCCAAGCCAACACCCAGATCCCACGGGCTCCTCTCGGCAACAGATCGAATCCTGTGGGTGTGCACTCCTTCGCTTGGGGATGCGACAGCGCCAATGCCTTCTGGGATGATGACGATCATGGAGGTGCCGACCAAAACACCCACGCCCAGCGCCGACAAGAGCCGGAGCTGCGACGAGGTCAGCGTAAAGGTTAATGGGACAGCGCCAGCCAAGAAAGATCTATTTCGTCAGTTTGCGCCATGGTGAATACTGTTGCGAGGGACATACGCCGCGGCCATGACCACCTGTTCCAACTGTTAGCAAATGCCATCATTCTGTCCCGATGTGATCAACTTACGCTCAACGCGAGCAATACTATGAGGCCACCCATCTTCTCGGATATTTGCACCCGACAGCTAGAATGAAAAAGATGTTCAAGGGGTTAAGAAGGACGGCCAGCACATCGCACACAATTGAATGGCGATTGAATGGCGAGCTATCAAGGTTCACAATGCAAGCTGTCCACGAAATTATTGAAGGGATGCGACCCGCGTAAGCTTGAAGGTACAGTAGGCCAGCAATTGGCTGCGGAGCTCAGAGGACCCCTGGAATCAGCCCCACCGTCGTCGGCGAAAGTTGAAACAGCGACAGTAGGAGGCCAGAATTATGGTGGCAGAAGAAGGTGGAATCGGAAGAGGATGTCTGTGGGTTTTGTAGAATTCATTCGTACCGTAGTAAAAGACATGGGGAATTTGGGACGCGTCAAATACGAACTGTGACCTGCTGGTATTAATAGTGCAGCGGACAGATTGGTGGGGCTGCTAGCTCCCGCCAAAGCATGACGCACTTCTGCAATCCATTTCCGCGAATCGCCAGCGGAACCATCCTTCTTCAAGAGTCAGTAACGCAGAACCACGTCCGGTTGGCATAACATGGCACCACAATGACCGAAGAAAAGAGGTCGCCTAGGCGAAGACACATCCTCTCGTCTATCAACCCCGAAAGCGACGATCCTACGCCTCATCGCATGCGACCAAGGTGGCACTCGCGCTCGCCAACCTCAACACACACGGAGCGAGACAGCGACAGGCGGAAAGAGGATGGCGACGATGGCGACACAAACGATCCTGAAGACACAACAAAACCTCGGCGATCGAAACTCAAGTTGAAAGACCACAAGTCTTCCCGTCGGCGCAAACGCTCGCGCTCGCCACGGGACGAGTCGTCTGGTGGCTCACATCGCAGCCGTCATCACCGCTCTCATCGGCATCGCCCGCGACTTCATCGGACGCCCAGTCCCAATCCCTACGAGCCTCCTCCGCTGTCACCAAATGCCGCCTTTCGCGAATCACTCTTCGATGCGTTGGCCGACGAGGAAGGAGCGGACTACTGGGAGGCTGTTTACGGCCAGCCCGTTCACGTATACCCACCCGAGGAGAAGGAGAATCCGCAAGGCGAGCTGGAGCGCATGTCGGAGGAGGAGTACGCGACCTATGTGCGTCAGCGCATGTGGGAGAAGACGCACGCCGGACTACTAGAGGAGCGCGAGAAACGCAAAGAGGCGCAGAAGAGGAAGGAAGAAGAGAAAGCTAGGCACAAAAAGTGGGAGAAGGATGTCGAAGAGAGTCTCAAACGAGGCGAGGAGAGGCGTGAGAGGAGACGTTGGCACGACAAGTGGGAAGCCTATGAGGAGGCATGGAACAATTGGGACGGCACGCCGTCGACCCTCGCCTGGCCGACGGAATCTGGGAACGGGACAGATGTGGAAGAGAAAGCCGTCCGGGCCTTCTTCATCCATGGCCTCAAGCTGAAAGAAGTGGGGGAAACGGCTTTTGCAGCGCGGTTGAGGGAGGAGCGCGTCCGTTGGCATCCGGACAAGATTCAGCAGCGGACGGGTGGGCAAGCCGATGAGACGACGATGCGCAATGTCACAGCCACATTCCAGATTATAGACCGGTTGTGGGGAGAGACGAGAGCAAAGCAATGAGTAAAGACACATTGCTAACACGAGTATTTCAAAGCATAGCCATAGCAGTACGGCGTCGGGCAGAATTTGATCATGCTCTTTTTATGGACTTTAATAATAAAGGTAGTTGGCTGGTACTTTTGAGAGTATATATTAACTTGATAGCAAAATTAGGCCGTCATGAACTGCGCAGCAGTTCGCTGTGGGGTATTAAATGGCTCCCTCGACTCCACTGATATCCTCGTGTGCAATGCATAACTTCTTATCCGTACATGAATTTCCCATTGGTTCGTTGTTGGTTACAAGTTCATGAAGACGGCGACACCACCGGCGAGACCCGCGAAGCCGAGAGCAGCGACCTGCATAACACCAGCATCCTCGCCGTCACCACCATCATTGTTGTTGTCGTCGTCATTGTCCTGCGCATCCTCAATGGCATCGCTGGCCCTGGAGACGGCGTCGTTGGCCGCCTCGCTGGCCTCGCCGATGAGCGAGGTGACGCGGGCGGCGGCTTCCCCAGAGGCAGTGGCGGCAATATCCGAGTAGGACTCGAGGATGTCTTCGTACTTGGCGGAGACGGACGCGAGCGCGTCGCTCCAGTACGAGGCGGCGTCACCGGTGACCTCAGCGACGATCTCGTCGAACTCGGTGTGGATGTTGTCGACAATGTCGCTGAAGCCATTGCCAACGTCGGAGAAGATGTCCTCACCGATGGACTGGATGTCCTCACCGACGGACTGGATATCGTCGACGACGTCCTGGCCCTGTAGGAAGAAGAAGAGTCAGCACGCCCGATCACAGTACTATTGTGGGCTGTACGAACCTTGGCAAGGGCGAGAAGGCCGGCAAACGCAACAGGAGTGAACTTCATCTTGATGGTGTTGTGTCGTAGGGTTTGTGTGTCGGGATGGGAGGTGGTGTTGGTTTGTACTGGGAAGGACTGAGACGAGTGTCGAAGATGTGAGGGCGGGCTATGTGAGATGCGCGGAATATAAGAACAGGATGGACGAAGAAACTCCGGGGGAAAAGACTTTATATCAACCTCTGACGGATCGTTCAATTGGAATGCAGATGGTATCACCCGTGGTGCAGCGCCTACCTGCTGAGCCCTGTCGCGATGGCGTAAGGTAGGCGTCTGGGGCAAGGCTGGGCCCGCCAACCCCCTGTCTCACCAGCCACTGGCAACTTGGCAGGGCGCAGAAAGGGGCTCAATGTTTCCCGAAGGGGCTTAGTTTGTCATCCCTGTCGGCGAGCCATTCTCCTGTAATTACGTAGTAGTAGGAAGTGCCTCTGCTTCATCACAGCAGTGGTCGAATGGCAGGCATTAAGGTCTTGTCCCTGGCAGTGTCGATCGCCCTGACGTATACGTGTTTCATCCTCACGGGGGAATTGATGCTCAAACAAAAAACGGCCGAAAGGAGCGCGGACAAGCGAGTGCCGTGTAATGACAGCCGTTGAGGCACGGGGGATGTGGTGAGGTGGGCGTGAGCATGCGCACCTTGCACGTTGCGTCACCAACAATCTGGACCTGCAGTGGGGGCCTGTTCGATCTACATGTACGTGTACTCCGTACATAGGTCTGTGACATCGGTCCTGTTCAAGTCAACAACTGTACTAGTAACCTAACGTTAGCTGGTCAAATCAATCAATAGCACACGGAGTTTGCTCCGTACATGCTGCGTCATGTCACTCTAAGCGAGGCAGATTCTCAAGGATACGCGGTATCGAGACAGAGCCATCTCAAAGAAAAGCCTCTCCTAGACTAGACCGTCAGACAATGTTCCCCGTACATCTATAGTTACTGCCCATCGAGCCGCGACTGCCCGGCGCCTCTTGCTGTAACCAGACAGCCTGAGGGCGTGTCCGAAGTGGCGGGCCAGCTTGCGTGGCCTTCCGTCGTGGGTGCTTGCGGCATCGAGTTCGACACTCTGGTGTCTTGACGGAGGAGCCACAGTCCGTAATAGTGGCTGGGCGTACGCCATGATTACTCGCGTCACCGGGCCATTCATGGTGCACCGATCTCTCAATGGATTATCATCAAGGTTCAAGTGTGATACGTAGTTTTCGCTAACAACATCGACCGGCTTGGCGTACGCCATTTACCTGGGACATGTATCCCGTCGGAGGATGGAACTGTGATCGTGAGAGATCTTACGCGACCTACGTACGTACTTCATAGTGACGCGCTGGTAGAGCTCTTAACATGGTTATGCTTAAGCTCATCAGTGAGTTAGTTGACTGTCCCCACATCCGCAGTGCAAGCAAGTTCCGACCGCCTTCACGACATGGCATTTACCACGCAGCGACCGCGCCCGCCCATTTGTGCATCAGACATCCCGATACGGCGAGATGCCCTTCATGAGCTCCCCCACAATCTCATCTGCCTCGTCTGCGCCCTTGGTCTCAAAGTCGTACCGCTTACTCTCGGTCGCCCTGTACACTACGAGCTGCTTTCGCGTCAGCAACGTGGCTCACAGGCACGGGGTTAGATGGAGACGCTGGCCTACCTTGACATTGGTCGGATGTTTTCGCGGCACCTTGCACCCAACGACGTTGCTAAAGTGCACCGTTGTCGTCTTGCCCCCACCGTCCGTCAAGGCCTTGCCCCCGGACGAGGGCACAATGTGAATGTACTCGCCGTCAATCACCAGGATCCGCTCGCTCATGCCCACGAGGCGCATCGGCTGCTTGCGCCACACAGTGTACTTTTTGTAGTTGGCATGGCCCAGCTCGTCCTGCTTGGCGATCTCGCGCGCCAGCGGGTGCGGGCCCAGCATCTGCTGCGCCTTCCTCACCTTGCGGCCCTGGTACGACATGCCATCGGCCCCCGGGGCCTTGGGCGATGCGCTCCCTGGCGAGCCTGTCATGGTGAGCGGCCCGTCTGTGGCGAAGCGGCGTCGGTAGAGCTCCAGGTCGGAGACGTTGCCAATGGACGACACGGGGCGATCGATCATAACGACCGCCCCGGACCCTGGCAGCTTCAACACGTGGTTGCCCTTGTCGAGCTGTCGCTTGCGGCAGACGGCCTCGAGCACCTCGGCGAGGTATGTCTCCGTCGTCACGTCGACCGTCACCATCTGCCCCGGTGCCGTGTCGGATGACATGATGTGGATGCGAAGCAGCTTCTGCTGGCCACGCGAGGCGTTGTTCATGACTGCCGGCACAGCTGGCGCGTCCGCAAGAGGCGTGCTCGTGTTCATGCGGAAGGTAGTTGTGATGGGGTTGTGTCGAGGTCGAGCGGGTGCTAGCACTTTCGTCGTGTTCACAACGCCAGTCATGTCGTTGGGTATGGCATCCTCGGCATGTGGCGTCTCTGGCGCCGATTGTGATGATGTTTGCTCTTCCTCCTCTTGTTGGGGCGTTAACGCCTGATTCTCCTCAAACTCGTCGTTCGAGGCGACGACTAGAGCGAATTCGTCGTACGCTGTCGAATTAGACCGCATGCGGCCGCCGCCCCTGGCATTCGCATTGTTCACGGTGGTAAAGGATATTAGGGGTTTCGTCCGCTCAAAGGGCGGGAAGTCGTCGTCCACCTCTCCGCCCTCTTCGACCATGCGCAGCGTAAACCAGTTGATGTTCAGCTTGCCTGGCGCCAGGCTAGGCGCGCGCCTTTCTTCATTGTACCGGTATAGACTCAGCCCGATGAGATCCGCCACGGTGACTTGCCTCTCGGCACTCTGCCCATCGTGCACGCGCGGTCGGATGAGCACCTCGAACGCGGTCTCGGGATCCTCGGAGAAGGCAGGATAGATGCGCACTTTGATAGAGCTCTGGGTCCCCTGGCCACTAAAGTGCGCAAACTTCTGAAAGGGCACACTAGACTTGTGCTCCTTGGCCTTGAGCGCTGCCGACAGTAGACTCCTTGGCGGGGCCACGCTTAGCGGCCTGATCATGCTCATCGGTCTCGGCGGCGGCAGCGCGGACATGACAATAGGCCTGGTCGGCGGTTTTGATTTCCGTATCGTAGATTGCCGCATGAGATGTTTCGGAGGTGTCCCGACTACCTGTCTCGTGGGAGACGCTGCAATTGGCATTTCTGTAGGGTCCAGGATGGAGGCCGAGTCTATGCTCCCGACGTAGTCCAGCTCTGAGCCCTCATCCGAGTCATCCTCTTCCTCCTCGGGCAGCAGTCGCGTGTCCGCCCGCTTGATGCCAGGCGAAGGTTCCTCCTCCTGAATCCTCTCCTGCAGTCTCACGGTCTTCAACGCGGCTCTCGAGTCTGCCCTGCGCCGCTGCACTGCGTCAAGCTCATTCTCTGACGACATCTCGCTGCTGGTGACTGTGTCGCGCCGCATCCGCCCCTTGCCATTGGCAGCATCCAGCGCTGACTGAGATCCTCGCCTGCGCGATCGTGGTGACGGGGCCGTAAGGGGCTGCTTCTGTGTCTGCGTGGGTGACGAGCCTGAGCGGTTCCGGACCGGCATCTTGGCGAACTTGATCTGCTGCGCCGCTCTATGGTCGGTATCATCGTCGCTCTCGTCGCTGAGGTCGCTGCTGTCGTCCTCTTCCATCTGCTCCCTGCGTCGCCTGCGCTTTGTGGCTGCGACACCCGGACCAACCGTGTCAGCACCTCCGCTCGTCAGCATACCGGCGCCGTCGTACTCGCCATCTTCGAGGGTCAGGCCTTGGTGTCGTGGGGCCTGAAAGTATTCGGACGCGACGGCGGTAGGGATCGGCGGGGAGTGTGTTCGTTTGTGGTAGGTCGAGTTGGGGCGCCAACCGGCGGCTTTGAAGGCGGCCGAGGTGACGAAGCCCTCGTCAATGGTCAGGAGTCGCTCGCCGACGCCATCTGCAATTTCGTTGAGGTAGCTAGTCCGCAGCTGGTATGCGACAAGCCTGCCAATGTCAGAAACCATGCCGACATGTCCATTGTTGGGGAGGGCAGGGGAGGGGAGGCTCACTCGTCGAGCTGGATAACCGACATGACGGTATAGGTGGCCTATGCTGGCTGTAACAGGACAATGGAAATCATCTCTGAGACTCGGCCGTCTCCTTGTGATCGCGCGACGTTAACAGACCGTCGCTATAATGAAGCGAGTCCAATTCATGGGATGTACTCCGTAGATGGTGATCGTGGGGTAACAGTTAGTGAATGGCATTCCCAGGAATCGACATGGAGGTCGCAGCGCAGCAGCTGCCGGCCGATAAGCTGATAAAACATTTCTTCCCTCTTGGTCCAACAACGCGCAACGTCATTTGTTGCACCTCACCATTTGCTTCACCATCACACCCATATTATCATCAAGATGGGCCTTGTCGATTATTCAGAGTCCGAGTCCGAGACAGAGGCGCCTCCTGCCAAGACGCCGCCAGCGCCCAGGACGACTACTACCACCGGCAAGAAGCCATTCCAGAAAGTCGTCGATCGATCCAACCCAGGCAAAATCCTCGTCAACCTTCCCTCTGGGTCCAGCGCTGGGCCGTCCTCGGACGAACCACCAGCCAAACGCGCTCGTACGGGCGATGCAGCAGGAGGAGGTCGCTTCTCTGGCTTCAACTCGTTTCTGCCACCGCCCAAGAATGCGAACAAGACCCCGACTGTCGCATCCTCGAGTGGAGGAGTCAAGCCCAAGCCAGGCGTCAACCTGAAGACGAGTGCAGCCCCAGGTTTCAGTCGCGACTTTGACGACGCGAACGAGGTGGAGGGAGGAGGAGCACCCGCAGGCGACACGGTATCGCATCGCGGTACCAACGGACCTACTATCCCAGTGGAACAGAAGCCAGCTGAGGAAGTCAAGTTGGTGGGCAAGCCAATGATGTTCAGACCACTGTCTGTCTCTCGCAATCCAAAGAAAAAGCCAAAGGCATATCCTGCAACACCTGCGAAGCCTGCAGTCTCTGCTCCCGTGGCTACGCCTGCTCCGTCGTCCAAACCACAAGATGCTCCGCAGGTCGAACCTCCCAAGAAGACGTCGCTGTTCTCATTGCATCCCGAAGAAGACCCAGGACCGACCACAGCTGCTGCGAGCAACGGCGCATATCAGCCTCTCTTCGCGTCAGAGACGGAAGCCTACCAGCCCACCGCAGAGGAGGTGGCCGAGTACGCCTCTTACGCTGGTTCTGGGCCTCCTGTCGATACTGGACCCCAAGAAGAGTCCCTCGACATCGTCGCCAACGATCTGAACCTCTCGGCCGCCGAGAGACGCGAGTTGTTTGGTCGAAGTGGGAATGCCGGGCGGACTGCAAAGAACGTCATCAACTTCAACATGGACAAGGAATACCAGCACAACGAGTCAATGCGCGCTGCAGGCGATCAGCAGATTCACAATCCTGTGCGCTCGATACAGGGTGGAGGCAAGCACAGTCTGCAAAAGCTGGTCTCCAACGTGCAGAACCAGCGCGAAGCCTTGGAAGACAGCTTTGCCAAGGGGAAGAACAATCGCAAGGAGGCGTCCGGACGGTACGGCTGGTGATGCTTCATCTCGACTGCTGGGGGAAACTCGTGACTCTTGTTCATCATTTGCAAAACGCAACGCTACTCATGGTATACCTATCGACACGACGCCGGTGTAAAGCAATATTTCTTCCCATTCGACAGACAATGGCCCTCGTCCGCCTCCTCACCAGGTCTCAATCGCAGCTTGCTTCGCTCCTTGGAATGCGTCGTCGACCATCAGGAATCCCCACTCTCCTCTCGTTGTCGGGGATATGTCATCATAGCCGTTCGGCGTCATCGATCCCAGCCTCATGGAGCTGCGCTCCGGACTGAGGACACCAGCCGTCATGATTTCATCAATGGACGATGTCGGCCAAAATTGCACCATGTGCGCTGGCTGGTCGGTTGCTTTTGCCGTGCGGGCACTGTCGTTGTCTTGGTCCCCTTGTCCGTCCTCCCCTGGTGACCTGAGCTTAGCCGGCAGCGGGTCAAAGTTGGTCTGCAGCTTGAGGACGGGTGTTTTGGGCGTGGCACGTCGACTGGCGTCCCTGGTCATTTCGATTTCCACCATGGGCTCGTTCAGCTCATCGTCTATCTCTGTGCCATCGTCGCTGTCATGGTCAAACTCGGATCTGATGATGGGTTCTGCGAAAGGCTCGGATTCGATTTTCGGCATGCCCGAGATGGCCCCTACTGCGTCCAGACCACCGTAGGCTCTCTTGTACATCTCGTCGAGATCGCGCAGAGCCCAGTCTGAGATGCGCAGCCAGTCGTATGATCTCAGCAGCTCGACCTTGGTGACCTTTCTGCCGTTATTAGCAATCACCAATCGACGCAGCTCATCGACCGCGTCCTCAAGACGCATTAGCGAGCCCGTCCTTGCGTATGCCGACAAGGCAGCCTTGAGGCTATAGAGACCATCGAGCGCCACCAGCGTCAACCCTTCCGACTTGAACATGACGTCGTTCTGGATGATGGACTGGTGTATAAGCTGTGCGTTCAGCCCACACATGGAGGAATTCATCGGGGAGGGCAAGCTGTCGCTGTTGGGGTTTCAATTTTCCGTCTCCAGACGCATCAGGGGCTGTCACTTACTTCAGCTCATGTCGATGACTTGCCTTGTCAAAGGCAATGCGCAGCTCCTTCTCCTCGCGCAATGGTAGTCCGGCCGGTTGGATGAACCACATAGTGCCCGAGCTGCTCATTATGGGCGCAGTACCATCAGTTGTGATCGAAGATGCGGTGCAGGGTGTCATGGGAGGCGGCGACATGGGCGTCTTTGGTGTCAACGGGGTCGTTGCCCACCTCGGTCGTCCAAAGCTGAGCCCTGAAAATGGTGTCGAAGGCGACGCAAGGGGCGCGGATGTGGTGTCGATGTTGAGCCGCAGGGGCTTGCTGAACGACCGGCTGCGGACGATATGCTTCAGCGCTGCGACGGGCGAGGAGAAACGCGGCGAGCTGGGTGGGGGTGGGACAGCAAGGCCAGGCGAGCCCAACGGCGGAATCGTGGGCGGTAGCTGGTAGTCTCTGCGAGCCACGACAAGAGTGATGTGCATGGCTTTCTTGGCGAGGCGACCCGAAGCTTGCTCAAGAGCTGGCGTGAGGTGAGGCGGCAGATGATGGGCATTGAGCAGCGAGGTGCCAGCCTCCAGTGGCGACGAGATGCGTTCCTTGAGAGACATGGCAGTGAGTACCGGAAGGCAGATAAAACTCAAAGGGACAAACAAGATTCAGTGCACGACTGGATATCTGAAGATGGATGGATCAAGAGAGTTTTGCCGTGAGTCTGTCTGTCTGCGTTCCAGCCGAGGAAACAAACCGTCAGGGTGGGAACCCAAGACAAGTTATACCTAAGGTACATCCACGTCGCTCTCCTCCTGATCTTCGAAACTGCCGTACCTGCATGATCAGAAACACGAAACACTAGGGCAGCCCCAAGTTCCTGAAACGCGTTTCTATAAACAGATACCACGCTGTGTGCCTTTGCCTTTCTATCTGCATTGCCGCGCCGGAGAGGGGGCCTGGCCGATGCAGCAGCTGTGCGACTTCTCTCTGCCCATGCCCACGAGAACATCATCACCATCACAATCCTCGAACATCAAAAGCAAGGTCCACCATTCGTCACAGGCGTCTAGGCGGTCCCTCATGCACGTTCATGGACCAGTTACCGAACGCGCGGTGTCTGTTAGCCGCCCAGCGGCTACATCCGCTTCTATTTATGGCAGCGGGGGAAAAGGCTTGATTGGGTGTGGATGAGGGGGAAGAGGGACTGGAGCTAGCCTCCGCGATCATCAACAACAGTATTTAGTTATCGTCTGGTACTACCACAGCGCGGGCGTCCAAATCCGAAAATGTATTTTTGGGTGATCTTGGCCCTGCGTGATCGCCGTGTCGATCGCGTCCTCGAGGAGGAGATGGAATAACCGTGCTGCAAGCTATATTCGTGCTGTGACACAACTTGCTCGCTTGGTCTGCACGCGGCTTGTGTTTTCTTATGCTTCCAGCCATCTGTCAACCTGGCCTGGTCTGGTTTGGCCCGACCTGGCCTGGCTTTTTCCTAGGCGAAACAGACGTTCTGTTGGGACTAGGAAGAAGAGTCAACCGACCAAAAATAGTATCTTTGACATGATCGGTGTGATCGTCAGTTGGTTGCTTGCGCCTGGCTATCCAAGGGTCAGTCAGCTATGAGTTCGAGCGCACAAGCGGCTCGCGGGCCCTCGACCGTGCCAACAATGGATGGCACTTGAAATAGAACAGCAATAATTAATGAGAAACAACCAGCCTGTCTGTGGTCAAATGCCATGTTATTGTGCCTCGCTAGTTACACATCAGAAGTCGACCGCGCTCATAACTCGGCACTACGTATGTGAGACCTTGCCAACGCCGAGCCATGTTGCATCGTTTCTTCCACAACATACCCCTAGGGCACGGCAACGTCTTGGTCTGTCATAGTGTCAGCACCGCGCCGATATGTGACTCCCGTATTCAACAGGTGAGCCTGAGGCCAGCAGTGGCGTGGTATCTCTGCTATAATGACAATCGTGAAAGCACCCCTTTGCATCATCCGGAACGCCTCGCCGTCTAGTATCGCGTAATCTCATCAGTTGGCGACCCTGAGCTGAGCATCCACTCGCTCAGGGCGCCTCGTCTGCTTCACCGTTGGCGTTTATAACGTCGAGTTGTTCAAGTGCCTGCACACTAAGCAGGGATTGCCCACTGCGGCTGGGACCCCCTGCTTCTGAGGAGAGGCATGAGCCTGAATCTGCCGTCGGTTTAGTCGCGCGTCGCTAAACATGATGCAGGCGGTGTTGCTCACCGGTATGGTCTTCCTCAATCTCATCGTCCGCTACCAGGTGGGGGATCTCGAGCGCCAAAGCTACCGAACAGTGTTAGCGGATATGCACGAATCAAACACTGTCGCCACACGCTCGCATACCTTGTGCCATGTCATCAAGTCTAGCAGCCGCTTCAGCGCCCATCAGCTCCTCTGTTACCAATTGCCGGCAACCCTCTATCAGCTGCAAGACCAACTCCACCGAAGACTGCGTCAGCTGCTGGTTACCTTCAGCCGCAATGCCGCTGACATGATCCATGCACGCCACAGCAAGCCCGTACACGATGACGGCAGCATCCTTGCGCAGCTGCTCGACTTCGTCGTCGATCTGATCATCCGCCCAATGTATCAACAGCTTTCGATGGACTAGCCTGAGTGTAGCCCTCTGCACGGTCTCTCTTCCGTGTATGAGAAGGCTAGGAACCCACAGGGGCATGATCTTGATGCAGTGGTTCACGACATCCTCATCGGCTTCCGGGTCTCCAAGAACTCGCACGAAGAACTGTAGGAGCAAAGTCAGGTCGACTGTGTCGTAGCGACTTGTCCTGGTTGCCAAAAAGGTCAGAAAGCGTTGAGCCTCGTCCACATATGCCGACAGGATGACAAAGTCGGCGGCGGCAGCCAGGAATGCGGTCAAGTAGTCGCTGCTCTCTTTCGGGTCAAGGTTCGCCTGCAACGTCTGGTGAACTGTCTTTGACATTGGCAGACTCGTGGAGGCAAGCCACCCGACGATGGAGGTCGTCGCCCTCGGATTTTGCTGTATGCCAATCAACCTCTCCACGAAGAAACTGGTGCCGTCGTGGCGCGGGTGGTAATGCAGGAGACTGACTTCTGAGGAAGTCCAGCTGAAGGGTGGGTCCTCCGCCAGACGCTCAGACGCCGATTCAGTGATGCTTGCAGGGCCTATTTCTGGCTCCATCGACCTCAGCAAGTACTCAATAGTCCCGATGATCTCTTCGTACGATACCGTTCGCCGTCTCTCAATGTTCCTCAGCATGCGAGCGTAGTTCTCAGGCAGTTCCGGGTCGCTATCATCGGCCGCAATGATCCGTACCAGCCGGTACAGAAAGTCCTCGGAGAGAAGGTGAGCAACCTCCCTCTCACCAAACTCTGCCCAAGCATGAATGAACCCGAAACACTCATTCCATGAGCGAGGGTGGCTTTGGAAATATCTCCACATGCATTCTACCACGTCCATGACACCTCGGAGCACGGGCACCCCATCCTCGCGCAGGGCACGCGTGTCTTCGAAGCTCCGACGGACAACAGGGATTTCGTTAGGACTATCCGCGTACTCAGAGCTGGACAGATAGCGAGAGGGCGTGCTCAGAGCGATGTGCTCGACCACTCGAAGAAACTGAGCGCCTGTCTCAATGCGGACCCGTGCGCAATGGTTGCGCTGCACAATCGCACGGAATGGATGAGGCCGCAGATGGAAGTATCGATAGTAGATATACGCCGCCTCTTTTGAAGTCGATAAGGCCTTGTCCAGTGCGTTTGAAAAAATTTCAAAGTTGGGTGCGTCCTTCCTCCGGGTCACGACCTGATCCAGGTGAGTGAGCGCGACATCAAAAAGGAGCACTGGTGATATTCCTGAGGTTGTTGTCATGGGGGTCTGGCCCTCCACGGTCAGCTCGTCATCTCCGTGCATCATTCCGAGGCCAGTTGCTGCGTGCTCAAAAATTGATTTGACAAGGGTCGCGTGACTGTGCTCGAATAAGCAGTGGCGCCGGAGGAGTTGCGTGTTATCTTCGAGTATATACTCTTTCAAGCCATTGCCCATCGGCACGCGCAAGGGAAGTTGGAGCGCCTGTTCTATGGTTTCCTGCTGCTGCCGGAGCAAGGACGCCTTTCTCTGGTAGAAAAGCATATAAGCACTGTACATTTTGGCGTTGCTGCCTGGCTCAGCTGCAGCACCAAACGTGGCGTCTTCAAGTAGAGCTGGATCCCATGGAGTTGCCGACTCGTCGTTGAACTCAATCCACTTGGGGGGCTGAGTTCCTGACGGCCGCTCGCGCGCGTACGAGTAGTAGTGGCCTGACTCAGCCGTGCCTGCGTGGACCAGCACGCCGACGAGTTCGAATTTATCCTCACTCGAACTACTCGGATCGCTCAAGTGCTCGACAGTGAAGGGGTTCAGGTCGATCTCGAGGGGGAAAGAGAAGCGTCCGTAAACCTTGTTGCGCTGCAGTGTTTGCAAGTTGAAGTCGAACCGCTTCAGATGAAAGATGATGTTGTCCGGCAAGTCCTTAAGGCATGACCTTTTGACTGCATCTACATGGCGATCGCATGTAGAGCACTTGTACTGATTATCGCCTTCGAGCATCTCACCATCGATGTAGGCCTGTAAGCTCTCCTGGAGGCACGTCTTCCCTTGGACGTCAACTTGAATTGCCTGGAAAGGCTCAAACACCTCGGAAATGTGATCGCACTCCTGCGATTTGATTTGTTGCACCAGCTGGCCGCCATAAAAGGACCGCAGATTCTTCCTCTCGGTGGCGTCCACCATCTGGCCTTCCCATCGATCGAAAATAAGGTTGTAGAACTCATCTACATCCATCTGTTGACCAATGTCGATGTGTGTGTTCTCGTACGTCTTGATAGAGTAGACGAGCGCCGACGGGTCGACGAATCGCTGGTAAGTCTCCTGCATGTAGCCGAATACCTTTTTTGTCTCGGTGAGAAGATGCTGACTGTCAGTAGTTGACTTTTGCTTTGCTTTTAGCATGAAAGCTCTGAACTCTGGATTCATGAAGAGTTGCGTGACCAACGAATTCAAGTAGCACGTATTGGCGAGATTACGCAGACCAACATAGCCTGACGATGCCCTCAAGGCACGGCTAGGATCAAATGGATTAGGCATGTCGTAGAACGTGTAACGGAGATCTATGCAGACGTTAGCGAGCCTCAAGCCAGCACACACATGACATGGTACGGTACCTTCGTCGGGCTCGATGTATGGCAGAGCTTCGTTCAGGCTGTGGAGAATGTCCGCTAGTACCGAATCATCGGCCTTGACCAGTTCGAGGATGATGGCACATAACCCAGCCCTTGTGCGGTCTGTAAGGGCCACATTTTGTACAGAACCGTCCACTTGCCGGCGGGATCGAGGGAACAGATGCCTCCAAAAAAGATCTGTAGCAAAGGACCTTGAAGACGGTAAGCATAGTGTGTGTCAAGGGGCTTCTTCCGACATACCTGGGAAATGCATCAGACCTCGCGAGCGACTGATCCTGCTTTAGACAGATGTCTAAAGTGATAACGAGTCCTTGGAGCACGTTGTCGCATGTCAAGGGATTCGTCACGCACTGCAATCGGGTCAGCGAAGGTTGGCCACACAAAGATGCTGTACCAACCTCAGTGGTTTCCTGAATCAGGAGCAACTCGCCCACTCCAACCGCCAGGTTCTCCATATCCACAAAGTCCGCCATCCTTCCAGGCAGAATGGAGAACAGAGACAAAATTGCCTGGAAGAAATCCTCACTTCGGCTTGGAACATTTGTGGCCTCAGGGATCAGTTGGCAAAGTTTGGGGAGCACCAGTTTGCCAACTCTTCGCACCGTATCTAACCGCATCTCTGCGAAGGGTTTGCTCAAACTTCGGATAGCTTGCATTTGTTCTTTGAAGAATGTGGCGAGAACTTCGCCTGTCGTTTGCCTGAAGGACTTTTGCGAATGAGACAGCAGCAATTTGGCCAAAATGCCCACGACGTCTGATTGAGCGCTGACCCTGTCACAAAAGGCCGAGTCCAGGAGGCAGAGTCGCAAGATGACAGCCAAGCCGCTGCGACAAACATCAAGCGCCAGCGCATCGTTGGACGCGAGAGTTTCGGTGAGCACTGCAACAATGGGCTCCGCAGACGTGATGCCCATACTGTCAAACGAGTAAGCCTCGAGAACTTCCCCGCAGTCTTCCAACCAGATGTGCAGAGCATGTAGCAAAGAGGCAAGCAAACTCTTGTGCAACTTGTCGCCGGAAGGAACGATACTTTCACGGTCGATAAGAGCTCGGACAAGGGCCGCTATGACACTGGATCTAATATCCGCGTAAGGGTGACTCAAAGCCAGCCTGCTGTCTGAAACTCCATCCTCGGCGTCTAGCTCTCGAACGTGCATCCGGTCGAGTAAAGTCTTGTACGCCGAAAAAGCATGTGCAGCGTAAAGAGACCGTAGGTAATGGCCGGAGGGGAATAGTTGATCGTGCGTTTTCGGCAGACTTGATACCGGCCCAAGAATGACTTCCATGTCGGCAGGCAACTGCTTGAGGAGGTGGTAGGTCTGCGTGAGCCACGGCGTCAGTTTGAACAACAGCGGATTAAAATTCACTTACATCGAGCGCCAGGGCCTCGGGGAGATCGAGAAATTGCCATAGATCACGGAAGTGATTCATGACCTCGATTTGAGCATGCGAGCAACTGGGCCCGAACCGTAGGTTCGCTTCATTGCCCGAATGCTCTTTTCTAACAAGAATCAAGCAATTGGTGAGCTTCAGTTGATCCAAGCTCAGGCGCATGTCTTCCTCGCTTGGTAGAAAGGCTTGTCCTTTGACGAATGCGCCATAGTTGGGGAAGCCAGTTTGTTCTTGAATGCTAGCGAGCAAGGATGCAGCGGTGTTTTTCTGCCCAATCTCGAGCGGAAGGACCTCGGTTTGGTGGCCATTATCAAACGACTGATAATGCAACTGCGCTGATTCACCTGCTATTGTGGCAGCCGGCTCCTTCGCCACAAGAGAACTCAGAACCGGGGCAGCAAAGCGCGGCCTCGACTGGTACTCTTGTAGAAAGTGCTGGAGAAGGTGTAGCGAGCGCAAGAATAGGCGCTCCGCATCTTTGGTTGTATTGCGGTCGCCTCTGAGCTCCATGACGGCATCGCTGTCCGAATGCGCCTCTCCGCTTGCCAGGGTCAACTCGTTGGCAGCCGCCTTCAACTGCTGAAAGCATCGTTCAATCAGCGCAGAATGAACCTTGCGCATCTTGAGAGGGGTACAGTCCTGCAGTGCTGTGTTGTCCAAGTACACCTCGACTGCGAGTACTTGCATAGCACGTTCCGCAAGGTTCTTATCCGGCGCACCAAGAACAATCCGCCATAGGTGCTCGATACAAGTGTTGTTGACATTATCTCCATCCTCGAGGTTGAACTCATCAGTCTCTTTGGTCTGTGCCAGCGTCTCCTGCTTGATGAACTGCAATGCACCATCGCAATAGCATTCGGGTGGCAGGCTACCAATGTGTTTGGTCAGACATTCCTGGACAAAGGCGTTGGGGTTGCCCAAGGAAGCGAAGTTTTGCAAAATCTTCCAGCCCGCCTCCCTGTCGCGGGCACAAAGTGTGCGATGCCCAACAGTATTTTCCCACAGCCTCACAGCCGTAGCGTGATCAATATTAGATCCATGTTGGCTAATCAAGTAGTATAGCACCTCGCGTCGAGGCAAGTTCGCAGAGCCGCTTAAGACAGGCTGGCTGTTTTCACTTGATGCTGCATCAACGGCGTCGGCTATCTCATTGATGTATAACTCCGCCAGCGCCTTGTCGGGGACCTGGCCGAGATTGTAAATGAAAATACTTCGTCGGACGGCGAGCATGTGCAGAACCCATAGACTGCCCAGCGTTGTTTGGCGTCTTTGGGTGAGATCATCCATACAGCTGCGGTATATCTCCCCGCGTACTTCGTCAGTGACGATTCGGAGGAATTTATCAAAGCAGTTGGCAATCATGCCGTGTAGTTCAGCAGTCGGTCTGGGGGTTCCTCGCATGTACATTTCCCTGAAAAGGCGAATGCAGAGCCTGTATGGCTGGTATGTGACTTTGGTCGGGTTCTGGGAGATTTTTTGAAACCAGTGATCCATCACAAAGGACCATGCTGCCCTGACAGGGCCCGTCAGCTGCTCTGCAGAAGTCGCCTCAAGCTTGGACAAGAATTGGCACAGTTCCTCTTCACCAAGCACGTGGAGGATGCTGGGAAGAGCTCGCATGAGTGCTTCCGAAAACCTGGCGTCTGCGCTAGCTGTCAGACACTGCCAGAGGCGGTCCGTATGGTCTTGAGTGTAGAGCTTGGTGACGAAGAGGAAGCCGATAATGTTCGCACATTCTTGGATCAGTTCCGGGTGGCTGTTCGGGCCCATAATATAGTCCATAAGATTGCTGCGAAGTAGATACTCGCCCATGTGCCGGAGAATGGGCGATTGGCTGGGATTTTGCTTAAATATCGCAACCAAATTCAAGCACATGGACATGACGGCGTGGACGCGGAGTTGCATCTGGCCACATTTGATGAATTTGAGGTCGGTGTCGAAGCGCCACTCATAGGCGACGGCATCCGCAGTAAACGAAGGCGGCAGTGTAGGATGTAGTTGCCGATGCTTGTCCATGGCAGCCACGGCAGCTGAGTGCGGGCCAGTGAGTGTAATTTTGAGCAATTCCATCATCTTGGGTACCAAGGCCCGGACAACCGGACACTGAATATGTGAGAGTCGTTTCTCAATGGTCTCGTTCAGCAACCGGACTATATCAAGCCAGTGTTGGTGGCCTCTGGCGAGATTTTGTTGCGCAGCACACTCCTCGTCATGGTCTCTTGAAGACGATGTCGCATCTGCGTCTCGCAACAGACTATGCAGATAGGCCACGTAGGGCACTAGTTGACCCATTTCCGATGGATCTGATGATAATACCGGTATCAGCTTATCAAAAAATTCACCCAGGTACACAAGGCCGTCAGTGGACATGAGCTCAGTTTGCTGGGACACAACTTGCGGATCGGCGGGATGGTCGGACGGATTGTATATATCTTGTCGGTCGTTCTCCAAGAGTGGCTTCGCAGGATGCAAAGCCGCCATGCTGATCACATGGCGGATCGAGAGGAGCTCAATTGGTGGCTTTCGACCGGCAGCAATTTTGTGTCGCAGTCTCTCGAGAAACCGTGTATCCAGATTCAACATGACCATAGTCAAATAACCAGCCAACCGATACGAGCTCATTGTCGTCTCGCGGAAGGCGTCCCATCGATGGAGCGGACCCCCCTTTCTGTTGACCATGTGGTTCACAAGGTCTCCGAGCAATACCCAGAACTCTGGATCCATGCGTACAATGTCTGCCGTGTGCTGCTGGGGTCCATGAGGCGTGAGTAAATGGTCGGCGGCGTCGCGGAGCCATCCCTCAACGCTCTGTACCACCACATTATCGTCTTCCGGTCGCATATTTTGCAGATGATTGTATAATCGATGGAGCGTGTTTATGGCTGGTTCATCAGGCTGACGGTATGGGAACTCGCGCGTCAGGTCGTAAGAGAGCGGCTGTGTCGAGATATATTGTACTTCGTCTTCGTCTTCGCAGCTGTCATCATCTATTACCTCGATTTGAGGGGATTCTCGCGGGGCGTCGGGAGTGCCTGTCGACAGGAGAGCTGGCTGACCAGTCGCGGTGATAAGCTGTGCCAGATCCTGCTCCTCTAGAGACATTGACCTGCTGGGTGAAACCGAACGTGCTTTCCGCAAGTTGATAGTGACAGCCTTGTTGCTAGACGACGTCTCTGGAGGCCGTCGATCGGAGCCTGTAGATCCTTCCGGAGTCTTTGGCGTTGTGGGCACTCCATCCATATCTACGTCGTCATCCTCCGTCAAAGTCACACTGCTGCTCGATGCGCTGCTCCGCCGCTCCGCGCTCTCGACGGAGCGTGACGTTCTTTGGCGCTTTCGGGATGTGATCTGGCTGTCGTTGAATGGGTTCGGCCGTGTTGAGCTAGGTTCTGGCGAGGCTGCGGGCTGCTGTGGGCTACCGTTCTGAAAGTTCGAAGGCTCCATCGGGAATGTCTAGATGGGAGCGCAAAAGCACGTTGCCACTGTGATCGAGACCAGAGGCGACAGGTCGTTGTAACAACGAGAGCCGACCGGGCGGCAGCTGTCCAGTGTCAACATATGTGATCAGTGTGATGCGACGGAAAGGCGAGTGGTGCGATGAAAAGAGGCGAGAGACTGGATCAGGATGGGCACTTGCGGTCCGCGAAGTCCGAGCCGGGTTGCAGTCGCTGTGTTCCACGGTTTCTCTTCAATCTACCGCTAGCAGATCATGTGGGTGAGACCATCAGGAGCTGTCGTAGCTATATGCTGTAGATCCCATATAATTCATGGATTTGGAGACTGGGCTCGAGATGGTGGTGGATGGATGGAATTGGGGGAAACGCGGTTGCTGATGTGGAACCCCGCGAGGTTAGCGACTGATGTGCACCGGAGCGTCGAGCATGGAGGGGTACGACCCACCAGACGCCTCCAGTCCCGGCCAGTTCAGTCCAGTCCTTCGCCGGGCCAGCCCTGGAAGCTTGCGGGACAGGGGTTGGTTGATTGCAGCTTGCAAGTCAACGCACCACCGAAGGAAGCCGTCAGCCTGACCACTTGGACACTCTGACGCCTTTGGTGAGCTCTCGATTCTCATCAATATCCGCTTGGAATAGGTCAATATCCGCTTGGAATAGGTCAAGCGGCCGATTTCAACAGTTTCAATCACTTTGTGAGAGGGGACGAGACACCACTTGGCGCAGGGCTCGAAATCATGTCGCAATTAATGCTTACTTACGTCACTCGGATAGGTTCAACCTCCGAGCGCGTGGACGAACCGAATTCACGAATAAGATAAGATCACGATCAGACTGCAAATTTGCCAAGGACCGGATCAATGCGAGGGTGCTTCTTTCGAAGAATTCGACTGGAAGAAAATTCTGTGTTTAATGCGTTGAGCGGTGTTTGGTTGTTTGTAATGTCGTGTGAGAAGGCTGGTTTTGAGATGCGGCTCACAATTTGGGGTGAGGACCGTAGGTATGGTTTCTGTAGACAGGCTTGGCTTCGGAATCTAGGATCGTAACTACCTAGCGCTATACTAAATATTCAAGATTTAGGACTTTTTAAGAAGCGGTAGATGATACGAGCTCAGATTCCTTTCCATATCTTCACTAGTCACTAGCTAGCTGTGATTTGCAGTCCTATACATGTGTGAACTTGTCGTTTGGTATTGTTGACTTGCAAGCTACATTATTATGGTGACAGCTCTGGTGGGGTTAGGAACCCGCGGGGAGGGGCGTGGGCATAAGAAACAAGCTAGTAAGGAGGCCACGACGAATCTTGTTCCTCGTGCTCATCCTACCTCTGGCTAAGACTAGATGTATGTATGTTGCACTCGGATACGGCTGTTCTTCCAGTTTGGTTTTGATTGCACCCAATTTAGAGGCCTCCGAGTTCTTGAAATCAGGTCAGCCAGTACACACTGCGCAAAGTCAAGCTCATAACCTAGACACTAGCAATGCTTCCGAATAAGGCATAAAAAGGCGACTTTGGTTGATCTGGTGACTAGTTTGGAGTTTTCTTATAAGTTCACAAGCGCCGTGCCACATGGTAATGGTCAAGCCTTTACGGAAATGAATCAACACATGTTTGTAGTTGGCTGGTGCGCTGGGTAGACTAGCCCACTCTTCGGGGATAGACCGCCATTAACGTACCTCTTTTGCCTAGAAGAATGTTTTGCTGACATACACTTGGAAGACGCAGTGACGAGAGGACCAGAGACTGCAGCTGAAAGTAGCGTCGAATAAGTTCATTGCGGTGCTCGATAACCACGATGCCGTGGGAAGCGCAGGGTAGCCTGGTATATATGCAAACAACGAATGAAACCGTTGCTCACGCCGGACCAGAAGTCTCAGAACCTTGCAACTTTTTTGTTTATCAATCCTTGGATTGTTCCCTCAATTGCAAGCTACCACTCCATGGGGTCACCCTTCACGTCGCCCCTATTAGTCTTCGGCACTGGGGCAGCCTCAACCTTGACGGGCCCATCCCTCTTGAGGTAGCCCGACCCATCGAGCCACGGTGTCTCTTGCGTGCGGCGCTTCTCAAACGCCTTGATTTGAGGCTCCATTTGCGAGGTCAGACCAATGTCGTCCAGACCGTTGATCAAGCAGTGCTTTTTGAAACTCTCGACGTCGAATTTTGCGAGTTCCGTGCCATCAGCCGCACGGATCACTTGTGCGGGCAGATCCACCTCGACCTCACGACCAGCACGTGCTTCTGCAGCCACGCGCTCCAGTGGCTCCGGCTCGAGCTTAATGGGCAGCATACCGTTCTTGTAGAGGTTCGACTCGTGAATGTCGGCAAAGGAGGGGGCAATGATGCAAAGGATACCAAAGTCGAGGAGGGCCCAGGGGGCGTGCTCTCGCGACGAGCCGCAGCCAAAGTTGGGGCCTGTGACGACTAGAATCTTAGCGTGGCGGTAAGGCTCCTGGTTCAGCACAAAGTCAGGCTTCTCCTCCATGGTCTCCGTGTTGTACCGCCACTGGTGGAACAGCGCCGTACCCAGACCAGAGCGTTTAATGGTCTTGAGGAACTGTTTCGGGATGATGGCGTCCGTATCGACGTTGGCACGTTCCAGAGGAGCCGCGATGCCCTTGAGCTGGGTGAACTTCACCATGCCTGCCGACGTTGCCGGGGCACCGCCGTGGGGGGTGTGATCATCCTCAGGCACATCCAGAATGCGGTCAAGGTCCTCATCGGTATCGAGATCCTCAATGTGCGTGTCTTCAATGGCGATCTGAGGCTCGGCTTTGACAGGCGACGCGTTGTGGGGCTCGGCCACCTTGCGGACATCCGCTAGTTTCCCAACGAGGGCACAAGCCGCTGCCATGACAGGTGACATGAGGTGCGTACGGCTGCCAGCGCCCTGACGGCCCTCAAAGTTACGGTTCGAGGTGGAGGCGCAGCGCTCCCTGGGAGCGAGGATGTCGGGGTTCATGCCCAAGCACATGGAGCAGCCAGCCTCGCGCCACTCGAATCCAGCATCAAGGAAGATCTTGTCGAGACCTTCGCGCTCAGCCTGCTTTTTGATCAAGCCGGATCCTGGGACAATCATCGCACGCTTGATGTTGGAAGCAATGTGCTTGCCTTCCACAACTCTAGCCGCGGAGCGCAAATCTTCGAGGCGCGCATTGGTGCAGCTACCAATGAAGACCTTGTCAATGACAATGTCCTCGATGGGTGTGCCGGCCGTCAGTCCCATATATTCCAGCGCATGCTCGCAGGCCTTCTTCATGCTGGGGTCAGAGAAGTCGCCGGGACCTGGAACGACACCTGTGATGGGGACAATGTCTTGAGGGGAGGTTCCCCAGGTGATGGTGGGCGGAATGTCGCGCGCGTTGATGTAGATTTCTCTGTCGAACTTGGCGCCATCGTCTGTCTTGAGTGTGGACCAGTACTTGACGGCACGCTTCCACTCCTTGCTGTCGTACTTGGGCGCCAGCGGGCGACCCTTGAGATAGTCAAAAGTGGTCTGGTCAGGGGCAATCATGCCAGCACGCGCACCCGCCTCGATGGACATGTTGGTCATCGACATTCTCGCCTCCATGCTGAGAGAGCGAATGGTCGAACCGCAGAACTCAATGACAGCACCAGTGCCGCCAGCGGTACCGATCTGACCGATGATGTGCAGGACAATGTCCTTACTGCTAACTCCAGGGGCAAGCTCTCCGTCCACCTGGACCTTCATGTTTTTGCTTCGCTTCGTGATGAGAGTCTGCGTCGCGAGGACGTGCTCCACCTCACTGGTACCGATGCCAAAGGCGATGGAACCGAACGCACCGTGCGTTGATGTATGGCTGTCGCCACACACGACGGTGGTTCCTGGCAGTGTGAACCCTTGCTCAGGGCCAATGATGTGGACAATGCCTTGCCTGTCATCGTCGAGACCGAAGAATGTGAGATTGAAATCGCGCACGTTCTCTTCGAGGGTGGCGCATTGGGTGCGAGAGTCGGCATCTTCAATGAAGCTAGAGACATCCTTGAAGTTTTTGCGCGAGGTCGTGGGGACGTTCTGCTCAACGGTCAGGCATGTGTTCCCGAGATCAAGATGGAGTCACTTACGTGGTCACTGGTAGCGAGGGTGCAATCTGGTCTCCTAACTTTTCTCCCAGCGTTTCTGAGACCCTCAAAGGCTTGCTATATGGCGATGGTCAGTATCGGGCCAACCCGCGATTCAGTGGGAATTGGGCCCGGGGGGGCTTACCGGCGACGTCACTTCGTGAACGAGATGGCGATCTGCAGATTACACCGTCAGCAGCGCCCTGGTTGCGGCAAGCTCATCAGCTGCAATGACGTACCGATATACAGGAGAATAGTTCCATCTTCCTTTTCATCGACAGTGTGCGCCTTGAGGACCTTGTCGTACAAAGTCTGCGGGGCAGTCACGGCGCCAGGCATGATGGGCAATTGTTGGTGCGACTGATGAGAGGAAGGGAACACGTACGCTATCGGTCAATGGAGGAGAAGGGTATGATAAAAGAATGAAACAGACAGCTCAGAATAGGGTGAGATATTCCGGGGAATCAACCATTTACGAACGGGAGGCACCTGGTGGGCTTTATGGGTTTTAATGGCAGCCGTGAAAGCAATGCGCCTCCGGTCCGGAGCAAACGGGAAAAGGCCAACGATGCCCGACATCGGACGGCCGTGATGGCATCGCGCCCGCCGCCCGAGGTCATCCGTAATTGTAGGGCGCTGATTAGTCGCTAAGCGCTGAGAAACTCCTGTTTGCTTGCTTATGATTCGGCGCACTCTTGACCCTGACTTCTCCAGATCCTCACCCTGCATCTGAGGCTCGCTACCCCGTAGGACACAAATGCCCACCATTTCCTTCGGTGCCCCTCCATTGCCGGATGCCTTCGCTACCCGATGTGGAGCCCTGTATGTCGGAGGATCGCCGAGTTCTTACGGAAGGAGACTTACTGCATGAAAGTAGCTGTCTTGAGATTGAGCATGAAATCGCTGGACCCATGATCTCCTCGCGCTTTTGAGTCGACAATGATTGTGAGTGACGGGTGCCTCTCGCTGGCTACTTACTTATTCTACCTCAGACTTAGTGCTAGAACAAAAGCAACCGGGATCACAAACAGCCTGCGGAACAGGCTCTGAAGACTTGGCCCTGCTCCAGTATACTATTCTTCGCTCTCCGTTGCTCATAAAAAATACCAGAGTCAATCTCTTCGTGCTTTGAATCGCCGAGCCGATTTTCTAGATGTAAATTGTGAGGTCCGTCCAGCATCTACGGACACCGACTATCGGGTAGTTCACCGCAACGACGCCTGTCTCCGCAATTCTTTTTCCTACGTTAGCTCTACGCTCTACGGATGCCAACTGGTTGCTGTCTCTACAACAACTCTCAGATCAGCGGTCTAGAAATCTCGGCAACTTATCAGCTTCGAGGATTTTGTCCGCGACAATCTTGTCTCAGGCCTATACCATATTTCCCTGCCTGATCATGGGTAACGACACAAGTGCTAGAAAAAAGACCGTCTTTCAGCTCGACACACCCTTTTCCGATGTCTCATGGTATGGAGTTTCCGCCACGGAAACTTGTCTTAGTCACAGGGGTACTGACGCTCGCAGGCCTGAAGTTTCATTGGAAGACCAGGACACTATCTTAGAACTTCTTTGCAAGTGAGTGCTCTCAATGCTATCTATGCAAGTAGGACGCTCTGATACTCACACTCAAAGTTTTCTGAGTCCCATCGGCAAACATCGAAGGGCACATGTCAAGGCCTCAAAAGGGAAGAAGGCATCAAGGAGAGCCGAGAAGGCGAAAGCGGAGCGAGAAGGTGAAGACACGGAGATGCCAGATTTAGTGATCCCCGCTCCACCCGATGTCACGCACCGCATTGATGTTGGCTTCAACTCCATCACCAGAAGCCTGTCAGCCATGACAGAAGACCAGCGGTGTGGTAGCGATGCACAAGCCGACAAGGCAGATAAGGAAAGGAAACCACTCTCCATGATTTTTGTGGCGAGAGGCGACCAGTCTGCCGTCTTCAACTGCCACTTTCCAAAAATGGTTGGTGTTGCTTCGAGAGATCAACCAATAGAAGAGAAACCGAGGCTCGTAGGGTTCTCCAAAACTTGCTCAGAGCGTTTGGGCCTCTGTCTTGATGTTTCTCGGGTGTCAGCAGTCGCGATACACCAAGATGCACCCGGCTCCAAAGCACTCTGGGACATCGTTTCCAAGGCTGTTGAGCCAGTTCATGTGGACTGGATGCACCCTGATTCGAATCAAGTGTACCACGCGACTAAGATCAACGCAATCCAAACGACAGTGGGACCGAAGCGAGAGAAGAAAACCAGCACGCCCCTGAAGCAGGGCTGAGGAATATGTATATTCCCTTCTGGAAGTATGTAGCAAGCGACTTCCAGTGTTTGATCTGTGTTTGGAATTGTTTATGTCCACGAGTCTCTGTTCATGGTGTTTGGTGCACAAGCAAGCATCAAGATTCAGAAGATTGTTCCCAAGTAGCGTCACCGTAGACCCTGGGGATCAGGATTGGCCCAAAGGCACACGTCTGCGGCGAGCTTCTGCTGGCCATTCGCGAGTTCATGTGTGGGCTAGTCCATCAGGTAGACCTGATGGGGTCATGAGCTCGGAATGGCTTGATAGACCAGATCACGTTTACAAGTCTGAATCTCCATCGCTTGCTGACTGCGGCTGTTGAGCTCATCTCGTCTACGCGTATCACTGTGCCAACAAGGGGCACGCGCTACAAGATCGTGGCGAGAGGTTGGAGCCCCGAGAAATGAGCACTTGTGTTTTGATTATTTTCGTCCCACTGTGCGTGAATTTTCCAGTGAGTGTCAACACGGCAAGAGCCTCTTGAGGACTGCGCACTGGCCAACCAAACTACCTATCCCTCCGAACCCCTTCTGACCTGTCTTTCTCTTGAAGATTCCCTTCGTACCAGTGGGTTTCCCATGCGTTTCCGTGCATCGCCACTCTCACCTCGGTTCTATCCGTGTTCGTGCCTATAAACCTGATCACAACCCTCGCCACCACAAGCTTCGACAACGACTACCTCAACAGCTGCTTCAAGATGGCTCCGCCACCTATGTCCGATGAGGAGCGTATGAAATACGCACGCCAGCTCCAGTCTTTCTTTGGTTCTAACAATGGAGGAAAGGGAAAGGGCCGCGGAGGGGTTAGCGACGGTCCTCGCACCCAGAATAGAACTCAGCAAGCTACTCGTGGTAGGATACCAAGCAATGTATAGGACTTTCAGAATTTGGGCTTGGACCTAACACAAAGCAGACGTCACGCCCATCCGCTCGCGACAGGTCTCTAATCCCACACGCGCGGTGCCTTGTCCTCTTGGCCTTGCGGACAAGGACTGGTTGGCTCCAGCACCGAAGAAAACGACAATTGCCCCGTCCCAGACTGCTGAAGCTATACCAGCTCGTCCTAGCACCAGCAACGGCGTCCCTGCCATGAAGAAAAATTCTGGTGTTCAAAGCTCTGCTGTGTCAAACAACGTCACCAGTATGTCCAAGACCTGTCGTTCAAATACACCACTAACGGCGACTCGCAGACCCAATCATCTCGAGCGATGCAGCTGCCAATGTCAACGGCTGCCAGGCTACAGAACAGCCTTCCTCCGCTTCGAATGCTGTGAAAGGAAAAGATTTCCTACTCAAGCTTCGGCGTGAGCATGCCGCAAGAGTGGCAAAGTTGACCGCAGGTGAATCTAAACCTGCTGACGCCACTACGTTGAACGGTGCCTCATCCACGAACACGAAGACTTCGAGTGTCTGCTTGGACGATCCTGTAGCCAGCAAGAGCGACGATGCCAAATATGTCGTTTCCAAGGAGTTCGTTCCTTCGAAAGAGCCTGACCAACCTGGACATGGAGATGAATCAGTCATCCGGAAACAGAACAAAGGGCCTCATGACCCGATTCCTCAAGATGACCGCGCAGGCAGCTCCAAAATTCTCGCAGGCAACTTGTTGACCACAACCACTTCTTTGGGTTCTGAACCAGAGCGCAAGACTGATGAGGCTCTCCTGGTAGACCTCTGTGATGGTGCCAAACCTGCGCTAAGCACCACCGCAGTTGGAGTGTGCAACGAGAGGGTTACGATGACCGGTATGATGCAAGCTCTACAGCCATCCAAGTTGGCTGTGTCCCGGCCAAAGTCTCCCAGAATCGAGTCTGACCCTACAGTCAAGAACAACGACTATCGGAAAGCCAATGTTCAGCAAGGACCACCGACGAGTCTCACCGCGATGGACCACAACGCCCAGGGCGAGCACAAGCTCAACATGATTGTCGCGACTACTACCGAAGACAATGAAGGCAGCGACCACGTTCGCAAGCAAGATTCCGAGGCGCAACCTGCTGTTCCAACTCCGGTGGGCTTCGGGTCATTCCCACCACCGGGCCCCTTGGCTGATACTTCAAATGCTTTCTGCGCTACGCACCTTCAACAGAGTCTAGCTGACATCACACCGATTGGAGCCTCCACTGGATACCTCGTCACCATAACACAGGTCACCTCTACGCCGCAAGGGGGTATGTTCATGGGCACGACCTCTGGCGAGTTGCATCTGAACACCCCTGTGGTAGCACAGCCAATTTTGCCTGCGACCAATGTAGCGCAAAAGGAGAACATCCGCCCCCAGGACCACGTTCCTGCTGCACCTTCGGAGTATAGGCATCGTCGAATAGCTACAGACAAAGGCCAACAAGGCCTACTTTCTTCTCGCTGGGCCATTAATTGATCTGGTGAATTGCAGATTCAGGGTACGGGGTTTGAGGCCCTGCGCAAATTGACAGCAAGGTAATAGTCGAGTGAGGGAGCAAAAGGAGAAAATCGTCGGCCTCGGACAAGGCTGCTAGGAAGGTTGCGCTGGCCTTTTGGGCTGTGATCACTTGCCGTTAGGGCAGAGATTGGGGATTGATATCAACGGATGAGTTCGGATTTCGTGGGATCTTGCTGCGTAGTAGAGAAAAACCCGGGGAATACATTGCCTTTCTAAGACGCTTGATTAATTCGACATGCTTTTTTCTAACATCTTAAGCCCTTCCCTGACCTTGGGAGAATAATGTTTCCTCAGCAACTCACCCTCCCACACCGTGGCTGCGAAAGGGTTGCTGCCTTCCAGGTTCCCGCTGACTGGGTTGTATTTGCCGTCGCCTTTCCTCTCCTCGGTGTTCCATAGGCTCCCAATCTTCTTCCCGTGTGTGTGCGCCACGTCGTTAAGTAGGGCCAGTACACCTTGGCACGATTTCTCAGGCAACTGAAGAGCTGCAGAGGCAAGCTGCTTCGAGAAAGCTGCTAGGCGCGTGGGCGGGACAGAGCGGATATTCCACGAAGGCAGCAGCACGGCAGTCAGTGACCTCAGTAACAGGACTGTGGTGGTCTGCACATTGATTTTCGAGGTTGTCGAGGTGACGCCAGTAGGCTTGGTGTTCTCGAGGGTCGGGTCCGTGGACAGTGCCAGAAGCGCGCTGTAGAGATGATTTGTGAAGAAGGACAGGTCAAGGTGGAGTGTGTTCCTGGAGTTATGCGCGTCTTGCCCGGCGAGGAGAGCGTACGCGGTGACTGTGCACAGGAGTGATTCACGGGTCAGGTTTCGGACCGTGTCGTCGTCCTCTTCGTCTTCGTCCTCTTCCTGCTGCTGCTGCTGCTCCTCGTCCTCGTTGTCGCCGTTGGCATCCTTGTCGCTGTAGCGGATCAGGTCCTTCAACGCCTCTAGGAGATCGCCGAAGAAATCCTGGTTGATGAGATGGGCATACTTGGCAAGACCCTCCAGCACCGCGCCCATAAGTTGGGGTACGCGCGCCTTGAGGACACGGAAGTAGGTTGCAAATACGAGCTTCAGAGTCTCGCTCTGCATGCGCTCCCGCTCCTCGTGGCTGACGAGGGCGTCGGCTTGTTGCAGGTCCTTGTCCAGCGCTTTCTGCTCCTTGACATCTTTGCGCTCCCGCTTGGTGCGGAAATCGCGCTTCTTCTTGGAGGCCTTCTCCGTACGCTGGACGGAGTCATGGGACGCCGTGCCGGCGAATTCGGAGAGGAGGCGAAGGGCGAGGAAGAGATTGAGTACGGATTCGTGAACCTGGTATTCCTTTGCCCTCATCATCTTGGCAAGGAGGGCGACTGCTTCCATAGAAGGACGGCCCTCTTCGTCATCCCGAAAGAGAGTCTCGAGTGCTTCGAGACATTTTTTACTGTTAGCATCCATGTATCGCCTGCTCAGCTTGCCGACCAGGATCTTGATAATGTCGCTGCGGAAGTTGAAGTGCGGCACCGATGTTAGAAGTGTGCATGCGCAAGTAACCGCCGCGCTGACAACGTTGGGACCGTGACCTCCATAGGCAAAGGGCTGCAGCCTCGCGCATTTTGTCAGCTCCTTGACATAGGCCTGGTAGCCCATGACGACTGACTGCTCGTAGTGCCGAAGTTGTCGAACCTCCTTCGACAGTTTCTCCTTTCCAGAGTCCTCGCCTAGTGGCCGAATGCGGTATCCAGGGATAATGTCCTTGTAGACGGTCATTTGCGTCATGAGGGCCAGGATCTTGATCGCCGGTATCTTGGACGAGCCAATCTTCCCGAGCTGCTTGAAGGCGCCCACGTTGTCCTCTGGATTTTCGTTGACAGCCATGGCGAGTTTGGCCAGCTCCTCCTGCGCTTCGAGAATCTGCTCCTGCTCGCTCCTCTCATCCACCTCCTTCACGGTCTTTTCCTCTACCTGCTCCACCTCCTCGACATCGTCCTCGCGTCCCTCGAGCCAGTCCTCATCGCTGTCGATTTCATTTTCCAGCTCTCGCAGGACCTCTATCCGCCCGTCAACGTTCTTGGTGGGAAGACGGTTGCTTTCCTTCACGACCTGCTGCTTCTTCTTGCCCTTGCGCGGACGGGATTCGTAGTCCTGCTCGAGATCCCAGCTGGCGGCGTTCTTGAAGAAGGCCTTTTGAGTTTTCGCCGGAGCTTGCGAGGAGTTCTCATCGGAAGAATGGGCGAGCTTCCTCCTTTTCGTGCCGTTGGGAGCCATGGCGAACTGTCACGGGGATATGTACTGAGACAGATAGCGGGTTGATGGCGATGAATGAAAATGTTTGATGAGAATCGGGATTGGCAAGATGTGGCCAATCAGGGGTGGCTACTGTCTACTCACCGCCAAAATTTCAAAAGACTGGATTCTGCCAGCGGGTGCAGGTGGGGCCATGTCGCGACTCCAGGCTCTATCTGAAGTACTATGAGGGGCTGCATCATGCTCAGCTTCACTTTGAACTCAGAGCGATGACGGGAACATTGTCTCGCTAGGAAATGCGGTCAGCACGGAAACTCATCGCCACCGCCGTCCCTTGTCATGCGCTCTTGGAATATGGTGTGCATTCTCAACTGCAGGCGACTTCATCACTTCGGAGAGACAAACGTAGGCGATACGTAGCGTATTGGGCAACTGTTAATTGCTGAAGAAGAGACCGGACGCACTGAAGTCGCTAAATTTGGGACTCGGGCATTAGGAATGTGGGGTGGCGTACTTGGGCGGCAGGCTAGTGCGGAGGCCCCGGTACCGGAGCCTGTGGATCTGCCAGAGCTTGCCTTTTCATCATCAACGCTTCATCGTTATGAGAAGATATGGGGAATTCCCGACACTTGCCAGTTGGGCTCAGTACTGTGATTTAGATTTGGAAAGAACAACCGCAGCCGCAAATGTCTACCGGAAGCAAAGAACTTTGGCAAAGGGGCCTTCAGAATCGACGTGAGGTCGTGGGGGAAACATACGTCGACTGTGCCTTGAAGAATGGTTCCAGTGAATTTGCATTCGCAGGACAGCAAATGGTTACAGAGTATGTCCACATTCCATGCGATTCGCTGTTGAATCTCAATGACAGTACTAACAGTTGTGTCAGGTGGGCATGGGGGAACGTGTGGTCCCGCCCGGGTCTCGACCGGAAACAACGAAGCTTGATGAGTTTGTTCTTCCCCGTCCCCATGTCTGTTAAGCTGTTTTTGCGTTGACGACAGAACAGATGTTGGTCCGTTGATGAGTCTGAAGTCGTGGCCCGAATTCAGCGTCCACATTCGCGGTGCCATCAACAATGGCCTTTCCGAGTTGGAGATACGAGAGGCTATCCTCCATGCGTCTGTTTATCTCGGACTGCCCGCTGGTGTGGAAGCTTTCAAGGTCGCCGAACGAACTTTGAATGGCATGGTCGAGAAGGAGGGCTATGTGAGAACTTTGGGTCACTTGGCACCAGAAGCACAAATGAGTTGAGCGTTGGCATACGCGGGTAGTAAAAACCTAGTTAATTCGTTGGCCCCGTCACAAAGTATACATGGGGTAGAAGCCTCTGCTAACATCTTAGCTTGATTTCGTGATAGTACGTATGTACTTATGTTGATATTGATCATTTCATACTGATACCCGCCGCCGAGCTCAAACAGTCCAATGCACGTGAAGCCATCGCACGTGACCTGGTGGAGTCGGTGAGGGGCGTGGACCCACATCGCCTTCGGGATTGCTGCGAATTCTAAGGAAAAGTTTCGTAGAGTCTGGCCTACGCATCCCAACGGCAGCAGTCTTCAAATCCAATACATCCAAGATGCCCCAGAACGAGTACATTGAGCGCTGGCAAAAGTTGCATGGCAAGAGGTCAGTTGTGCTCTCGATCTCGAATTTTCAACCGCTGACGCCCTACCAGGCTTGACCATGATGAACGTCTCAGGAAGCGCGAGGCCCGTGAGGGGCACAAACGATCCGAGCAGTCGCAGAATTTCAGAGGCCTGCGGGCCAAGTTGATGCACGAGAAGCGACGTGTTGAGAAGATTCAGATGAAGAAGCGCATCAAGGCCCACGAAGAGCGCAACGTCAAGGCAGCCGACAACAGCGATCCGTCCACACCCTTGCCACCCTACCTCCTCGACCGTAACGACCCGCAGAATGCGAAAGCGCTGGCTTCGTCCATCAAGGACAAGCGAAATGAGAAGGCCGCCCGCTTCTCGGTGCCGCTGCCGAAAGTGCGTGGCATTTCCGAGGAGGAGATGTTCAGCGTCGTCAAGACGGGCAAGAAGACACACAAGAAGGCTTGGAAGAGGGTCATCACCAAACCCACCTTTGTCGGCAACGATTTCACACGTTCAAACCCCAAGGTCGAGCGCTTCATTCGGTAAGGACAACTGTGCACAAGGGGGCAACTTGTCAAGCTAACGTACGGACCTAGACCTATGGGACTCCGTCAGAAGACCGCACATGTCAGCCATCCGACACTCGGCGTCACCCTGAAATTGCCCATTTTGGGAGTCAAGAAGAACCCTCAGGATCCCATGTACACCAGACTCGGCGTTCTCACAAAGGGAACCGTCATCGAGGTGAATGTGAGCGAACTGGGCATGACCACAGCCGGTGGTAAAGTCGTGTGGGGTAGATATGCACAGATCACAAGTATGTAACCTTTACCCTCCGCTTGGGGGCGACTACTGACATGATGTAGACAACCCAGAGAACGATGGCACGGTGAACGCGCTGCTTCTGGCTTAAACTGGGGTTGACGCTTTGTTTTCGAATGGCAGGTGGAATTGGAAATAAAGGACAGCATTCTCGCGCGGTGCTTCAGTTTCGAGCACACCTGTGTTGTTGATTCATCATGGAGTTTAGGGGACGGTCAGGTTGCGACCAAAATGTCCAATGATTTGTGTTTTCATGGCATGGTGAAAAGCGAACCTTAGATAGTTGGCACAGGTTTCTTAACGATCCAAGAGCCTACTCAATACACAAAGGCATGTCAACTTCCACAGCCCTGTGACCAGCGGGATCACCTCTGGAAAGGGATACCATATACCCAGTCCTGCGCTATTGGCTCTGCGGCATGGGAATCATGCGAGTCAGTCGACTGGCTTCCACGCCCATTTGCCAAATTCGAGGAAACACCAGCGCTTGGAGTGGATCTTGGCTGAAGTCCTGGCGCCGCGAGGGATGGTCGCGACAACCTGCTTGAACCTTTGAAGGTTGTGCAAGCTGGTTTCACAAGGAGTGCTAGACCGATGCAGGTGCCAAGGGGCTGTGTTGCTGGTTGTTGGGTATCTCTGTATTGACATATCCACATGTCTGTTCCTTCATCTCCTCTATAATGCCCACTCCTCTGGACGATCATCCTTGGTGATAAACGGCTCATCAACCCTCTTGATGGCAACGTCGCTGCAAAGAATACTAATATAAGTTAGCAAGCACCTTTCTCCAACACATGACACCGGAAAACGTACCACGCTGATGCCACGAGGGAGTCCAGCTCTGAAACCACGGCATCCCTCTTTGGCCCGCTCAGAAGCCCCCTATGGACTTGCAGTTGCAGATCCTTAATCTTGGACGACTTTCCAACGCCAGACTGCTCTAGTACCTTCCTGCCCAGGCAGTCTGAGTGGAAGGAGTGCTGGCAGGGGAATACGAAGAATTGCCGACTCAGCAATGGCAGACCACATGCGTAGCACTTCTCCCCGGGTTCGACAATAGCGTATCGATGATCCAGCGCCGCAATGTCGACTTTGATATTCGTCGCTGTTTGCGACGACTCATCCATCTCCTTTTTCAGGTTATCAATATTACGCGAGTAGTCCTCTAGCGCGCCGCAAATCTCCTCCTTGAAGTCATCAATGACGACAAAATCTGGGAAGAAGGGAATCAGATCCTCAATTTTGAGAAGATCACATCGCTTAAGGAACTCGATTGCTGTCTTGATTCCATTGGATTGCGAGATGACCTTCCGTGCTACTGCTAGCCACAGCCTCTTTCGCAGTTGGGGGTTCGACATTGGCCGGTCGGCAATCACGGCTGCAAGCTCAACCTCGTTGTGGGAAAGGGCGAGGTCGACTGCTTGCAGGAACTGGCCCATGCTAGTATAGATATGGACGCATGATAGTGTGCGGTGATGTTGGATACAAAGCCGCAAAGCAAAGTCAGGATCGTAGCGTGGTTCGTCCCCCTGTGCTTGTAAGTACGAAAGCAGGCCTGATTCGTCCTTGGCAGGATGTGAAGCGTATATCGAGACGAGTGTGTTATGCACAGCTGCGTCCTTGGAGTTGAGCTGGTAGACCACGTAGTTGAGGTATCGTATGGCCTGATTCTGCGAGTTCGGCCCCCCTGAGAAAGCCCTGTTGTATTCGAGCATAGCTGGTATGAGACTTCGTGGCTTCAGGTCTGAGTGTCTCATGAGGATATCGACCATCTCTTGGGGAACGTGTGTCATTAACACACTGCTGTAGCGGTAGAAAACGTCATGGTCTGTCTGTTTCTTCAAGACATTGAGGACATCGTGCCAACGTTCTCGCTGTACCCAATATGCTAGCTCGTAGTTGTAGTCGTTGATCGAGTTGGCAAAATAAAGCAGCTCCTCCTCCCTGCCATGGCTGCTGATGACATCGTACACCGTCTTCTGGTCGAGGTCGTTTTTGTATCGATTGATGAAATCCTGGTACTCGCGCTTGATTGAAACCAGAAGTTTCAGTGAGTCGGCTGGGTTCAACTTTTCTGATAGTTCGGCTTGTGTGATTATAGTGTCGTCGAGCGAATTAAGCTTGGCCATGAAGACCTCAACTAGCCAGCTCGCGAGCATGATTCGCTGCATAGTGGCAGATTTGCTTGTCGATGCCAATTTTGTTTGAAGGAATTTTCGCAAGGCGTCCGGTTGGTTGTTGTCAATGATACTCAATGCAATGTCTTCGAATGGCTTGTTACTGCGCCCGTAAACGACAGCTGCCTCGTCCCAATGCCCCTTGGTGGCAAGGTGGTCACCGTATGCGGCAGCCACAGTCTCCTTTTGCGCTTGCGTGTGCGCATGCTCGAGTGCTGGCTCAAACTGCTGCTGTCGCATCATAATCTCCCAAATATTCCGGTCTTCTTCACGGACCACAATCTCAAATATCTCCTCCAAAGTAAACAGCCAGAAGGTATTCTTTTGGAGGTCGACCGAGAACCCTGCCGCCTTTTGGCCGGGACCCAGTACGTCGTGCTCAGAGACCATCTGTCCAGTCAAGCGATTCGTGGTGACCACACGCCCGCCTGTTAAACTCACAATATGCCACTGCGTCAAGGCAATTGCATCAATGGTCTCCGTCGTCGCTCTCCTCCTTCCACCATTCTCAGGTGACACGATCTGCGCTTTTTGTATCATTCTCGACTCAGAGAAGACTTTTGCGCCAAGGTTGCTATCAGCTGGTGTATCGAGCAGTTTTCCGTGGAAGACTCCCAAGGAGCTCAGCCATGCGTATGCTCTCTCGGGAAGTTCATGCTGCCGGTGACCTTTCTCCTGGGGAGGATCTGGCGAGACGACGACCGAAGGCGCAGTACTGTGCGTTGCTCGAGACAGCTCGTGGACGACTGGCTGTTCCGACTCAAACAGCTTGGTATACACAGAGCCACTCCCGTCATGACTATGACCGATCTTGCCCACCAAGTGAAATAGTCGCGTGTTGGTGCCGATGACCACTCTCCTAACATCAGTCTTGCCTTTCAGATCGTCCACCCACAGTCCAGTGATCGGCCCGTCTGGCAGGCGATGCAGGTTCTTGAGATGCTTCACTTCTTTCTTGTAGAACTCATTCGATGTTTCGATGAACGCCTCGTAAATGTTACCGTCGGTGGCACCAATCAGGATCTCTCGTGTCGACGCTGTAGGGAGGGAGGGGTTCCACGCTACGCTTTCGATGATGACGCCTCGTAGTCGGCTGAGCGGGCGGACCTGTCGCGATTGAGAGTGAAGGTAGTAATTCTCCCCATTGGCGGCACAAACGATGAGGTGAGAAGCCGTTGGATCGAGGAACATGCGTCGAATGCCCGTGTCGGCGCCTTTTTTCGGAAGGTCTATGTCTGATTGTGCGCGTTAGCCCCCTTCCAGTCACTGGTCGCGCCTTGCGATTTTGACAAACCATCGATATCTTCGGGTCGCGTTAGGTCGATCCTGAGTATCCGGCCATTGGACAGAGCAAGAATGATCACGTTGTTTGCTACTTCGGCAGCGGCAAAGTCGGCCGCGATACTGAAAGCCAGCTGGACGCGCTCGATCGTGAAGATGGGGAGGTCGTGGGCGAGATTTGCATTTCCATTGGAAGCAGAGCCGGCGGCGTTGGCGGCTGCAAAGCCGTCGGGGAGTTCGAGGGCCATCTTGTTGGATGGTTCGCCGTGGCCGCCGCAGTTGTGAGAGACGAGAGGCTGGCTGGTTGGGGTGCGAAGGAAGCCGAGGACTTGGAGATGGGAGTTGGAGCTGTGGGAGCAACGTCATGCGGGCCAGGCAGCATTGGCATTCGGTCGACACACGACCGATCTATCAAGACAAATATTTTACTCCTAACTGGTCTGCTGCAAAATACAGCTCAAGTATGCCTGGGCAGAAGCAGTCACATTACCAAAATTGCGCGTAGATTCCAGTCAATTTCCAAATGCTTCACCATTGAAGATCAACACCTAACATCCACGAACCATGAAAAGCAACCTGTGATAAGCGTCCACAGTGCTCAAAGAAACAGATGAGCACCGCCCGTTGTAGGAATCAATATATGTACAGCCAATTGAGGAATATTTACCAAAAAACCAAGTTGCAATGCACATCCAGAAACGCCCACTGATGTTGCCCAGAATAGGCAACCGCAATCAACAAATTGTCGTGCGTCCCAGAATCTTTTCATCGTCGTTCTTCGCCTCGGGACTGAGGGACCTAGACATTGTCCGTGGGCAGCTCTGGGATGCGTCGAGCGGCTTTCTGCCTACAACAACGGACAATTTGACCACCAGGCTCTTTGATTTTTCGGGATCTTTTGCCAGCTCCGCCGTCTCACGAGCTGCCTGTTCACACGCTGCCTTGCATTCTTCTGGATCCCAATCCATATGCTCTGTCAGGAGTCTCAGACACAAAGCCTCGATTGAGTCCAGGCATGAGACCAGCCAAATCTTGCCGGCTGATTTCTCTGCCACGGTGATGGGTATGGCATATTCCGTCGCTCTCACATCCACGAATCCCGCGTCTATAAAGAATCGTGGATTCATATGCTTGGTGCCTCTGGGTCGTTCAGCCTTTTCAGCCGCGACTGCCAGGTCGGCTAGCAAGGCGTGTACGGGCGAGTCTGGCCGAAATTGCTCTGTGGTCTTTTTGAGCGAGTCCGTATCGAAGTCTTGAACCTCTATCCAACCGCCTGGTTTCAGAGAGTAGAAGACGTGATTATACAGCGCCTTCCAATTACGAAACGCGCCCTCCATGGCGCGAAAGTGAATCAAATCATAGCAGTCCGGCGGGCGATCCCAGTCCTCGGCGTCCTCAATCTCAAAGAACACGTTGATCGGGACGCGGTTTGTCTCTGCTATGGCAGCGATATCTGTGCCCACGACCTCACAATCAGGATACCGCTCCGCCATGCGGATGGCCCACTCCCCTGTCCCCGTACCGACGTCCAGTATGTGGGAAGGCGATTCCAGCACGACCGTGGACGATTCTGGACCAAGAAGGTGCAGGAAGACCTGGTGGTACAGGGATGAGCGCATCTGTTCAATTTCGTCAATGGGCATGTAGTACTCGCGACAGTATAGGCGGCCGTGAATCTCACGATAGTCGAGGTCATGAGCCCAAAGCGAGCGCGTGGATGCAGCTCTATTCACTGTTAGCTATGCCATGACCATGTTTCTCGGGAAGAACCTTACGGATCCGAGTTGACAGTCAAGAATTCCTCCTCTAAGTACGGCATTCCGGCCCTGTGCGAGCTCGGGGCAGGAGGATAGTGGTACATGCTCTGCATGTCCGCATCGTCCTCGGACATTCCCTGAACGCCACCGCCCATTGCATCATTCTTCTCGTCCATCCCAGGCACGCTCGTCGTAGTTATATGTACGCTGGCGCTCTTCGTTTGCTCGCTCGTGATGCGTTGGCTGGACTGGCTTCCGTTGTGGTTGCGGTTGGTGGTTTCGAATTGGTGGCCCTCATCCGGGCTCATGGCCCTTGCGAACGGACTCTGCTGAGGACTGCGGCAGGCTCAAGAAAGGAATGAATATCAGCGGTATCGATGGGCAACAAGAAGCGGATGCGACATGATTCTGTTACTTGGTTGTGAGAGTCAACCCAAGAAGCAGATACAGCATTAGACTCGACACAAGGCAAACAAGAACTGATACAAGCGAATGACTGTGGCCCGAGGCAGGCAAGACGGGAAGACGAAAAATCTTGAACCCAGGAACGCGGATAGGTGAAGCTGGAGGAGTGCATGTGGGTGCGTCCAGTACGTACTTTTCCGTGCCTATGCAGCTCCAGTCCATGTCCATGTCCCCTCTGCTCGGTTGGCAGCTGCCACCCAGTAACCCAGCTGGGCGTTCAGTGTGGGGCACCGGAACGGCCGTGCCCCGCTCCAGACTCCAGCCACCAGGAGTCAGGAATGTCAACAGGCTTGGATAGGGGCGAGCGGCAGCGGTCCGGGAGGCCAAGCTTGGAAGATGCACAATGTATCGAACGATTGTGGTGTGCACGGTATCGATAGACTGCTTCTGCCAGCCTCCGAGCCTCCGTCCAGCACACCGATCCCGCACCTTCCCGTTCCAGTCCCTTGGCACCTCCAGGCTCCAGCTAGCAAAGGTCACTCGTGATGCCTAAGGCACCTCAAAGTACACGATGCCCCTGGGCCCTTGGGTAAGGTACTACTAAGTACGTAGTACTCCGTACTCGAGTCACAAACAGTAATCGAGTACATTACTGGCACTGTCGTCGACTGGAGGATGAGGTCTATCCCTCGGTACCTGGCAAATTAAAGGCCAACCCCGTCAGGTCGGAACGAAGTGCCTGATATGGACTCATGCAACTTGCGTGCTTCGCGCCTTGGCTGATGGCCTCAACAAGTCGGCAGGGATGGGTCGAAAACTTGAGAACTCCAATTGAGACCTGACTGGGCACGTCGGACACGCCCCGATACGTTGGATTTGTGACGAAAAGGGGGACTCTCGAGTCTCAGACCAGATCACCTACGAGCTACTGGGATTCATTGGGCTATATGACGTCCGTGATACCAATATGTCTTGCTCACCTCGATAGAGGCATGCGTGCGTCCCTTTTCGCGGTCCGATCCATTCGACCAAGAGTCCAAGAGTCAAGCCATTGAATGTTGGTGGAATCACGTGGGTCGCGTAGTCCAAGCGAGCTTGGTGGGATGCCCCAACATCGGGCATGAAGTCGATGGCTTTCATCCGAGATGGCGATGCGCGGTGGTGGAGTACGTATAGACCAATAGGCAATCCCTTGTTTGAATTTTGGGTTGTCTGAAATCAAGGCCTGCATCGGGCATCGGGTCAAGTCAACGGTATGACTGGTGGCAGGAATATCACCACCAAGCTGCCAAGCACCCATCGGTGCAACATCCCGGCATCACTCTGTCGATAGTACCCCGGACCCCGCATCGGCTGCTACCGAGCAAGACTTGACCTTGCGACCAATACTGCGTCACGACTGGCTCGCCTCTGGGTGAATCCTTGCGCCAGCACACGAATGCAGCGGCAACTGAAAGAGTCTCCTGGTCTGATCGCAAGGTCGCATCCCGCGGGCTATAGCCTAGTATATGAAGCAGTACCATTATACATGCCTCTTCGGGGTCTTGTGAAGTCGATCTCGTGAGCATCAGTATTAAGGGACAGGCACATTTTGGGGAGCCATGCCGAGCTGCCCCTCAGAGCACGCCGACTGCTACCTCACCTTGAACGAGTGGTTTATACTTAAAGAGAAGTACTAGCCCGGCCAAGGACTAGTCAATTGACTAAAGTGGCCATCCATCACGCCCAATTTCCTTCATCTGCGGATTCCGTCCTTATTAGCCTGGATATACATCATGACTCCCATCCTGACCACAGCCTTGACTGGTCTGCTGCTTGCCGGTGGCGTACTAGCAAAACATGATATTGTGCCGGGCGCAGCCTGGACTGCTGTGGGTTTGCATTCGTCAGGAGCTAGATTCGCTCGGATTAGACCATAGCTAACACCAGGTATTAAGAGCAACACAGGTCGCCATATCCAAGCTCATGGCCATGGCATCACGTAAGTCCTTCATCGGGCAAACAGTATCCAGGCTGACCATGTCATTCTATGCACAGCTACGAGGATGGTGTCTACTACATGATTGGAGAGGAGAAGTCCGAGGGATCCAGCTTTCAGGCCGTCAACTGCTACTCGTCTACGAACTTGGTTGACTGGGACTTTGTGGGCAACCTAATCAGCCGAGACGACAGTGAGCCTGATCTTGGGCCGAACCGAATCATTGAGCGTCCCAAAGTTCTCAAGAACGATCAGACGGGGAAATACGTCCTGTTCTTGCACGTGGACTCATCCGACTACAAAGATGCGCGCGTTGGCTGGGGCACCGGCGACACCATATGCGGCGAATACAACTACCTCGGCAGCTCAAGGCCGTTGGGCAAGCAAAGTCGTGATATTGGCGTCTTCAAGGAAGAAGACGGCACGGCTTATCTTTTGACTGAAGATGTACGTCGTGGAGTCATAATCCCCCATAAATCATATCCCGGAGCCACTGACATGGTCAACTTAGCGTGAATATGGAACCCGCATCATGAGACTCTCCGAGGACTACCTGTCCGTGGAAGAGATCACCATGGAGTGGGAGTATTTTGCTGAATCTCCTGCCATGGTCAAGCGCGGCGGCACCTACTACATTTTCGGGTCACACCTGACGGGCTGGAACCCCAACGACAACGTGAGTCGACCATGAGAGCCTCTACGCATCACGCTGCCTTCTGTAGCATTGCTAACCCGCATCCTAGGTGTACAGCACCGCCCAGAATCTGTCCGGGCCGTGGACTGAGTGGACCGAGTTTGCACCTGTGGGAACAAACACCTACTCCAGTCAAGTATCATTCGTCCTACCTCTTGGCGACGACAATGCCATCTACATGGGCGACAGGTGGTTTCCAAACAACCTGGGTGCTAGCGAGTACATCTGGCTGCCCCTCCAGATCGACGGCAACACCGTCCGTCTGGACTGGTACGACAACTGGTCTGTCGACATGGAGGCGGGGACGTGGCAGCCAGGATTCCCGTACGCAGAGTACGAAGCGGAAGCCGCAGAGCTGTCCAACGAGGCCAGGCTGCTCGACTGTGGCGGGTGCAGCGGCTCCCAGATGGTGGGCTACATTGGGGGTCCCCAGGGCGGGACCGTATCTTTTGACGTGGAAGCGGCATGCGACGGCGACGTGACCTTGGTGCTGAAGTATCGCAACGGCGACAAGGTCACCACCACGACGTTTGGGGCGCGCAATGCCATTGTCTCGGTGGGTGGCGTAGAGCAAACTGTCGACTTCCCCTCGACTAGGCACAAGGGCGGACAGACGGCCGAGAGTGTTGTCCAAACTGCGGTCAAGGAGGGCAGCAATATTGTGGCCGTTTCGGGGGCTGATGGCTGGGGCCCAGACCTTGACGTTCTCCTGGTTCCAGGGTTAAGCTGTGGTTCTTAGGATACGTGAAGTAGCATGTAGTCCAATACAACACACAATGCTGAGTGACGAGACTTCTATATTCCAAGGTGTCTTTACCATGCATTAGGATATCCTGGCCCGGAAGATGGCTTCAAGGTATTAGCCAGCCGAGAACCATCATCTATAGGATAACCAGATACGCTGAATGACCATTTCTAAGCCATTCGCTCCATAACACACAGCCTTCACCCCCTTTTCCCGTTCTCCCATGGCTCGTCCCTACCGTCATGCTCAAAGTCGGGCACCACCTCGCCCAGCTCACTGACCCCCGGAAACGGCGTCAGGACGTGCGTAATGTTCCCCCACCAGCTCTCCCCAAACTTGCTGTACCAGTCCACCGTCCGCCTCAGCCCTTCCTCGAGGCCCACCTTCTGCGACCACCCGAGGCGCCGCAGCTTCGAGGCGTCCACGGCATAGCGGCGGTCGTTGAACGGTCGGTCATGGGTGTACTTGATCCACCGTCTCGACGCGCCAGTGGACGACGAGGCTGGTGGGCGTATTAGATCCACAAGTTTGTGGCAGAGGTCCAGGTTGGAGATCTCATCGCTGGATCCGACGTTGTAGATCTGCCCCAGGATGCCACGGTGTAATATGGTGTCAAAGGCGTCCGCCGCGTCGGACGCGTATAGATAGCGCCGCGTGGGCGAGCCATCGCCATGCAGGACCACCGGCTGTGCCCTGCGCAGCAAGCACGAGAACTTTGGTATAATTTCTGGCCCCTGCGTCAGCTAAGGCGCAAGGTAGCATGGTACGTCTCGCCACTCACTTTCCGGATATTGATGCGGGCCGTAGACGTTGTTGCTCCGCACAATGATCCCCGGGAGCTTGAAGCTCTTCTGGTAGCTGTGCACCAGCATCTCGGCGGCGGCTTTGCTTGCCGCGTACGGGTTTGTCGGCTGCAGGATGCTCGACTCGAGCAGGTCATCTTCGTCCTCCTTGACCTCGCCGTATACCTCGTCGGTGGAGATGTGGACGAAGCGCTTGATGCCGACCTTTTTGGCCGACTCGAGCAGGACGTGCGTGCCGTACACGTTGGTTTGCGTGAACCCGTACGAGTTGCCAAACGAGAGGTCGACGTGGCTCTGTGCGGCAAAGTGCAGGACCGTGTCGACGTTGTGTCTCTCCATGCAGTCCAGCACGGATGACGGCGTCGTGATGTCGCCCTGGTAGAAGGAGAAGTTGGGATGAGAGGACAGAACGTTGGTGTTGTTCAGCGTGGAGCAGTAGTCGAGTTTGTCGAAGGAGATGATGTTGTAGGAGGGATAGGTAAGTGTGAGGTGGCGGACGACCCAGCAGGCGATGAAGCCGGCGCCGCCCGTGATCATGATGTTCTTGACGTCGGGACGAGGCTCGAAGCATGTCGAGCCCTTGAGCGTCGGCGCATGTTTCCATACATCATCATCAGTGGTTGTGGTGGAGGTCTTGGTGTGGTAGCCTTCCGTGCGGCCTTTTGGTGGTCAGTTCAGAGAGCGCGCGCATTCGAAACATTCGATCCTCAGGACACGTGCCTTGCGATCCCATTTTCCTCCGCGCCGCCACTGTGCAGCTATGGTGACCTGTAACGAACGGACGGCTGCCCTGGACGGTAGCTCCTGGGGTCGCACCAAAGGGTCGTAGTCGTCTGAGCAAACGAGACATGCCGCGGTTGGATGCTGTTGAAGCCAAGGGCCTACAGCGGCCGGACCCTGACCAGCACAGGCTTTATCGAGGGTGTAACTTGTCGCGTAGGGTCATAAACTCGTTGCTCTCATTTCCATGCTTCATCAACGCCTTCAAATGGGAAAAGCGAGTGTCTGTCTGATATTCTCACTCTGTTCAGTCATGAGAGCTAGTACTGGTGTGGCTGTGGCTGTCTCTCACTGTGGCTGAGGGCCTGTGGCGTTCATGGACATCGAGTTGACTGACATGGGTAACATCTAAATCAAATGCAATTTCACCTTTCTGTAGCCAGTTGAAGACGAAACATGTCGTGATTATTGTATTTGATTCATTGCTGGCATCACATGCTGACATAGAACCACCCCCCCTCCCCCCCCCCATGTGACGCTGACCCTACAAGTTGAACCTCTTCCTGTCCTTCTCCATCTTGGACTTCCACTCCCACTGCGTCGCGTCGTCTCCCTCGCTGCCCGCCCTTCCAATCCCCTTGTCGACCCTCCTTAGCTTGAGCGTGAAGCGCGGGCCGAGCTCCTGCAGACCGGCGCGGACCTCCTCAACGCCCGCGAGCCCGGTCCCTTCGGCGTCCGTCACGCTCTTCTCCGTCTGGCGCTTGTCGCGAAAGACGTAGCGGTGCCGCCGCACAAAGATGTAGTCGCGCTGGTTGTGGAGCGTGAGGACCTGCCGGCCCTGGAACTCGGGGGAGGGCGGGAAGAGTGTCTGGAAGAGCTTGGCCGTCAACAGGCCGAGGGGCGTCTTGAAGTTGTTGAGGAGCAGCTCCGGATAGTGGTTGGTCGGGTTGCCGTGACCCGGCAGGTACTTGCCCTCGATCCAGTTGCTGATGGAGAAGTGGAAAGTCGGACCGCTGGGCAGGTGGACGACGGAGATGCCCGTGGGCTTCTTCTGGTCCTCCTTGACGAGCACGACGGCCGTGTAGTCCCGGTTGGCGGAGAACTTGCAGATCTCTCGCAGCGAGTACTTGTAGCTGTACTTGTGCCCGGAGCGAGGGATGTAGGTGCTGTTGGGGAAGATGCTGCAGAGAATGTTGGCTTCGCGGTGGAGCGTCGAGTTGAGCGAGGTGGTGATGAGGATCTTGGGTGTCGGGGGCGGAACGTCCGTGAACAGGGTCGGAAACTTGAGGGCGAGCGAGGTGGGCGTCAGGTCGAGGTTGGTGCTCGTCATGGACGGGGCCGTCGAGTCGGCCCTTTGCGCTCGCTTCTCCCGTTGCCGCTCCATGGCGGCCTCCTCGGCCTCGTCGTCGCCTTCCTCGTCCGAGTCCAGCATACTGTCGTGGTCGTCATCGTCCTCTTGCTCCTCATCCTCCCCGTCGAGAGGCGCCTGTGCCTCCGCCTCGGCCTCCTCCATCCGCCTCCTCTTTAATCGCTCCAGATCGACCTGCACACCGAGGCTGTCGTCGTCCACGTCGTCCCACACGCGCTTCTGGTCGAGCGTCACGGCCTTGTTCTTGGCCAGTCGCGCCGCCTTGAGCTCTGGGTTCTTGTTCTCCTCCTTCTTGCGCGCAAAGCGGGCATCGCGTCGTTCCTTGTCGGCATGGCGCTTGTGCTGGACAAAGAGCTCCTGGCGCTTGAGCTTGTTAGCGGCTTTGAGGGCCTGGACGGGCGGTTTCGTGGTGAAGCCCATGCTGTACTATTGTGGCGCACAATTGTGGTATTGAATGGTGATAATTAGATCCCAATTCGACCACGGGGGAAATTTTGAGACTGACTGACTGACTGACTGACTGACTGGACGGGACGGGCGATAAACTTTTTGGCGGGGCTAATAAAGCGACAAAAAAAATGCACCTTGTCTGCTTACCCTGTACACACTGCTCCCCCGTTTTACGCCTCCAACTTCAACTCATGCCGACGCAGAGACACAGCCAGAACCGCTTGAATCATCATTCATATATCGTAAAGAATGTGAGACTAATTACCTACCCCTTTATGCCGTATATAAGCCGAAGGATCCCATCCAACGCCGCCCGTCGTAAATACATCGTACTGTATCTAGAGCAACAGGCCCAGACCAGCAAGGCCCAAGCTCGCAAGAACGCCGCCCATGCCAGGTTGTAACATGCCAACACCGTCGTCCTCATCACTGCCCGTGTCGGTGCTCGAAGGTCCCGCAGACGTCGCGTCGCTGCCGTCAGCGTCAGTCGCCGAGGGGACCGCGTCGTCCCCCGTGCCAATCTCAGCAATCTCAGACTTTTTGGCTTTAAAGTTGCTCTGCGCGAGGGAGATTTCATTATTGTCCAGGTCAAACACGACGTACGCGCTGCGCAGAAAGGTGTCGCCGAGAAGAGACAGCGAGCCCGAGCCCAGCGAAGGCACGATGCCAAAGAGGCACACCTCCGCCCCGCCTAGTCCGCCCGGTTCCCCGACGTCGAGCACGAGCTCGCTCATGGCCACGTCGATGCGCGCCGGCGACTCAAAGTAAAAGGTCACTTTGGCCTGCTCGTCGGCCAAGGAGCACGGCACAAACGCCACGCCCTCGGTGGCACTGTACTCGGCTCCGACGGCCTCGTATATGGAGGCCACCATGCTCTCGGGCAGGTACGTAAAGGACGTCCCCGAGTCGAGGACCACAGCGACCTCTGGACCCCCCTTCTGCGAGATTTCGTTGTCGCCAAGCTGCACACCCGTCAGGGCGACGTAGAAGGAGCTGTACGAACTGCTCTCGGGGCGCAGGATCGGCACGGTGACGAGGTCGCCCGTGTACCGAGAGTGGTCGACGCCACCAAACAGGAGGCTGCCGGTGCTGGAGTCGAGATCGTTGAGCCACAGGCTGTAGGCGCTGGACTGGATCACGCCGTTGTGGACCAGCTGTGCGGGGAGGTTTCGGTAGGTGCGCTGGTCTGCGTCCGTAACCTGGGCCTCGTCCGCGGGATAGCCAATGCCCATGATGCCCTGGTCGGAGGAGCTGTCGTAGCCGACGCCAAACTGAAAGTCCTCGACCGTCTCGCCGCCGAAGCGGAGCGTGTCTGTGACATAGTCACCCGCCGCCCCCGAGCCGTCGACGTACGATACGTTGAACCAGCCGCCCACGTAGTTGTATGTTGATGAGCTGTTGGCGCTGTAGGTGCCGGTTGCGTCGCACGGCTTGGATCTGCGCTCGCACAGGCTCGAATTCGCCGCGTTGACCCACAGGTCACTGCTCCCGGTGTCGACGGCGACCATGAAACCCTGAGGCGGCGTCCCGATGGAGATGTTGAGAGTATAGAGCAGCCCCTGGAGTGGTATGTCAGCTTGGACGCCTGATGCGCTCACGGGGTCGTTGCAACTCACTTCATTGTCGATCTTGGTGCTCACCGTGTCAGCCCGTCTGCTGAGCCTGTTCCGGTCGTGTGCCACCTTGTCTCTAATTTCATTGCGCTGCAGGTCGAACTTGACCACCCGGGGCGAGGCGTCGCGAGGCTCACGGAGGTGTAGCGCACTGGCGCATGGCAGGGCCAGGCAGCAAGCTGCCGACAGCAGAGCGTGGGTGTGCATGGCGTAGGTCCAAGAGAACAGGGGCAGGAAGAAACCAAAGGAGTTCACCGGCACTCTCCAAGGTAATAATAGCTACTAGAGACCCTCATTCCGGGCGGGAGCCAGCAGCTTATACATGACAGGGCTGGGTCTCCGCATCCGATGAATCCGCGTGTCGCCGGACTGGACTGAACTGGCCTGGACTAGACGAACTAGTCGCCGTTGATGATGCCGTAACACTTGTGCTGCCTTTGTGGCTGTGGCCGTGGTCCGGTCCGTGACGAATGCAAGCCAAACGAGACTGGCAGTGTGCCAGGAGCGTTGCGCAATCCAGAAGGCGTACGTGGACAGGTTCCCTCATGACATTGATACCCCCCACAGTGGACGACGTCAGGGACATGACTGGAGCCGCAGGGCAGCGTGCCTGTTCCCGGCGGCTCGTCACACTGCTTTCTGGGGCGCCGTCTCCAGTCCCGGCTGATCGGCATACGATGGGTGTTGGAAGTGACTCAGGTGAAACTGGCTGCCGTCGGGCTCTGGCTGCCGAGCCCAGCCTCGTGGGCGACCGCCACCAGACCCGACTGTCCGTGGCCCTGGCGTCGTTGGAGGTTGATCTCCTCACGTGGAAGCGTTTCGGGGCATTTCGTTGACGCGCGGCCGGGCGCCCCATTGACTGCCTGGCAGTATCTGGGACGGCGTCAGCGCGCCTTTTGCGCATCGGCTAGTCGGAAGTCAAACGTCGAGGAAGCGCACAAGTTGACGTCAAAGCCTCAAGAGAGTGAAACTGTGGCGGGGCTGGACGCGTGGCGTCGTACAGTGGCCTATTGTCTGTCACAATCTGAATCTACAGTCGTCTTCGTGAAGGTGAAGCCACACTTGCGCCTCACGTCGTCTCTCGACCAGTCCAGACTACCCTGTGCAACTCGGAGCCGGCCAAGTCTCGATCCCGTGATCTGATGTCTGTCTGCACACAATGCTAATTTTATCCAAGACGTGTTACTTCACAGACTCCCGGCGGCCTGTTGGAGCACAGTTCACTGCTCAGTGAAGAGAACCTTGATTCTTAGGCTCGACCGAGTCGCTCTCGGTCCACCGGAATGATTGTGGAGTTGTGAATCCGGGAGTCGCTTCGAACTACGTACGGGTACACTCGACGAAAGCAATTGAAAGGGCCGGTGAATGTCACCTACCAAGATCAGGACCTACGCTAGTCGTCCATCCTTTCGGCACCTTGGGTATCTCCGTATCAAGATGTCACCTAGATCCTTGTGTTGGCATCCATTGTTCCGATACGTAGCTCCGTAGTGGCTCGTTGACTCTGAGATCCTGACGATTGGACCTCTGAAAACCCTGCCTACCCTGGACTGTTGACCGTGAGTGAACCACCTCGACTCGACGGCTATCAGACTGGAAGCGATGGCGCGTGCAACAGCATGACAAGGAACGATTCTATCGAGAGTGAATTTGTTGATCAGCATCCATGCTGTGCCGTGCCTTAATGCTGCAGCGTGAAGCCTCGTCGTCGTTAGCGGAGGCGGCAGAGAGAAGAGAGAAGAGCCAACCGGCCAAGCAAGCGCCCGCCAAGATGCTGCATCCAAAATCAGGGTGAGTCCAGACTGTCTGTCACTGGATCCCGAGTACCTTATTTATTTTTACCTTTCCCCAGCCCGCCGCAAAGCAAGACCGCATGCTTTAACTACCATCACCATCTGCTTCATCAATCCAGATCTACTCACTTTGCCTGACACTCGGCTCTATAAATCTATTCATCAGCAAAGCCATTGGACCCCCTCCAGCCAAGGCTGCTCACCCGGTTACCCACCCGGGTCACCCGCTCGCTCACCCACTCACTCACCCACTCACTCACCGGCTCGAACTCAACCGCCCCCTCCCACTGAGAGCCAACTCAGTCGCGCGCATATCAACAGAACAGACACGACGAGCGCGTGGTCATGTCGCCAATGCCCGAACTGCCGAATGTGGTGTTTGATGAGGCATCGGACGCAGCAGACCCCAACCTGTCACTGATAACCACCGACCCTCCCGCCGTCCTGCCTTACCAGCCAAACCCCCAAGCTACGACGACGCAGAGTCAGGCTGCTCGCGCCAGAGAGTCAATCCCAACCGCCTGCCTCGCCTGTGTGAGTTTGGTCCCCATCAGTCAAGACATGTCCAACTGCTGGTCGCAGCCCACGCGGGACACCCGCAGAGAAACCAGACCAGACCAGACCAGTGCTGACCAACTCCTCCTGGTGATAGCGCAGCAAGCATCTAAAGTGTGACGGCGCGCGCCCTTGCGCACGCTGCCGAGCCTCGGGCTCCGACTGCGCCTTTGTGGCCTCGCGTCGAGGCTATAAGGGCCCCAAGCGCGGCGGCGGCGGCGGCGCCCGTGGTGCGTCGCAGCAGAAACACCACCCAAACAAGCGCCGGGCCACGTCGCCGCTGAGCCAGGATGGCAGCAGCAGCACCGACTTCTTCGCCGCCGTCGCCCCCGCCCCCGCCCCCAGCGTAACCCAGCCCGGCGTGGCCATGTGCCTCGCCAGCAAGGGCCGCGGCGGCGGCGGCAGCAGCCAGTCCCCCAGCTCCTCCGGTCCGGTCACCCCGGGTTCTTCCACGTCGGTCTCGCAGACGTTCAGGGTCCTCGGCGCCGGGGATACGGACGGCTCAACCTGGGACATGAGCCCCCAGGACCGCTCCGTCTCCACAAAGTCCTCGTCCCTGTCCCTGGCCGAGCGTTGCTTCGAGTCCTTCTATTTCCACTTCCATGCGGCGCATCCCTTCGTCCTGCCAAAGGACTTTATGGTCCGCTTCCTCCACGACCCGAGCTTGGAACCGCTCCTGTCCGCCATGCGCTGGGTCGGCTCGCTCTTCATCGACGTGCCAGCCGCCCGCAACAGCCTGTTTGACGAGGCCTGGCAGCGGGTCCATGAGCCGCAGAATGCGCGTGATGGGTTTCTCGTGCAGGCCATGATGGTCCTCATCGTAGGCATGGACGGCGTAACGCTGAATGAAAGGGCGCGCGAGCTCCTCCTCGAAGTGGAGAAGCTCGCCGTCGAGATCGCCCTCAACACACGCCCCTTTGCCATGTTCCACGGCCGCGGCGTCCCCGTGCTGGAGGAGAGCTGGCGACGCACCTGGTGGGATCTCCTCGTCATCGACGGCATGATTGCGGGCGTCCACCGGATGACCACCTTTGCCCTGTACGACACACCCACCGACGTAGCGCTGCCTTGCGAGGAGCACGAGTTCCTCTCTGGGGTGAGTATCAACATATCCATGGCAAGAGCACCATGTTGCTGACCCCTCCAACGCAGGCTATCCCTCCTCCCCGGTATCTAGAAGACCTCGAAGACCAGGAATTCCTCGACGACAGCGCACCGCCCTTCTCATCCTTCGCCTACCGCATCCTCTGCGCCCGCAACCTCGGCAAGCTGATGCGCACGCCCCCCATCACCGATCCCGCCGACGACAACCTCGTCCGCGTCGAGACCCTGCTCACCAACTGGCGCCTCCACCTGCCCCCGTCCAAGCGCAACCCCCTCGACGGCCACACGGGCCGTGTCGACGAGATGCTCTTCCAGGCGCACATGATGCTCCACGCAACGTCCATCATTCTCCACCAGCCACACTCCCAGCTCGACTCGTCCCCCGCCGCCAACATCACCTCCTGCGCGCCGCACCAGGCCGTCAAGGCCAACGCCCGCCCGGCCTTTAACCCACACACCAGGCACACCATTGAGGCCGCCACCGCCATCTCCCGGCTCGTCACACTGCCCGTCCCCTCCCTCACCACGCACACACATTTCTTCACCTGCGTCCTCACCCTGTCGTCCATCGTCCATCTCTCCAAGTGGGCCCTGCACTTTGTTCAGTACGACGACGACGACCTGCGCCAACTCCTCCGCCTCAATGTCGGTGCCCTGAGCGAGCTGGCGCGCGTCTGGCCAGCCGCCGACCGGTCCAGGGGCCAGGTGAGGGGCGTCGCCTCAGAAGTGTACAAGGCCAAGAAGTCTGTCCAGGCAGGACCGCAGTTCTGGTTCGGCCTGACGAGGGAACAGGTCATGAGCAGCATCGCGGCCGATGATGGAATCATAGAGGACGTGAGCAGCAGCTGAACAGTTTCAACCAAGCCATGTGTACAGGGAAAATAAAACATGTCACAAAACAAAAGGAATACTTGATACGACACTAATACTAATGCCAACACACGCGTATGGGGTATAGGGATTCGCAATCACAACCACGCTCACTCTCCTGACCAGGGCCCTAGCACCTCCTGGCCGCCACGCCTCTGCTTCACGAGACGCAGCACTTCATATGCCCGATGTACCTCCTCGGGTGACTTGTCTTTGGTCTCCGGCCGACCGCGGCCTGTCGCGAGGCCGCACAGACACACAATGACCCAGCCAAAGGCCATCCAGACCGGGACATCGACCATATCTCCTAGCAAGAGGGCGGGCATGCTTGCCAGGTCCCGAGAACCCAGGCTGCCCGGGAGCCAAGAGACAGCCACCGACAGGACGACAAGGACAGTGCTGACGGATGCGCTGATAGAAATGGTCTCGACCATGAGGTGGCCCGGCGGAATCTCGGCCGAGAGCGCGCAAGACAGGGCGGGAAGCACAGCAACAAAGACGACAAGGGCGAGGTAGAAGAGGGCTGTAATAAATCGACTGATATGGACGTGGCGTACCGCTGTCTGTACATACAGATTTCTGAGTCGGGTGGTAGTTACCAATGGGTTGGCCAGGCCGACAATCGTAACCGCAATGAGCAAGAACAACCACAATCCAGCGATCCACATGGTGCGTCGCCCAAGGTAGCGGTTCAGGAACAATGATATGATGCTCGATCCGACGCAGCACAGAACGACGGCAGTGACCTGGACCTTTGTGCCCGTTGCCACAAGCGCACCTCCTCCGTCGGTGGTAGCAACGACAAGTCCATACAGCGACAGGCCCAGCGTCAACGCCGTATGGTACACACTGACCAGAGCAAAGGTTCTTCTGCGATTGGTCTTGCGGAAGCAGGCTATGAATCCTGATCCGAGAAGAGCCGCTTCCCTCTCATCCAATAACCGTAGCGCTACCATAGCAGCTTCGTTGTCTTCCTCGGAATGTTTGAGGGCCGGGAATGCGGGCTGTATTGTCGAGTCATCTTCCGAGAGCCTCTGGCGTTGCAATATGTATCGAGGACTTTCGGGGATGTACCAATTTCCCGCTGCGCATATTAGAGCCAGTAGGAACATGAGGATATAAACAAATCGAGACTGCTCGATTGGCGCACGCCGCAAGGCCGCCGACGAGAAGGTCATGCAGACAATGCTTGTAGTGAACACCGAGCTCAGGATGTACAGGATCGTTCCGCGCCGCTTGAGAGGAACCACGTCAGATATATAAGGGATGATCAAGGCCAAAATAAGACCAAAAGGCACGGCAAGCAAACACTCGCCTGTTGCCAGGAGGACAAATCGTCCGAGACCCGACGTGGACGTGGCGAAGACGGACGCCATCAGCAGTGGCAGGACCAGCAATATCATGGCTGCAGAAGCGAGGAATGACTTTCTGTAGCCCAACCTCTTCGAGAACTGAGGGGCCAGGAATCCACCGGCCATTCTGCCGCCGACAAGCAGGGACCACAAGACCAGCTCCCAGACCAGTGGTGGACGTCGTCTGTGAAGCTGAGGCACATGGATGTTGTCCCCTTGTCTACCAGGTGCACTGATGACGGCCCTTGTTGGTGAGTACCACCATCTGCCCACAGGCCCCTCGAGGACAGCCAAGCAGTGCAGAAGGTCTACCGTGGCCATCCAGGCCAAGCACCCCACAACGGAGAGCCACCAGTATGCGTTAAAACACTGCTTCGCTCTTTCGACGAAGTTCCTCTTGTCCTGTTGGGAGTCGTGTATGCCTTGGGGGCCTGGGTCTTGCTTCTCGTACGCAGGGCAAGGGGACGTGGGAAGCGAAGCTTTCTCCAGCTCGGCCACCCCATCCACACCTCGCAGCGGATACTCCAGTGTAGATTCGTCAGCTACATGACCAATATATCGGATAATGCTCTGCGTATCAGAGGCTGGCCCATCGCTCGTGGTCGGATCTTGTTCGGAGAGCGCGCTAGAAAGCTCGTCATCCAAGAAGGTCGAAGCACAACACTCGATTGGGGATCTCGAAGGCTTGTTTGCATAAGATTGGCCGCTTTCAGTTGACTGTTTGGGTATGATCATTGTGTCTGTCCGCCTCTCGAGTCTGTCAGTAGGGCCACCAGGGGCCGCTCCACGTGCTTCAGCAAGGTCCGCTGGATCTTGAGGGTATTCATCGTCGCAGGACCTGTACTGGCTGTTGTCGGTCGAGATGAGTTGTGCAGCTGGGGCTTTAGGTTTGCTCTCTCTTAGAGGCTGGTTACGAGGGCGTTCCTGCGATTGCCGTTGATTTGCTTTGACTGGAGGCATGACAACCTGTCGGGTCGCACGTTTGGCTATGACGAATGCGTAGGAGGCGGGGGTTCAACAGCGATGGAGTTAGTAAAAGCATAGAGCTGAATGAAACAAGTATACAGCAACGTGGAGAAGAAGTTGAAATAATATGCTTGATAAGTGAGATGCTTGTGAAGTGGTCAACAACAGACTGGAGGCTTGCATCCAGAGGAAGGTCAGCAAAAGCCACACCCCTTTTTGGAAGGGGAGTAGTTCCTGCCTGGGTCCCCCGAGCTCCTTCCTGCCTGTCATTCATTCGCAACACGAAGCTTCTTGCCTTCAAGCACTGAAATAGTCCCCAACCAGTCGCGCATGCCCTCCGCGTACGTCTCGTCCATCCCCCACTCCTCGACAGCCTGTTTGATCCCCCGCTCCATTCTCCGAATGTACTCCTGGTTGGGCACATCGCCAACCACGCGCTGCGCATCAATATACGCCAGCGCCGCCAGATCCTGCGGTGCCTCCATTTTACGCCCTTCTTCGTCCGTCATACGCTGCACGGCGACATGCACCTTGCCGTACGCCCACGGCACGCCCTCGTAAAAGTCCAGTTCATCCTCATCCTGTGGTGGCAGCAAGTAGAGAAGCCCATAGACGCCTCCTTTCGAAGAGACAACGGGATCAGCTGGGCCTTTCGAGGAGGGAGGAGGCACGTCTGCGCTGACAATGTTGGCGTACCCCCTTTCATTGATGATCCACTTGTAGCCTGGCAGATGGCCCAGACCGATGGGCATGGAGTTGGGGCAGCGCTGGAGCATTTGATGCGAGCAGAGGTTGGAGCCATAGGCGAAATAAATGATCTCAGTGCGGTTGTCGTCGATGGCTGTCAGGACGCTGTCCTGAGAAGGCTGGTTGTCGTCTTGATCGTCCATGTCGATGGTGAGTAGTTTATGTGGTCTTCACTCGGAACTTAGGATCTGGGACTTGTGTGGTAAATATGAAGGAGCCCGAAATTCCTAGGAGAGGGAAGAGCCCGGTCAATTGTACAATAAGTAGGTAAAGGAACAGGAAGGCAGTCGGTGTATAGGCAGTCAGCCTTGGATGCCGTCGTGGTGAGGATCCACACACACAGCCTCATTAGGAGCCCTCACAGAGTCACGAGGCAGCCAATAACAAGGCCACCGCATATCAAACACGGTTAAAGTGTACAAAAGGCAGCAAACAGCTGCGCCAAGCGTCGTGGCGGTCTTTGTACTACGTTTCAGAATGTGAAGTTGGTCATTTCTCATCTCGCGGCAGTATTACATAGATACACCTCCCTTCCCTAATCGCCGTCGTTCAACGTAGCTTGCGTGATTGCTCGCTCATTACATATAAATATATCGCTGCCATGACTGGATGCTCAGCATGACAGAACTCTAATAACAGAAAAGATCAATCATCTCCACAAACAGACCACATTTGGCTTGCTTTCCGCACCCGGCTGTGTCCCCTCCCACAAATCCTCAAGTGATCGGTGTCAGGAAAGGGCTGAGCATGAGCTCGTCGGCGCTAGGTCGCCGATTGTGGTCAATCTCGAATGTCTGAGCAAGGAAGGCCTTGGCGTCCTCGCTCGCATTGTCGGGGATCGTGGGGACGGCACGGCCTCCGCCAATCTTGAAAATGGCCTGGAGCTGGCTGCAGTCCGGGAACGGGTGCGAGCCCGTCATCATCTCCACGACCAGGCAGCCCAGCGACCAGATGTCTGCCTTGCGCGTGTACGAGGTCTGCTTGACGACCTCGGGCGCCATCCAGAACACGGAGCCCTGAAGCGAGGGGCGGTTCTTGTTGTTGTTGGCGCCGTTCAGAATGTTGGTGGCCTCGAGCTTCTTGGAGATACCAAAATCCGAAATCTTAATTGTGCCCTTGTTGTCGACGAGAATGTTGGCACCTTTGATGTCGCGGTGGATGATCTCCTGGTTGTGCAGATATGAGAGTCCCGTCAGGATCTGACGGACAAAGCTGCGCACCAGGGGCTCGGGCAGAGCGCCGTACGAGTTGAGCATCGTCTGCACCGACCCGCCGGGGACATACTCGAGGAAAATGTTCAGGTAGTCAGCAGACGAGCTGCAGCCCAGGTACTGCACAATGTTGGGGTGGCGGAGGTCGCGCAGGAGGCTGATCTCACGCTTGAGCGCATCAATCATGCTCTTCTTGCGGTTGTCGGATTGGTTGTTGGCACCAGGTGCCGGGGTCTCCACCTGCTTCACGGCAAGCAGCTCGCCCGTAACGGCGTGCAATGCCAGGTAAACGCAGCCAAAGGACCCCTGGCCGATGAGGGCTCCCTTCATCCACTTGTTGTCGTCCCAGGACTCGCCGGCGAGGAAGCTCTGCAGCTCCTCGTCGGCATCGTCACCATCGCCGGACAATGCCTGCTTAACCTCCTGGAACGACCCAGAGTTTGTCGAGCTCTCTGTCTCAAAGAAGCTGCTCCTGACTGTTTGCCCCTCAGGGTCAATAACGCTAATGGGGGCGGTGTCGGAGCCGCTTTCGGTGAATGATACATATGACTTGCGGTTTGGCTCGACGGGCGATTCCTCCTGAAGAGTATCGAGCATGGACGAAGCTATCGAGTCGCGGTTGAACATTTGGGGCAGGCGACCTTGCGAGTCGCGCGATCGCACCTTGGCCACCTGGTTGCCTCCGTTCAGCCATGAGTCCGCAATAGTCGGGATCGGGGGCGCATCCTGGAAACTAGAAGCGAAGCTGAGATTGCTAGCCACGCTCAGGCGGCTGTTGACCTTGCTTAGCCGAGTTGACCTTCGCATGGAGAGTCGTGCGGTGCGATCAATATCTTCCCGAGCGTGACCAGGGAAATACGACGTCAGATCCGAGGCAATGAGCTCACTAGGGGGTCGCAAGCCTCCGAATTGGCGAAGTTCGGCTTGCCTCCGCTGGGGTCGGTTGGAGTCGCCAGAGCGCGGGCGCTCGAGATCCTTTGCGGCGTTTGATACGTTCCGCTCGCGGTCCTGGAACGACAGTGGCGAGAGTGGCTGCTGCAGTCCTTCGTGCCACTTCTCACCCAGCACCTTTTGCACCTTGAGCTGGCTGCGCTTGTCCACAGACTCCAGCGCCCGCGCATGCTTCTGCTGCTCCTCCTCCATGGCGATCGCGGCCGCTCGTTGCAACTCCGAGTCTCCTGGCTCACCAGCCGGGACTCGTCGGAGGATGAGCCGGTTCCTCTCAGGCCTCCGCTGGTCCTTGATAATACGCCAGAGCTCCGTGTCGCCGAGGCGGCGTGTCTGGCTGGGATCCGGATCCACACCGGCAAGGACCCAGAAACAGTAGTTGCGTTCATGGTCTTCGCGGAGCGCGAATTTGCGCAGAGTGACGCGCATCACTTCCTCACAGGTGTTGCAGTCGGCAATCTTGACAACCTTGGTGACACCACCTGTCGAGATGACGCGGATGACCTCTTGGTTCTGAGGCAGCGCGGCCATCAAGGAACCATCCATGCTAGAGTTGTTGCGCGTATGCGTAGGGACAAGACGACCGCTGGAGGCTTCTGAACCCTGCAGTCGTGAGGGTTGAGCATGATAGGCACCGCCTTGTGGGTATCGTGGAGTTCGTGCGCTCCGAGGGTCGTCCTGTGCGGGAGAAGAAGGTCGTGAGCTGGGCTTGGACGGGTCGTAGGCTGAGAGGTCAATCTGTCTCGAGAACCGCTTGTTGCTCGACGGGGTAGGTCGGCTGTTGGGCGGTCGGGGAGACGTAGCAAAAGGCGCGTTCAGGGTGATGTCGAGGGCACCGAACGAGTCCTGGAAAAGGTTAGCAAAGGACCCAGAAGACAGAGGGTATCTACACATACCCTGTTGCGCTTCTTCTGGTTGGCGTAGGCTTTGGTACGCAGCTTCTTGATGCCCAAGAACAACCGCACCCTGTCGCCAACTTTATCGATGCCCATCTCCTTCAGAACCTCCTTATCCATTTCCAACAGATTCTCGCCATTAATGTGGTTCTTCCTGAACAGCTTCTCGTATTCGCCGCATTTGACACTCCGCAGGTACTCGCAGACCCTCTCCTCGTCCCAGTTCTTAACCGAGTCGGGTCCATCGGCGTCGCTGAATTCTGACTCGGTCGGGCTTTGGAAGTTTTGCGTGCCACTGGGCGCCATGGGTGCCCGTCTTGAGGATGGCGGAGCGGTGGCTAGAGAGGCTCCGGGTGGTAGCGCTGAGGCGGTGTTGAGGCTCGCGGGGAAAGCCGACTTTGGTGCCAGCATTGCCATGGTAAATAGTTTTGAGCCCCCTCGGTTGGGTGGGTATTATCTAGGTGTCTCGGATACTTGGTGGTCTACGGTCGTGATGATTAGGGCGTCAATTCTCGCGTCGTCCAGCCAGCTGGAGGCGATCTGGGGGTATCTCGTCCGAGCCCGAAAGCGTGGGCGTCGCGCTGCGATGGATGGTCGGGCTGACGTTTCCTTGCAGTCGGTGCGTGCATCCGACGCTGCACGCAGTGAAGTAGTATTAGACTGGCCTCAGAGCCGTATTATGGTGAAGGACAAAAGGAGGAGGTGGAAGAGGTCGGAAGAGGATAAGACACAGGATTGACCAGCAGATGGGGAAATACGAAACACAACAGGCCGAGTGAACAGAGGTGACTCGACTGGGAGAGTGTGGACTGGCTGACCCCTGCCGCTCCTTGTCGAACGACCCCCTGTCATTGCCCGCTGTCATTGCCCGCTGTGGCAGCGCTGGCGCCTGCAGAGGAGGTGAAACACGATCTTGCCACGCACAATCAGAGGCGCTTCTCGTTACGGATGATTAGAGGCAATTTGAGGCGATTCTGGTGCGTGTTCATCCTCCCATTGGCACGTCGTTTCGCCGACCGGCGAGATAGGCCCGTCTCTCTGCCGGCGCAGTGATCCGACATTCCTTGGGCGGCTCAGACGGATGATAACGCTTCTCGCTATCAGCTGGCAGCGAGCCGTACGGATACACCCAGGCATTCAAGTATGCACTGTAATGAAATTGCTCTTGATAATAGGCATCGTGAGGACGATCGCGCCGCTTTTCGCCCCATATCAGCTCCCGCTGAGGCTGCGCATCGCGCGCGGCCCTTACGCTCCCGCTCGCCGATGCACTCTCGTCATCGCACAATCTGTCTCACGACAGCCTCACCGTGACGGGCACGACACGGCCACTACGTCGCCCTATCCGTAGTCTACACCGGATCGGAAGCTAGCACAAATGGATCTGGTCCTTCAACAAATTACCTACCTGGGTCTTGCCTTATATACATTACACAACGGCAGCCATCTCACAAAGCTGACTGAAAATCGCCATGTTTGCTTCCGGAATGCCAGTTAGGAAAAGATCTCTTGGAGAGCCCGCGGATTTAATTACGGTCTTTGTCTGTTCAACATTGGCAATGCCTGACGGGCGTAATTAACGGTGCAGTGCCCTGTCAGGCGACATGCCAGTGATGCCACCGACTCGGCAACTTCGCGTTCATGCGATTGATTGGTCAGAGAATGCCGATGATGAAACACGCCGCGTTGCAGGTTTCTTTAAGGGTCCATCCACTCTTGTAGAGATCCAGGCCGGGGTCAGTTCGACGATGATAGCACTTTGTACTGACAAACCCTCAGAAATGACCAGTCTATATTTTCATTTTGAACACTTATGATATCCGGTGCTCTGATGAAACTAATACGCAGTAGCCACGTGTTTGACAAGGAGGAGTGTGTTAGACATGGAGTCTGATGGCAGCGTCGCAGTGACACCATGAAATGCTGCTAGCCTGCTACGTACCGCGTCAGGTCCTGGGCGAATATCTCGTTTGACTTGTTAAGCATTTGCGCATTTAATTAACTATCCGCAACCAAAAGTATTATTAATACTGCCCATTTTGTGTTAGCATGGCATATTTGCATGCAGCAAATAATGTTCTGGTTGACCGCAGCATGTTCAGAATGCGTTCAGCAAATCGCCAAGTGAAGGCGTCCCGTGCGAGATCGGCGTAGACGTGTGTTGCGCTAACAGAACCAGCAAGCACGCACCACACTGGGCTGTTAACGTCGATCGCCGGCTACCTATATCCCGCAACGCCTTGTGACAATTGCTCCTTCTCAGCACATGATGAGGCCCAGACTGACTATTGCGGACGCCGCCAACACAGCAAGGGAGCAATCATCGTCGCGTTCTCCGACTGCTGCAAGAGTCCTGTCATTTTTCCTAGCCTCAGCAGCCGTAGTCACGAGATGACGTCCCAGCAAAAGAAGGCTGTCAGCTTTCTTGGCCCAGCTGCCTCATATTCACATCAGGTATGTCTTCTTGTTCTTTTCAACGTGCTCAATGTCTAATGCCACTCTGAAAGGCAGTGCGGCAAGCATTCCCTGAGAACGACTGGGAGTACAATCCTGTGGTGACCATTGGCGGTATGCAGTGAGGACTCCGCGTCGATCTGATTTGCTCACTCATGATAGACGTGTTCGACATTGTACAGGACAGTGTGTCTCCTGCAGGCCTCGTGCCCTTTGAGAATTCGACAAATGGCTCTGTGGTCTTCACCTTGGACTACCTAGCGGATCGCAACGACCGATATCCGGATGTCACGGTGAGGGGCGAGGTTTATGTCGACGTTCACCACTGCTTGCTCGGCCACAAAGCTCTAAATCACAACCTAGAGGATGGGACAGAAGGATCGGGCACTTGCACACCCACGGCCACCGATCCCAGTCCCCCACGACCCAGGACGAAGCCCTTGAGCAGCTTAAAGCACATTCAGAGGATCTATTCGCACCCGCAAGCGTTCGGTCAATGCAATGCCTTCATATCTACGTATCTGAAGGGTGTGGAGGTGTTCGATGTCAGCTCCACGAGTAAGGCTGCCGAGATTGTCAGCGGAGACACCACAGGGACGTGGGCTGCGATATCAAGCCAACTCGCCGCAGAGATGCATGGTCTTGACATGCTGGGGAGGAACATTGAAGACCGGACTGACAACACCACGAGGTTCCTCATCATTGGGAAAGACCCCGAGATACCGCGAGAAGGTGATCTGACCATGCCCAGCCACGGTCAGGTTGGCACCAAGTCGATGGTATCGTTGACAGTTCCGCACGACTCACCAGGGGCCCTGGCAAAGGCGTTGAGCTGCTTCGAGGAGTTCGGCCTCAACCTGACAAGCATCAACAGCCGGCCGAGCTTAGTCCAGCCCTTCCATTACATTTTCTTTCTCGAGTTCCGTGGACATTTGTATGATGATCCGGAGGCGAAAGTGAGGGGTTGTTTCGAGAAGCTGAAAAATGTCGCTGAGAATTGGCGCTGGCTGGGTAGTTGGAGAACATGTCGGTAAGATATTCTAGGGAGGCAATCAATCAAAGAGACAGAGCGCGCACTCCACACAGGGCTCTTGTGTCCACAGTTGTGGCCTGTCTCAACCAACGCAAAAGCATGTGTAGGGTAATCAGGGTGCCATTGGCTGCTTTTTCCCTTCGGGCTTGAGCCTGGTGATACCAGCCTAATCTACCCATAAATCACGTACATTCTATCGGACCCTGCATAATCGCTGGAAATAGTAGCACCTAGCGGACCGTTGCCCAGCTATTTCTGCCCACACCCGTAGGTCAACATTTGGCCGGCTTGTGAGCGCCCAAACCATCGCACTTCAATGATAAGACCACACGCCTCATCCGAATGCTCGCCCCATTCTCGCCTGGACAGCCCAACCAACCTCTTCCAGGGTTTTCCATTGACAAAAGTCGCTGCATCTCGATGGAGGGGCGCCCTGGCCTGCCCAGCCTGCGAGGCTTGCCGTTCGACTGCTGCTAACTTATGGTGGGAGGGGTAGAATGGAGCTCCCCTACCCAGTCTTGACGTCTGCCTATCCAATTGTCTACCCGATCCTGTTTCCTTGCTCGACTTGTTGACATATTGCATATGCCACTGTCCCCCCTCTCGGGATGCCGGCGTGGATTGATAGACTTCATTGGTTTCCCATGTCTGCATTCCCCCCTGGTTCGCATCCGGCCCACCCAGCCCAAGCGAGTGACGTCGACAGAAGCGACATGGACTTGGCTCAACAAGCAGAAAATGCGCCCCCGATCGACCGAGGCGGCCATGTATCCGGTACTTTGGCCGGCGCATCAGGTTAGGCGACCAAAAAGCCTGCCCAGCGCAGCAAACTTAACCGGCGCAATTAGTCCGGTATCGACCAGGACAGGTACCTGGGAACCTACGTGTACCTAACTACAAGCGACGAGCCGGCTGAGGGCCTGCTATGCCATTATGATCCATGCTTCCGCGCAATGTATAGTACTAATTCCGCCAGCCCAGGATGCCACACCAGAGGCTTTCCGATCTTCGCGGTCAAATCAATGAGCTAGGCCACCCCCACGCGGGCCCTGAGCTTGCTGGAGCTGGGCTTCTGTACACGGAGACTTCCAGGTAAGGTTTGATCTTGCTCAGTGCGGACAAGTACAGTACACGCCTAGCTTGCTCCAATGGTCCGTACAATCCCTTCAGGTACGGTGATGAGGGTGGGAACCGGTTGGGATATAAACCCATTCCCCTTGCGGTTTTCACTCTGCTCGGAGACTCGCGCTCTGGCTCTCTTTGCATTCTTGCACACCTTTCGCCTTGCACAAACTTTACCAAATACCAGCAGCAACTCTTCACCATGGCTCCTCGTCCCATCTTCTGCGCTACGCATCCCCGAGCTGTTTCCACAGCCTTCGAGAGGGTATGTCGTGGCGTCACCAAAGTAGACAATGAATAGCTCGCTAACCTGTCTCAGGTCTTCATGACCTGTCGTGATACTCTGCGCTGTGTTCACGAGCCCTTTGGCGATGCCTTCTACTTCGGCCCTGAGCGCATGGGCAAACGCTTCGCCAATGACGAAAAGGCCCGACAGGAGAGCGGCTACGCCAACACGACATATCGTGACGTTCTCAATGACATCGAATCGGACGGGCAGAATGAGGTTCGCTTCCTCCAACCTGGCTGTTCTGGTGACACATGCTGCGTCCTCGAGTGAGGCGCACGCTATCTACAATTGCTTTCGACATCATAGACTTTGCCTCTCACCCACTCACATACACTCTTCTTTTCGAGTCTTGCCAAAACATCACGCTCCTGAGCGCTTCTGCTCTCATTATATAGGATATTTGAATCCCAAACCCCACTAGAACGGCCTCTCCTGCTATCATGGGGGGAGTGTCCTTGGCTTACAAATACCAGGGAAAGCGCATCTTCATCAAGGACATGGCTTACTATTTCATGGCGCCGGATGGCGAGCCCACGAGCATTGCACCCTCGCTCGGCGGCCGTCCCGAGCCCACCAACCCGACCAATATACCTCTGGATATTTTGCGCAAGTTCAACTTCACCTTTCTCATCCGCCATCCGAGCCGCTCCGTCCCCTCCTACTGGCGCTGCACGATCCCGCCGTTGTCCGAGATCCACGGCTTCGACCACTACATGCCCAGTGAAGCTGGCTACGAGGAGCTCGTCCGGCTGTTCGACTACCTCATCAGCGAGGGGATCGTGGACAAGGACAATCTGACCGTCCTGGACGCGGATGACATGCTGGACAACCCAGAGGAGAAGATCAAGGAGTACTGCAAGCGCACAGAGATTGAATTTGACCCCAAAATGCTCGAGTGGACCGAGGAGGATGGCCAGGACGCTGCCAAGCACTTTGCCAAGTGGAATGGTTTCCACGATGATGCCATCCACAGCTCGTCCCTCAGGCCGCGGGCGCATGCTCAGGTATGTTTTCCTTTCCAGATTGTGCCCTGCTTCGATACCTCCGACCTAACCATCCCACAGAAAGCGTCGACCGTCGAGTCGGAGAATGCCGAGTGGACTGAGAAGTTCGGCGCCGACGCGGCCAAGGCCATTCGCCGTACTGTCGACGCCAATATTCCCCATTATGAGTACTTGAAGCAGTTCAAGCTATAACATCTTTTTGGCTGTTTCATGTTTCTTTTGCGTTTTCCGGGCCAATGACGATACAAGGTGGCAGTAGTAGTATAGCAGATGCTCCCTTTGCTTTGGTACAATATGATACAACACCGGGGCTGCAATAGCCCTCCCTCGCGGATTCTACCCGACTGTGAGGCTCGTAGTACATAGATATAGACACCCTTCCCGACACCCGCCTAGAGAATTCACCAGGACATGCCTCTTGTGGCGATATCCTCTGCGCTGTCGAGTCAATTCCTCCGTTGAGCACTGATTGGGAGAATCGCGGGCGATGACCTCTACCTGGCCATCCGAACATGTTTTCAACCGCGCTCATCAGTCCTTCCCTTCACGAATGCCTCGCTTCTCACGCTTCATTGGCCTCTGGAGTCGACCGCTGAACCTGCGGCGCGGGCGGCTCGGTGCCCAGCACATAGGCAGGCTTCTCCATCAAGGCGTGCGTGACATTGTCCGTCCACTCCTCGGCGTACTGCTGGTCCTGGTCGTTCTTCCACTCGATCGTGACCTGGGCCAGCTTTTCCTCCAGACCGGCGTCCTCGCCCTCGGCCTTGACCTTGATGTTCATGGCATTCCCCTTGCCCATCCCCGCAAGCACGGCCGCCATGTCGGCTATCGAGTTTTTCCTCTGCGCGTTGAGCGCCATGCCGCGCTGGTGCTTATTCCGGTACAGGACCTTGTCCCGGCCCGCCGCCTTCTCCTCAGCCATATGCTGGTGGTCCTTTCTCGAGTATTCTTGGACGGGCTTGATGCGTAGTTCGAGCGGCCAGCTGACTTCGTGGAGGTGCTTGAGTTCGCGGAGCTTCTGGAAAACGGAGCGGCCAATGTCCCCTCCGCCTTGGCCGAATTTGAGGATGGCCATGGGAGACCAGTAGTCTTTGCGCAGGGTCGCGGGCTTGAGTTTCTTGCCGTTGTATGGGATTTGCTTGAGCTCGTGCTCGTCCTGCGACGGTTAGCAATTGCGAACGCAAGAGTTAAAAATTGGATAATCGCACTTCTAAACGTGGTCGGAGCGTGTAGACTGTCTGGTCTGTCCTCCGGTGGCTCCATATCCAGATCTTCTCGCCGTGGCCCTCCTCAGGAGGTGAAGGAATCCATTTCACCTTCTTGATCTCCTTCTTGTACCGCGCGGCGCGATGCGCTTGGCGACACCAGGTCTTTGACAGGCTAATCAGAGGCTGGCCAGCCCGAAACGACGGTAATGCACTCATATCGGCGACGTGCTGTGTGTTTGCGTTGGTACCGTCGATGGCGAGTCCCAGCGTTGGGTCCACGGAAATTCTTCCTCGTCGCGAGGTCACGTGAGCGGGTCCCTGGCGTCTGGACTCTGGACTTCCCGCCATCCTTCAAGCCACGGCCTCACCCTTTCAGTCAGTGCTCACCCTCGACAACAAGTAATTACCTCTCGTAGAATGTGAAAAGTTAGAACAGGTGAGCATTGCCAACATGGGCCTACATAGCTCTCAATCAGTTGGGAGAGCCACGATCCGATTTGCTTGCCTCCGAGCAACGAACACCGGCACTCAGCTTCTCAATCATACCGCGGAGGCTGTCGCCAACTGCGTACCTACCTGGTATGGTTATTCTCCAGCACCTACCACAACTCTGCCGCTCAAAGGTCGCCGTCGTGCAGGTATATAGCTGGGATGCCCAAGCAAGGCTGCCGCTGACAGTTGTTGAGTCTCTGCCGCAGCCCCGACACTCATCAGGTAATTATGCAAATATGATTCACATGAGCTACGCTCCAGCGCATATCATTTTCTTGAGTACATTGACCATTAAAGAAAGTAAAAGACATGGACAGGCTACAGAAAATCCCCGTTGAGATCCTTTTCCTCGTGGTGCAGCATCTCGAACTGCGAGAAGTCGCTTCAGTGGCACGCACATGCCAAAACATAGCCGCGAAGCGAAGACGACACTTCTACCATTGCATCAATGCGCCAGCATTCAGACGTGCCGCTCGATATGGAGGAATTTGCACTATCCAAGGTGCACAGCATACTGGCGTCGACGTGCCGTACGGCCTTCTGCTACCTGTGGCGATAGCGCGCAGACAATCAGCCTTTGTCGACTTTTTGCTCTAGGGGCCGGATCACGCCAGATTATGTTCGCGCAACAAGACTGGATGCCTATGGGGGCAGAATCGCCCTCTCCTGGGCTGCAGCAGTTGGGCCCTTGTCGCTCGTTGAGAGACTGATGGCGATGCCGGGCGTTCATGCCAACTTACGCGACTTTCACCAGGCCACGCCGTTGCATCGAGCCGCAGCACATGGCCATTTGGACATTATGACTTATCTCCTTGATCATGGTGCCAACTTGGACGCAAAGACCAGTGGTGCCAATGCAACACCGGTCACGCACGCCTGCATCTCGAACGCGAAGGAGGATACCAAGATCGCAGTCGTTGCTCTTCTCCTCCGTCGAGGCGCCGACGCGGAGAGTTTTGACACTGTCGCAAGGAAGACAAACATCTGCCATGCGCTTGACCGCCATCACTATCGCCTCGGACAGTTTCTGCTGGAGAATGACGCCAATACCGAGGTTTTTCGTGGACCTCCTGGACAGGCACTTCTGGCCACTGCAATCTCCTAAGGCGATGACAACAGTGTTCGGCTCCTGATTGATTGCGGCGTCGGTTTCAATGAGCACGGGCCACGGGGGTCGGTGCAATACCTTGAGCTGGCCATTTCTGCGAGGTCTATGTTTGCGGTCGAGGTCGATAGAACCAGCACCATGAACCTGCTCCTAGAAAAGATCTCAGGCCAGTCGCCTCCATTTTTTTGAACGGGGGTCGTGCCCGGAGTTGGATCGGGCACTAAGAGTGGCCATCGCACGCCGCCAATATAACCTAGCTGCTCTGCTTCTGGCGTCCGGCGGAGACATGAATGCTGCAGATCGCCGTGGTTCCACGCCGCTCAACATCGCCGCCACGGCAGAGCCGCCTGATTCACCCTATGGACACGGTTTTGGACCGGAGAGCGCTTATGGTCTTGTACGAGCCATGCTGATACTCGGCGCAGATCCCCTTGCCCATCCTCCAGGCCAAACTCCATTGCACGATGTTTGCCAAGATACATCGGCTTTGCATGCTGCCGTATTAAGAGGCAACAACGTGCTGCTCCGTTCTTTGCATAGAATGGCTTCGACAGTCGCACACGGCGAAGGGCGAAATACAACGAGTGCTCTTCACGCGGCATGTGTGCATTATAAGAGTCACGTGGCCCAATATCTTCTGGAAGCGCATGGAGCTGATCCGTCAAAGAGAAATGGCAGGGGCAAGACACCATTGCACCTTGTTGCAGACCATGGCTACCATGAGCTTGCAAGGTTGCTGGTCAAACATGGCGCCGAGGTTGACGCAAAAGACAATAAAGGTTCGACTCCTCTTTTTCTGACATGCGCAACAGTGCATGAGCGCGTAGCTCGTGTGTTACTGGAACGAGGTGCCGATGCCACGAGCTCTAGCCGGCAAGATCGCATTACTCCTCTACATTGCATCGCTGGACGATGGGGCTCTTTTGAACTATTAGACTTGCTCATACAGCACGGCGCAGATGTATGCGCTGTCACTGAGGAAGCAATGACGCCGCTCTTTGCGCATTGGCGGCTTGGGACGAGGATGGAACTAATCATGCGGAGCAGAGTCTTAAAGATTCGACTGCTAGTCAAGCACGGAGCAGTGACGCATCTGCTATTCATGCATCGACTTGCGATGCTCAGAGAACGGGTCAGGGGCACACCAATGGGCGAAGCGTTAACTTGAAGTGGTCGATCATTAACAGTCAGATCAGGGCTTCATCAACCCCAATCGCCCTCAATCACGCACGCACTAACTCGACCTTGAGCCGTCTCACATTCCCAGACAACAGCCAACAGCCACAACGGAGAGAGACTTGAAGATTGTAGCTCAAAGCTGCTGTTGACGCCCGCAGGCTTTGGTGGAGGTAAAGTTCTAGTAGCTCTGGCTCAATTGAGGGAGCTTCGAGTCATTCCTACCAATCAATTCGATAGCGGAAAGTCAGCTCCCAAGCGACTGTATAACTATGGAGAGCTTTCCTTTCTTAATCCAAACTCTCAGTACTCATTTTGCCAGTCGTCCTCCGCTCACATCGTGTTACATGGACGCGATCGTGAAGAGCGAGTGACTCTTGCCCCGCATCACCAGCAAATGCAGCTGCCAAAATCAGGTGACATGAAGTTGACCTGAACGACTTGGCGAATTAGATTAAGGCACTGAAGGCAACACCCCACTACCCCCCACTGCGGCCCGAGGGCTACGAGTGACATCACTCGCCTGCTATTCCTTGGGCTTCTGGCAGGTTCTCGCTAAGTCAGGTAGCTACTGCCAACTTCCAGACTATCCGACATCTCGCTCAAAGCCTCCAGTCTCTGGAAGGGTCGACTAGATCATACCAGACTTTGTTGGTCGAGAGTATAATACTTCCCCGTGCAACCCAAACCTTCAACCCGCATTCCTCCTCTCTATCATACTCAAGAACATCAAGCGGGTCAATAAACGTTCGAGCACAATTCACAACGCACACTCACCGTCATACACAAGTGTTCATACTTTCCACTCGTAACTGGATCAGTTCATACAAGCCCAAAATACACAGAGTATAAGGCTTTCGAGCCTATACTGAGCAAATTCATCTTACACACCTCTTACCGCCACTATGAATCCACGCATGGAGTTCACCGACCGGGCGCAGAAGGCTGTTGAGGATGCCATGGCTCTAGCTGAGCAGTACGCTCACTCACAGCTGCTCCCGATACATCTCGCTGTTTCACTCTTGGATCCTCCACCAGACCTGTCCAAGGACCAGCAGAATGGCCCAGGACAACCCGTCACTCTTTTCCGGCAGGTTGTGGAGAGGGCCAAGGGTGACCCCCAACTTTTTGATCGCGCCCTCAAGAAAAGCCTCGTCCGTCTGCCCAGTCAAGACCCTCCTCCAGAGCAGGTATCCTTAGCACCGTCTTTCCACGGAGTGTTGAGGAAGGCTCTGGAGCTCCAGAAGGTGCAGAAGGACACGTACATCGGCGTCGATCACCTCATCACCACGTTGGCCGACGAGCCTAGCATCCAGGCTGCCCTGAAGGAAGCCAACATTCCCAAATCGAAGCTATTGCAAGATGCTGTTCAAGCCATCCGCGGCACCAAGCGTGTGGACAGCAAGACTGCCGACACCGAAGAGGAAAATGAGAACCTTGCCAAATTCACCATCGACATGACAGCCATGGCACGGGATCAGAAGGTTGACCCCGTCATTGGTCGTGAGGAAGAGATTCGCCGAGTTATCCGAATTTTATCGCGGCGAACCAAGAACAACCCGGTCCTCATTGGTGAGCCTGGTGTCGGAAAGACCACCGTTGTGGAAGGTCTCGCACAGCGTATCAACAACCGCGATGTGCCAGACAACCTGAAGCACTGCAAATTGCTATCTCTCGACGTTGGTGCCCTGGTTGCTGGTAGCAAGTATCGCGGAGAATTTGAGGAACGCATGAAGGGTGTCCTGAAGGAGATTGAGCAGTCAAAGGAGATGATTGTTCTCTTTGTTGATGAGATCCATCTGCTCATGGGTGCTGGCTCCTCAGGGGAGGGAGGCATGGACGCCGCCAACCTGCTCAAGCCGATGCTGGCCCGCGGACAGTTACACTGTATCGGTGCAACCACACTTGCCGAGTACAGGAAGTACGTCGAGAAGGATGCCGCCTTTGAGCGACGTTTCCAGCAGGTTATTGTCAAGGAACCCTCCATTCCTGAGACCATCTCCATCCTCCGTGGCCTCAAGGAACGGTACGATCGACACCATCGAGTCACCATTCTCGACAACGCTCTGGTGGCCGCAGCCAACTTGGCTGCCCGATACTTGACTTCGCGACGCATGCCCGATTCCGCCATTGACCTGGTCGACGAAGCAGCCGCGGCCGTTCAAGTGGCCCGGGAGTCACAGCCCGAGATCATCGACTCTCTTGAGAGGAAGCTTAGACAGATCACCATTGAGATCCTTGCTCTCGAGAAGGAGAAGGACGAAGCTTCGCAAATCCGCTTAGCAACCGCCAAAAAGGAAGCCGCCAATGTCGAGGAGGAGTTACAGCCTCTTCGCGAAAAGTACCAGAGCGAGATCAAGCGCAGCGAGGAGATCCACCAGGCCAAGGTGAAGCTCGATGAATTCGAGAAGCGCCTGGAGGACGCCATGAACATGGGTGATCATGCCAAAGCAGCTGATCTCAAGTACGGTGCGATTCCTGAGCAGCAACAGCGCATCAAGATGCTTGAAGACCGCAAGGTCCAGGCCGAGGCGGCTCTCAACGCTGCCGGCGGAGACACTGGCACCTCCATGGTGACAGATATTGTGACCGCTGACCATATCAACGAAATCGTCGCCCGCTGGACCGGCATCCCGGTGACGCGTCTCAAGACCACGGAGAAGGACAAGCTCATCAACATGGAAAAGGTGCTCGGAAAGACAGTTGTTGGCCAAAGGGAAGCTGTCCAGTCTGTGGCGAACGCTATTCGCCTGCAACGCTCCGGACTGGCTAACCCCAATCAACCCCCAAGTTTCCTCTTCTGCGGCCCGTCAGGTACAGGTAAAACTCTTCTTACCAAGGCCCTGGCCGAGTTCCTCTTCGACGATCCGAAGGCCATGATACGCTTCGACATGTCTGAGTACCAGGAACGTCATGCACTGAGCCGAATGATCGGTGCGCCACCTGGCTACGTCGGACACGATGCAGGTGGCCAGCTCACGGAAGCTCTCCGCCGCCGACCTTTCTCCATCCTTCTGTTTGACGAGGTTGAGAAGGCCGCAAAGGAGGTCCTCACGGTCCTCCTGCAGCTCATGGACGACGGACGCATCACAGACGGCCAAGGCCGAGTTGTCGATGCGAAGAATTGCATTGTGGTCATGACATCCAACTTGGGTGCTGAGTACCTTACGCGGAGCAATAAGGAAGGACGTATCGACTCCAGCACTCGAGAGTTGGTCATGGGGGCTCTGCGGAATTACTTCCTGCCCGAGTTCCTCAACCGCATCAGCTCGACTGTCATCTTCAACCGTCTGACGCGGGCCGAGATTCGGCGCATCGTCGATGTTCGTCTCAAGGAAATCCAAAAGCGGCTGGAGGACAACGGTCGCAAGGTCTTCATCGATGTGTCCGACGAGGCAAAGGATCATCTTGGTGCCGCTGGCTACTCGCCCGCCTACGGTGCCCGTCCTCTGCAGCGTCTACTTGAACAAGAAATCCTCAACAAGCTTGCCATTCTCATCCTGCGCAACAACGTTCGCGATGGCGAGACTGCGCGCGTCGAGCTTGACGATGGACGCATCGTTGTCATTCCCAACCACCCTGACAGCGATACTGGAGAGGATGAAGAGATGGTGGACGATTCGGATGCAGTCGAGGAGATTGCTGGTGATGGTATGGAGGAGGATTTCTACCAGTAGACCACTGTGTAGGTGGTCATTGCTGACACGAAGATACGACATGATGAAAGGCGTTCCGGGCATAGCACTGGGTTTTAGCATTGGCATACGTTTAAAGTTATATTCAATCAACGTAAATATTGGAACAAGATTCATATTGCCGCTATGACATTTCCATAATCTCTCTCATGTCTGATGTCCACATGTCCTTTTCAGGGACACTCCCAGGAACACATCGTTACCATTGTCCCAGCCCAAATCGTCCAGGAAAGTAGACCAGTCAATGTCCTAAAAGGGGTCCATGATTCTAGGTGTGTACGTCACCTCCTGCGGCGGCGCGGGCACCAGGTTGTCTACCGGTCGTGGAGGTTCTGCGCAAAGCAAAGTCAGTGCATATTCCAGTCACTTCGTCATCCCACTGTCAACTCACGTATCGCTTCCACTGCCTTTCTTGAGCCCTCGGAGCTCCTCTGCGCACTGTGCAGTGTGGTCTGGAACCTGTGTAGACACCGGAACAGTGCGCAGGCGCCGAGCCGGTTGGGCCATGCCTCGGTGGCACGGTCGCTCTTGGGCTCTAGGTCACGGTACTCCAAAAGCCCTGCATGAGCGTCGCGGCGCGGAACGCAAGGTCGCCATCGCGTATGGAGCAGGCGATGACGGCCGCGTGGCACTGGTTCATGAGGTGCTGCTCGGGCGTGACGCCTTCTGGTGGCGCGTCGAGGGGCGGCGGGTGGTGAGAGTGGAGGGCGGATACTAGTAGGACGCCCGCCGTGACGATGGTGTGAAAGACCCATAGGGGCGCGTTGGTGAGAAGCTGGATGCCGGGGATGGCTGTGAGGGCGTGGGCTGCGGCGATGACTTTCTTGGCGGTGAGGAGGGCGCGGGTTGTGTGCATGGCGAGGTTGGGCGAGGCGTCGTCGGGGGGTTGGCAGAAGTGGTATGCCTGTATCTCTTGGTGGGCGGCGAGGAGGAGGAAGCGCGTGAGCTCTGTGCACGTTGTGTGTTAGCCGAGAGAATGCCTCCCAGGGTGCGGCAGAGGTGACGAGGCTCTCGACGACGTGACCGCTAGAAGCGATGTGGGATGCAATGGCGAGATGCAGACGATTGAGGTAGCGCTGGATGTCGAACATGGTGATCAGATCTACCCACTGGGGCGCGGCAAGGGCTTGCTTCGCTGGCCCATCGTTGAGCTGGATGGATGGCGGAGGATGCCCGAGAGCCGCTGCTGTTCTGACTATTGCTTCAGTATGCTCCTCAATAGGGTGATGATGAAGCTCGGCGTACCTTTGAGCCAGAGAGCACGTCATTAGCCACGTGCAGGAGGCTTCCTCGTCTGTCGACGAAAAGTGATCCCTTGCGCCAATGCGGAACTCTGGATGGCGGCCCTTTCCCGTGTGCAAGCCCATGGACAGGCAGAAGTTGAGAGCCGCGCCCGAAAGGACCACGGACGGGTTAGTTACCAGGCGGATGGTCGGCAGCGGCCACACGCAGATGATCAGCATGGCATGCACGGCCTCGATGCCCATGAGTGGGCTGCCCGGAAGCGTCCAGATCTCTTTTGACAACCACTCGACGAGCGCGTCAAATAGATCTGTCGAAGTTCCGGCTCTGTGGTGCCGGCGCATCACGACGAAGATGACGATCCAGAAAAGCGCAGGGCTGGCCGCGTAGCATTCGTCTGGGTCTCGTTTGGCGAGCACCGGTACGAACGGATGGAAGAGCTCGAGATAGCTATAGGTTTGAGCCAGGGCTGTGGTTTCATTGAGCGGTGGACCTACGTATCAAAGTACCAGTCAATGTCTTCACCCGTGACAAGGTGAGAGTCAAGGGTCCGCGGTTGGCTGGGACTTGCTTTCCAAGGCCTTTGAGCGCGCGCAGGCAGCACCTGGCATCTCGACGCCGCAGCACGAGCATCCGCAGTGGCTGCTGCTGGCATCGGGTGTAAAGATGACTTGTGTGCAATGAATGAATGCGAGTTGCTAGAATAAGAGCCGATCCTTGGACTGGATGGTCGTGGTGGGGGTGCCCGCTGCTCATGTTGCACGTTCGGCAAAACAGCTTGTTTGATAGTGTCCAGATCCTTTTCCAGCTTTTCTATCTTGCTGTGCGTGTATCAGAAGGGAGGGGCAGCTCAGTGGCATCTGCTTGAATACTCGCCTCCGCTTTGTTGTCCGCCTGTGCGACTTGTTCACCACACACGAGATGCTCAGCTTGGCGCATCTTTGACAGGGATCGCCCGGAATTGGACTGATCCTGCATTTGACCTAGATGCCTCAATTCAATTAATCGGATTGATAAGGGGCAGACATGAACAGCACGGGATAGTACCTTTGAGTCGCGACAGCTGACGCACGCAATGTTGCGTCGTATACGCTGCTCGTCATCAGGCGAATACCCGGTGTTGGCAGACGCCATTCTGCTACGCTCGCAACGCAGTGCACATAAGTGGACACAGATGAGTCTTTCCAGAATTACATCTCGACAGTACAGTTCACCGTGTCTTACTGATACCCAACGAGTTGAGATATCGCGAGCTATGAGCCTGTGATGCGCGCGAATCGAGCAGCATTGACGCTTGTGTCCGAAGTCCGGACTCCGAAGCGCGGCATAAGGTCACGTGACCCTCTGGCACGACACACGAACCTCTGAAGGCTCATCTATTGAACTGCATGCTCTATGATAGATGCCGTCCATAGAAGAACCTCACCGGCTCTTCTTTTCCACCTTTGCAGCCCTTGCCTCCTGGTCGCTGTTTGTCTGCGCCCGGACCAATTGCCAAAGCACCCACAGGAATCCTAGCCCTACAACAACCGCAGTACCAACACCAACCCAAGAAGCCGCTTTCTCGTCAACGACAGGCACCGTGATGCTAGTCACCAGCCGTCCGTCACCTCCGCTGGCTGGCTGAGGCGTGACATGCCAGTACACCGTATCGTCATCGAAGAGGTCATCGTATCCCAGACCAACCTTGTCAAAGGGGTTGATGGCAAAGTTTGTGCCTTGCTCTACAGGGCATGCCCAGAAAACCACTGGGTACGCCACGTGGATGTCCCGCTCACCGGTGGCCGACGGCTCGAGGTACCTCAGATGCAGTGGTACTTCGACCGCCCACTCCTCCTGCGTCGTACTTGGAGGGGCGAGCTCGACGAGAATGTTAGATCCCCATGTTTCCGTTGTATAGGCTGGTGCCTCGAGGTCTACTGGAAGGCTAGCGTGCCGCAGGGCGGTCAGATTTTTCGACGCCATGAACAAGTTGTCGTGCAACTGGTATCGGTCGGCAAAGATGGTCTTTGGGAGGGTCAGGAAGGCGTAGGAGCGGCAATCCTCTGCAGGCGCCTGACTGCCGCTCAAGCTGATCCGTATGGCCGGGTGCAATCCAGTCGGTTGGGTAAAGGTGGCTTGGAATAATTGCTCAGCGGATCGATGTCGTTCAGCGAATTTGAACAGCGTGGGCGAAGGTCGCTTCGAGTCACCAAGAACAAGGGTGATGCCTCCGAGCCCAATGTCGTGTTCCTCCATGCTAGGAGGGGAGCCACGCGCCATGATGCCGACTTCGGTCCTCCGCCCATCGCTCGAGGTGATATCCAAGGTTCTCTCCTCGAGTGGCCAGAAGGCTGTGATCTTGGCGACTGGTTTCTCGGCGTCGTAGGCGAATTCCAAGCTCGAGGCGTCGTTGAGCTCTCGAGCCCGGGCCCGGCATTCCTCATCGTCACCGCAGATATCAGCATATGCTTTGAGGATAAGGTGAGAATGGTCTAGGATTTGGTAGAAATAGTGCGCGTCGCGTGGCGTATTTTTGTTGTTCTTGCTCGCGACGGAGGTGAATGCCTAGGACCTAGTTGAACAGCATGTCCCGCCATGGGAGGAGATTCTCGCACCTCTTGTGACATGCAATCTAAAGACCCAAATGCCTGCAGAAACTCGCATATTTTTTTCCTGTGCCATTGTTCAGTGACTCTTCGTAATAGGGAGCGATGTATGCGCGTGTATGAGGCTGGCCTACGGTTCAAGATCAGGCTCACCCTCCTTCAGGAGAGAATACGACACATGCAAGCCGGGCGAGAGTCGCGCCGCATACGGCTCAATAGTCTGGTATGGCTCCGTGCTCACCCAGCGCACATGTAAGGTCTGGAAATCCTGTAGCAGGAGGGATACATGGCTCGGCAGCTCATCCAGGGCGGCGGTGAGGCGGTCCTCACGTGCTGCTCCGATGGCGGGCGCCTTTAAACGTGCAGGCTCCAAGACGAGCTCGGCTGGGTCCACGCCCTCCTCGGGACTGTGTATAAGCGTTATCCTCTCGCGCATTTTGAGTGTGGTGATGGGTGATGTGTTCACCGGGCATGTACCCAGGATGCGCGAGTATTGGTTGCGAGACGGATGCCACGATGTCCAAGTCACGGTCACAGTCGACAGCTGGATCCGCTTTTCCTGTCAGCGGCCTCCATCTATTCTAGCCTACCCTAGACCAGCTGGATCTAGAAGTGTCCACATACGGATTTGCAGAATAACCCAAGACGTGTTGTTTCCAGTCCATGTCTAGCACTACGCGCGTTTTGCAGAGAGAAATTGCCTCTCATGCACGTTTAGTTGCGTGATATTCGTGTACATCAGTAGTCAGGGTAGCATCTGGATGAGCTGGCGATGCGACCCTACTGACAATGTCACCCTCAATCGCAGCCCTCATCTAGGTCATGCAAGCATGGCACAGTTTCATGTTGAAACTGCCCCCTCCCTGAATCCCAGTAGATTGGAAAACACGGCAAACGATGCATTTTAAAGTTCTGAATCTCCGACCATTGCTTTTGCTCCCTGCCCGGGCCTGCCGTTTCTTCGCGTACCTTGAAGTATGCATGGACATGTCTGTGTCTATGTTTGCGGTGCTTGTCAAGCCCAACATATACCGAATACATTCATGTTGTCAGCGATTACGACTATTGCTCGTGGACTGCGGCAACTACCACTGCCACGGCTGCCAGGTGTGTGACAGAGGACTTTTCTCAAGGACGTACGGTGCACCCTGAAATGCCATAGGTTAAGCACGTATGTAGATGGGCCTCTGCTGAGATCACGAGGGAAGAAGCATGGAACCTCGAATCGTGCTTGTCTGACAAGACGCTACGACCCGCTCTCAGAGACCAGATATGCAATGTGATAGGCTCGGAGCGATCAATTGCCGGCGGAAGAGGCGCATGGGCTGCATGTAGTCTGGGAAAAGAAATGTGGTCCTTTCGAGGCTCCAGTCCATGTCTCCATGTCCCTGCAAGTGGCGGCATCGCTTCTCCACGTGCGTAGGGGGGGGGGGGGGGGGGGGGGGAAGACCTGTCAGCTCATGACCAACCACAACTAGGTACACCCCATTACATGGTAAAAAACCACATGTGCGGGGGGGGGTTTGTGATGTCCGC